AACCATAAGGTTTTCAGTAAAGTCAGTCATTTGGTCAATTTAGGTCCAGAATCTAGTTCCTCGGAAATTGGGTCAAATTTTTATCTAGGTCAAAGGTCAAGAACTAGGTCAAATCCAGTTCTTTGTCACTTTTTTCGATTTTCTCGGTCGTCCTTCAATATTTTCAATCCTGTTTTTTTTCATTGTGTTCCTCATAAAAAAGTAGGAAATCTAGGTTCGATTTAGTTTTTTGATATCTCAAACCGAATTCGAGATATCAGTGTCCGAAAACGAGGTCCAAAAAAAAGTTCTCCGAATCAAATGCCAAGGATATTAGTCTTATAGGAAATTTTCTCAGGATTCCGAATCTGAAAACCAAATTCGAATCAGACTTCCGGTTCGGAAGTTATGGCGTTTTGAAAGCTCAAAAATCGCTAAATTTGGTGCCCATGTTAAGTCAATGGGAAAAAAGATTTTTTTGAAGTGGAAAATACGAAATATAGACTGAGTTCAGCTAAATATAATGAAAGCTTTTAAAAGAATGGGACCTCAAAAGCCATCTAGCTTCAAAATTTGGACACCAAAATGCATAGGTCAAAATCTAGGTCAAATTCAAAGTTTTTCCTTATTTTTGCTATTCTGACACTACAGATTAATTATATTCTTCGAAATTTTGTATGCATGTAGCCAAGAGTGTGCTTATAGTGTTAACCTTTTGCCGTCAGAAAGTATTTTGACCCACTTTTGAGATATGGTGTCCGAAAAGTAGGTCAAAATAAAAAGTTCTCCAAATTTAACGTTTGAGTTATGAATTAAGAATAGAATCTTCTCAGAAATCCGAATCTGCAAACCAAATTTCAATTCGACTTCCGGCTCCGAAGTTATGGCGTGTCCAAAAAGTAGGTCAAAATAAAAATTCGCCAAATTTAACGTATAAGTTATGAATTAGGGGTAGAATTTTGTCAGGAATCCGAATCTGCAAATCAAATTTCGATCCAACTTCCGGTTCGGAAGTTATGGCGTGTCCGAAAAGTAGATCAAAATAAAAAATCTCCAAATTTAACGTATAGGTTATGAATTAGGTATAGAATTTTCTCAGGAATCCGGATCTGCAAATCAAATTTCGATCCGACTTCCGGTTCGGAAGTTATGGCATGTCAGAAAAGTAGGTCAAAATAAAAAATCTCCAAATTTAACGTATGAGTTATGAATTAGGGGTAGAATTTTGTCAGGAATCCGGAACTGCAAACCAAATTTCGATCCAACTTCCGGTTCGGAAATTATGGCGTGTCCGAAAAGTAGGTCAAAATAAAAAATCTCCAAATTTAACGTATGAGTTATGAATTGGGGGTAGAATTCGGTCAGGAATCCGGATCTGCAAACCAAATTTCGATCCAACTCCCGGTTCGGAAGTTATGGCGTGTCCGAAAAGTAGGTCAAAATAAAAAAGCTCCAAATTTAACGTATGAGTTATGAATAAGGGGTAACATTTTGTCAGGAATCCGAATCTTTCTGATGGTATCCTGATAGAAAGTCAAGAGTAGAGAAGAAAATATTGAAAAATTCATCCATCCTTCCTATCTCATCCTATCCTATCCTTCCTATCTATCCTTTCTTCATATCTTTTCCTTCCTATCCTTCCTATCCTATCCTATCCTTTCTTCCTATTCTATTCTATCCTATCCTATCCTTCTTTCTTATTCTATCCTATCGTTCTTTCCTATTCTATCCTATCCTACCTTCCTTTTTTATTTATCAATCTCTTTCTAGATGACTCAGCTTATTCTGGATGACTCGGCTTATTCTGGATGACTCGGCTAAAAAAAGTCTAGATCTGGAGTCTGAAATTGAACTTCGTTCAATTTCCAAAATCTAGTTATTTTTCTCTACACGTTTTCTCAATAACTAGAAGATATTGAGTCAAGTCCTGTATATGGTCAATTTAGGTCCAGTATCTAGTTTCTCGGAAATTGGGTCAAATTTTTATCTAGGTCAAAGGTCAAGAACTAGGTCAAATCCAGTACTTTGTCACTTTTTTCAATTTTCTCAGTCGTCCTTCAATATTTCTGATCCAGGTTTTTTTCATTGTGTTCCTCATAAAAAAGTAGGAAAGCTAGGGTCGATTTAGTTTTTTGATATCTCAAACCGATTTTGAGATATGGCGTCCAGAAAGTAGGTCAAACCAAAACGTGCTCCAAATTCAATGTATGAGTTATGAATTAGGGGTAGAATTTTGTCAGGAATCCGAATCTACAAACCAAATTTCGATCCGACTTCTGGTTCGGAAGTTATGGCGTTTTGAAAACTCAAAAATCGATAAATTTTGTGCCTATGTTAAGTCAATGGGAAAAAAGATTTTTTTGAAGTGAAAAATACGAAATATAGACTGAGTTCAGCTTAATTTAATGAAAGCCTTCAAAAGAAGGGGACCTCAAAAGCCATCTAGCTTCAGAATTTGGACACCAAAATTCCTAGGTCAAAATCTAGGTCAAATTCAAAGGTTTTCCTTATTTTTTGCGATTCTGACACTACACTTCAATAATATTCTTCGAAATTGTGTATACATGTAGCCAAGAGTGTGCTAATAGTGTTAGCCTTTTGCCGTCAGAAAGTATTTTGACCCACTTTTGAGATATGGTGTCCGAAAAGTAGGTCAAAATAAAAAGTTCTCCAAATTTAACGTATGAGTTATGAATTAGGGGTAGAATTTTGTCAGGAATCCGAATCTGCAAACCAAATTTCGATCCGATTCCCGGTTCGGAAGTTATGGCGTGTCCGAAAAGTAGGTCAAAATAAAAATTCGCCAAATTTAACGTATGAGTTATGAATTAGGGGTAGAATTTTGTCAGGAATCCGAATCTTTAAATCAAATTTAGATCCGACTTCCGGTTCGGAAGTTATGGCGTTTTGAAATTTCGGAAAATCGATCTGATGGTATCCTGATAGAAAGTCAAGAGTAGAGAAGAAAATATTGAAAAATTCATCCATCCTTCCTATCTGATCCTATCCTATCCTTCCTATCTATCCTTCCTTCGTATCCTTTCTTTCCTATCCTTCCTATCATATCCTATCATATCCTTTCTTCCTATTCTGTTCTATCCTATCCTTCTTTCTTATTCTATCCTATCGTTCCTTCCCATTCTATCCTATCCTACCTTCCAATTTTATCCATCCATCTTATTCTGGATGAGTCAGCTTATTCTGGATGACTCGGCTTATTTTAGATGACTGGGCTTAAAAAAGTCTAGATCTGGAGTCTGAAATTGAACTTCGTTCAATTTCCAAAGTCTAGTTATTCTTTTTTCTTCCTCCTAACAGATTTTCTCTCCAACTATAACATCTTACTTAATCCAACTTACATGGTTAACTAAAGACTGTATCCAGCTTTCTGGGAAATTAGGTCAAATTTTTATCTAGGTCAAAGGTCAAGAACTAGGTCAAATCTTACATTTTCAACATTCTTCATCATATCTTCGTCAATATTCTTCGTAACTCCTTCATCTTTTTTTCATCGTGTAGCTTAGAAAAAGGCGTATCAAAGATATGACATCAGAATTTTGATTACTTTTACCGATTTTGAGATATGGCGTCCAGAAAGTAGGTCAGAACAAAAAGTTCTCCAAATTCAACATGTGGGTTATGAAATAAGTGAAGAATGATCTCAGGAATCAGAATCTGCAAACCAAATTTGGATCGGACTTCCGGTTCGGAAGTTATGGCATTTTGAAAGCTCAAAAATCGCTAAGTTTGGGGCCTATGTTAAGTCAATGGGAAAAAAGACTTTTTCGAAGTGTAAAATACAAGATATAGACTGAATACAGCTTAACATAATGAATGCTTATAAAAGAAGGGGACCTCAAAAGCTACATAGCTTCAAAATTTGGACACCAAAATGCCTAGGTCAAAATCTAGGTCAAATTCATTTTTTTTTCCTTTTTTTACGATTCTGACACTACACTTTAATAATTTACTTCAAAATTTTGTATACAGGTAGCAAATAGTGTGCTAATAGTGTTAGCCTTTTGCCGTCAGAAAGTATTTTGACCCACTTTTGAGATATGGTGTCCGAAAAGTAGGTCAAAATATAAAGTTCTCCAAATTTAACATATGAGCTATGAATTAAGGGTAGAATTTTCCCAGGAATATGAGTCTGCAAACCAAATTTCAATCCGACTTTCGGTTCGGAAGTAATGGCGTTTTGAAAGCTCAAAAATCGCTCAATTTGGTGCCCCATGTTATGTCAATGAGAAAAAGATTTTTTTGAAGTGTAAAATACCAGATATAAACTGAGTACAGCTTAACAATCTGAAAGCCTATAAAAGAAGGGGACCTCAAAGGCTATCTAGCTTTAAAATTTGGACGCCAAACGCAAAATGCCTAGGTCAAAATCTAGTTCAAATTCATAGTTTTTCCTTATTTTTGCGATTCTGACATTACACTTTCATAATTTGCTTCGAAATTTTGTATACAGGTAGCAAAGAAAGTGCTTATAGTGTTAGCCTTCTGCCGTCATAAAGTATTTTGACCCACTTTTAAGATATGGTGTCTGAAAAGTAGGTCAAAATAAAAAGTTCTCCAAATTTAACGTATGAGTTATGAATTAAGAGTAGAATTTTCTCAGGAATCAGAATCTTTAAACCAAATTTCGATCCAACTTCTGATTAGATAGTTATAGCGGTTTGAAGTCTCGAAAAGTCGATATGATGATATCCCCATGTTAAGCCAATGGAGTCGAAGATAACATTCTTAAGAGTTGTCTAAATGTCTATATTCTAGCTGACTCAGCTTATTCTGAATGACTCAGCTTACAAGTATTTGGATGACTCAGCTTAAAAAAAGTCTGAAATCTGGAGTCTCAAATTGAACTTGTTCAATTTACATGTCTAGTTATTTATCTGAAAGCGAATTTTATATAAAATGCCCATTCTAACCTACCTAACTGGTGTTATCATATGAATTTAATGAAGTAAATGAAACAGATTATTGTGAATAATAATCTGAACATCCGCCATTGTTGCATGCTCTAGTGACCTCCTCTGGACCATCACAGTCAACATCAGTTGGGGAAGATTTCTGGCAAACACGTGTTCTTCTCTGTACCCCCTCTCCACAAGTCACGCTGCATTGTCCCCATGCAGACCAACTGCTCCAGAGGCCATACACAACTAGAAATATTTATGTCAACATATCATATGATACTTTTATTTTGTTTATATTTATTTGCAGATTTATGGAATATTAATCATATAGTAGTTCACATTCTTTGTTATCCCATCGAACGAAGTTCGGAGGGATATAGGGAACGCCTCCGTCCGTCCTTACGTATGTCCGTACGTCCGGGCAATAACTCAAATACCGTTGGCCTGATTTTGTTCATATTTTGAACACATATACCCTATGGGGATAGAAGTTCTGCTTGAAAGCCGATTTTCAAAATGGCCGCTCATTTAAAAATGGCGGCCATTTTAGTGCTGATTTTACAGTAATTTAGTTGCAATATGTAAAACTGTATAGCAATATTTTTTAAATGTAAAAAAATTATATAGGACATTGATAAAGCTAAAAATGTAGATATTAAAGAAACACATGGCAGCCATCTTGAAAAATGTCAGCCTTACTCGTTATTTTACGATTTTTGCTGTAACTCAAGAAGTAGTGGAGCGATTTTGTTCATATTTGGTATGTGAAAACTATAAGCATGGCACACTGTCTAATGACACTTTTTGTGTCTAATGGTGGCCATTTTGAAAAATGGTCGCCATTTTAACGTATTTTGCTGTAACTTGAAAAGTAGTGGAGCGATTTTGTTCATATTTGGTATGTGAATAATATAAGCATGGCACACTGTCTAATGACACTTTTGGTAGAAGGTGGCCATTTTAAAGTATTTTACTCGAAAAGAAATGAAGCAATTTTGTTCATATTTAGTATGTGAATACTAAAAAAAGCATATTACTTCTTCTGATGACAACTTGGCTAGTGAGCAACCATTTTGAAAATGGTGGCCTTTCTTATGTGTGTTATTTTATGATATTTGCTATATATTTCGTTTTTAAAACTGCCAGCCATTTCTGTTCGATGGGATTCGCTACGCTTTGGCGTTGCCATTGTTCTGGTTTACCTATTCTTGCTTCTAGTCCACCAGTTAAAACTGTTTGCATTGTTGTTGTCATAGGAGTTGTGATTGTTACAGAGGCTGATGTGATTGTTACAGAGGCTGATGTGATTGTTACAGAGGCTGATGTGGTTGTTGCAGGGGTTGTTGTATTGTTTAAAATAGTCGTTGTATTTGTAGAGGTTGTGGTTGTTAAACAAGTTGAATGGGCGCTCATCCCTGAAAGCGTTGAACCCAAATCTTTACAATTCAGAATATAAGAGGAACAATTATAAACCCAAAAAATTAAATGGATATTCCCAGCAAGCCTATTTCTCTCTTGATTATGATAGCTATCCATGCATTTCATATCCATATTTAGCAAAAATGAAAAATATGTTTTAATTTAGTCAATTTTGATCATTTAAAAAGACTGTCATCTATCTAGATTATAAAAGTTTGCACTTGATTACGTCACCTCTTTTCTGAAAACGTACTTTAAATGGGGACTGCATTTTTAAATAATTATATTGATTATATCAAAACTTTTCCCATGTTTTACTAAATATGAAAAGAATGATTATGATCAATAATATTGTTTACCTATAACATATCCTCCTAAAAATCCTCCCCCAAATGTAAGAATGACCCCTACTATGCCTCGTATAGCCAGAGCACAGCTTGAAACCCTTCGTTCAGGTTCTCTGGTTTTCTCAGAATAGTCATTGTCAATGTACCTCTCATGTCTGGGAGTAGAGGGTAGAGGCCTAGTATAAAGGCCTAGTTTAAATACTTTTGCAATTTTTTCCTTCATTTGTCAATTTTTGCCACGGTTTTACTGGACTATAGAGGTTGAGGAATTCTCAGGGCTGAAACATAGAATATAATGATTTGGACTCATTTTGTATTGTTGAGTGGTTATCCAACTGATCAAACATGCGGGGTTAGAGAGAAGTCATCCATATGTTTGTTTGTCTCATTGACTGATGGTTGAATTTGGTTTAAATCTTTTGTTTCAAAGTTTTATTAATTTCTGGCTATATTGCATTTTACTATAACTTAAATATTGCTTAATTTTATAATTCATTGTTTTGGTCAGATCTTAAACCTTAAGCTTTGGACGATGTTATGCCTTATTATGTTTGATGGTTTTTACCATATCATTTAGATCTTATGTTTTGAAGAATCTTATACCTTGAGTTTTGGATGATCTTATACTTTATGTTTTTGATGATCTTATACCTTATATTATTAATGATATTATACCTTATGCTTTGACTAATCCTACACCTCATACTTTGGAAGATCTCATTCTTTATGCTTTAGATGATCTTATACCTTTTTGGAGGCTTGTATACCTTTTGTTTTGGAGGATCTGATAACTTTTATTTTGGATAATTTGATACCTTCTTTTCGTAGGATTTTATACCTTATATTTTTGATGATCTTATACCTTATGTTTTGGATGATCTTATACCTTTTTAGTCTCATATACCTTTTGCTATGAAGGATCTGATACCTTGTGTTGTGGATAATCTAATACCTTCTTTTTGAGGATTTATACCTTATGTTTTGGAGTATGTGATACCTTCTGTTTTGGATAATTTAATAGGCTCTTTTTGAAGGATTTATACCTCATGTTTTGGTTGGTCTTACCTTATGATTTGAATGATCCTATACCTCTTTTGAGGCTTTTATACCTTATGTTTTGGAGGATTGATACTTTCTGTTTTGGATAATTTAATAGGCTCTTTTTGAAGGATTTATACCTCATGTTTTGGTTGGTCTTACCTTATGATTTGAATGATCCTATACCTCTTTTGAGGCTTTTATACCTTATGTTTTGGAGGATTGATACTTTCTGTTTTGGATAATTTAATAGGCTCTTTTTGAAGGATTTATACCTCATGTTTTGGTTGGTCTTACCTTATGATTTGAATGATCCTATACCTCTTTTGAGGCTTTTATACCTTATGTTTTGGAGGATTGATACTTTCTGTTTTGGATAATTTAATAGGCTCTTTTTGAAGGATTTATACCTCATGTTTTGGTTGGTCTTACCTTATGATTTGAATGATCCTATACCTCTTTTGAGGCTTTTATACCTTATGTTTTGGAGGATTGATACTTTCTGTTTTGGATAATTTAATAGGCTCTTTTTGAAGGATTTATACCTCATGTTTTGGTTGGTCTTACCTTATGATTTGAATGATCCTATACCTCTTTTGAGGCTTTTATACCTTATGTTTTGGAGGATCTGATACTTTCTGTTTTGGATAATTTAATTCCTGTTTTTGGATGATTTTATACCTTATGTTTTGGATGATATGATGCCTAGTGTTTTGGAGGATTTTATACCTTATATTTAATCTTATGTTTAGAAAAATAGAATACTTTGTTAGGAATGATATAAGTAAAAAGCTCATGTTGGTCTTTTCTTACTTTTATCAATGACAACATTGTGTTTACATTTCAACTACCTCATTTATTTGAAATAAAGATTTCTTTTGTGTGGATGGTTAACTGACATATTTCATTGTCAGGTTTGCTATTCAGAAAGTCTACATTGAATTTGGTGATTCATATAGAACAATTTATCTTTAAAAACCTTTTAATATCATCTTCAAAGACCATCTTGGTCTACTGCTATGTCATTTTAGTACCCTGTAAGAGAAGATACCAAACGTCAAGATAACATTTAATCTAAGTATTGTTTTCAAAAGAATTTACAGGTAGCTTGGTTTATAGATCAACAAATAAATATCATAAAGTTAAGTTGAACTCTTTTTAGTATCTAGTTTGAAAATGGCTCGCTTTTAGTACCATGTCCATATTCCAAGATAATAGTTTACCTTATTGCTTTAAAGTCTGTGTAGATGTCACTTGAGTCAGGATTGTATTCTGTTTTGTAATTGCTCCATCTATTATCAGAAGTCATTCTGCAAGTGGAATTGTGAGAAATATACATGCAATCATAAGTTTTCTCTTGAAAGCCCATGCTCTAATCAAACATAAACAAATATATTTGTCCCTGTGCACTTTTTTGTCATCTTAATTCTTTCATTATTTGGACACAACACCTTTTTAATCACACTTTTTCAAAGTGCTACATTGTCATCGTTTTGTTCTGAAAGCCGTCCTAAAATCTTCACTTTCAAGACTTGTCTACAGGTTTCCAGCCAAACCATTTGAGGGATTCATCTGAAATTTTCAGGGATGTTTCTACATATCAACGTCAAGAACTGATTAGTTTTTGGGCATTCTGGGTAAATTTTAAGGTGGCCATTTTGGATTTTCCGTCCTAAAATCTTTACTTTCAAGACTTGTCTACAGGTTTCCAGCAAAACCTTTTGAGGGATTCATCTGAAATTTTCAGGGATGTTTCTACATATTTACGTCAAGAACTGATTAGTTTTTTTGGGCATTCTGGTTAAATTTTAAGGTGGCCATTTTGGATTTTCTGTCCTAAAATCTTCACTTTCAAGACTTGTCTACAGATTTTCAGCCAAACCATTTGAGGGATTCATCTGAAATTTTCAGGGATGTTTCTACATATCAACGTCAAGAACTGATTGGTTTTTGGACATTCTGGGTAAATTTTAAGGTGGCCATTTTGGATTTTCCGTCCTAAAATCTTCACTTTCAAGACTTGTCTACAGGTTTCCAGCCAAACCATATGTTACACAGTGATAAGTTCTAGAGCTGATTAACTTTTCTGCGGCCATCTTGCTTTCTTGGTCAACAAGACCACAATGCTGTGTTTTAGGTACGATATTGTTCACGTCTGTGCCTTGTTATTTAAAAATGTGGTTTTTGAATGATCTTTTGCTTAAAACATTTTGAATTTGATGCATTTCTTAAAATCTCAAGCATTAGATAAACAATAATAAGAAGAACTCTTATGAATTTACAAGAAATTGAGTGAGAAGCATTAAAGACTTTCCCTTTCACTTATTTCTTTGGTCACTTGATACAAATAGACCAATTTCAATATTATGCTAAAAACTAATAACAATTTATTTCCACAAATGATCAAATGATCTCTGTTGAGCCTTTTAAAAGTTTTATATGAAAATGTGTTAAAGAAAGTTTAAAAAACCTTCCAACAAGGAAGTTCACAGTACAGTGTATATGTAATGATGAATTTTTTTTTTATTCTTTAAGTGCATAAACAGTGCATATACAATTATTTTATACTTTAATTTCTAATTTGATGCTTTTTATAAATAAAGATGTAATTTTAATAAAACAAAACTAAACGATTGTGTAATATTTTTGTTGGTTCATATTATAAAACTATCTATAAGCTTAGGTGTGTCATTATTATCCCACCGAAAGATGTTCCTACTCATAGGGTAGGGATATAGAGAAACCGTCCATCCATCAGTGCGTGCATTCGTCCATCCGTCCATTCATTTAATAACACAAATATCGGTTGACGGATTTGATTCAAATATAGGATTATGCCTATAAGTATAACACCTCTGCTTGAGAAGGAATTTTCAATATGGCTTCTCAGTTCAAAATGATCACCTTTTTTGTGAAAAATGTACTCTGCTTAAATACTAGTGGATGGATTTGGTTCAAATTCTATATCCTGATGCCTAGGGACAAAGGAGCTCTGGGCGAGAAGAAATTTTCAAGATGGCGGTTGATTTTTCAAAATGGTACCTTACATGCTACCTTTTACCTACAAATCTACAAAATTACCCATTTTGTTGTTGTATTTGTATGATGTAAAGGCTGCATATGTACCAGTATATAATGTTTCTGGTAAACATTTTTCATTTATATTTTTTATACCATTCTTATTTTTTTTTATTTAGTTCTGTTGAAAGAGAAAGAGAAAATAAGAAAAGCAAATCTCCTTTTATTGCAAGAATAGAAAAAGAAAGTTTTTCTCTCCTCATCAGACAAATGTATTTATTATTTATTCTCTAATTATTTAAACTTTAATATAAAGTAGAAATATGTATGCGAACAGCCAAACACCTCTCAAAGTGAACACTCTAAGGTTTATTTTTTATTTTCCCATTAAATCCTCTTGGGAGAACTTCCAGAACTTCCGTACATATGAACACAAGCTAATCCCAGGTCTTAACCAATCACATTGGATACATGGCCTTATTAGATATCAGATAATTTCTTATCCTTAAGCTGTGTAGTTCAACACTTTTGTAGAGAACTGGAGAAGATGGGGAGCAGTATTCAGGGTGGATCTCAACTGGTTATTGGCAATACATCGTATCTTAGTCTAGACCCTGTGGTAGATAAAACTCCAGCATATACGCAACTTTTACAGTCTTATAAATGGTCAAATAAGGTAAGGCTACACATGGTTCATAATTCGTAAAGTTTGTCATCATAAGATTAGCCTTTCCAAGAGATTTGAATCTCTTAAATTAACACTGCATTTTGATTGCTACAAAAAAGCTGAATGACCTAATTTAGTAAATCATGAAAGATAACATTTCTATCAGATATATATTATTTCCAAGACATAGATAGTCAGAGTATCATAATTAACTACATGTTTCTGAGTATCATAATTAACTACATGTTTCTGAGTATCATAATTAACTACATGTTTCTGAGTATCATAATTAACTACCTGTTTCTGAGTATCATAATTAACTACATGTTTCTGAGTATCATAATTAACTACATGTTTCTGAGTATCATAATTAACTACATGTTTCTGAGTATCATAATTAACTACATGTTTCTGAGTATCATAATTAACTACATGTTTCTGAGTATCATAATTAACTACATGTTTCTGAGTATCATAATTAACTACATGTTTCTGAGTATCATAATTAACTACATGTTTCTGAGTATCATAATTAACTACATGTTTCTGAGTATCATAATTAACTACATGTTTCTGAGTATCATAATTAACTACATGTTTCTGAGTATCATAATTAACTACATGTTTCTGAGTATCATAATTAACTACATGTTTCTGAGTATCATAATTAACTACATGTTTCTGAGTATCATAATTAACTACATGTTTCTGAGTATCATAATTAACTACATGTTTCTGAGTATCAAAATTAACTACATGTTTCTGAGTATCATAATTAACTACATGTTTCTGAGTATCATAATTAACTACATGTTTCTGAGTATCATAATTAACTACATGTTTCTGAGTATCATAATTAACTACTTTTGTAACATGTATTCTCGTATATAATCAACAAGTTTATTGCATTAATTTGAGCCATCCTGAAATCATTCTCAAAAGATATTTGGTAATTACTTAGTACATAACGAAAATGTTCTCATTAACCCTTCCCAAAAGCCATCTTCAGAAAATTTGCTCAAGGGTAAGAGAGAACATTTTCCTTATTTTCCTCATGCACTGTCCCTCAATCTTAATTTTTGAACTTTAATGTTTCTATATTTATTATTTTAGGTATCAGAACATGCTGGCTTTGCTCATGCACTATTGCACCAGAATTCATTAAAAAGGTCTCATCTGCCATCATCGGGCCAAGCAAAGAGGCTACGTAAACATCCACCAACAATTCATACTGTACCAGAAAAGTGAGTACAGTAAAACTTGTGTTTACAAGTCACACCGTTGGGAACACAATTAGTGCCTCACGTAAAAGATGTTCCACTTACAGAGGTTCATTAACATGAAGTCATTGAGTCACAGTGAATAACTGTACCCCATTATAGTAAAATATGACAGTGGTTTGTGGATTTATTTAATCATCGGCCCTCTATTTATAAAAGGGGAAATGAACCACATTGTAATATGAGTCCAGGCGTAACTTAATCTTTTATCAGACATCGAACCATTGTATCTTTCATCTGATGGCTTCAGGTGTTTTTCATGATCTCATACATTGTATAATATTCTACTTTCAGAGTTGTGGATACCTTAGTTGCTAATTTGGACCAAATGTTTCCGGACATGTCCTTGACCCTGAGTAGACCTCTGGGGGCTAGTGGTATTATACAGGTGAGTGTTTGAGGGGGATATAGAGAAGCCGTCCATCCGGGCGATAACTCCAATACCGGTTGACAGATTTGGTTCAAATTTTATAGGCTTATGCCTTATGAGTGTAGGACCTCTGCTCGAGAAGGAATTTTCAATATGGCTGCTCAATTCAAAATGGCCGCCATTTTTCGTAAAAAATGTAATCGTTTATAAGTCAAATACAAGTTGACGGATTTGGTTCAAATTTTATATCCTGATGCCTAGGGACAAAGGAGTTTCGCACAAAAATAGATTTTCAAGATGGCTGCTTAATTTCAAAATGGCGGCCATTTTTCGTAAAAATATGTAATCTTTGATTACTCAAATACCAGTGAACGGATTTGGTTCAAATTTTATAGGGTTATGCCTTATGAGTGTTGACGGATTTGGTTCAAATTTTATATGCTGATGCCTAGGGACAAAGGAGTTTGGCACAAAAAGAGATTTTCAAGATGGCCGCTTAGTTTCAATATGGCGGCCATTTTTCATAAAAATATGTAATCTTTGATTACTCAAATATCAGTGAACGAATTTGGTTCAAATTTTATATGATGATGCTTAGGGACACAGTAGCTATGTTCGACAAAAATTTTTCAAGATGGCCGCTTAATTTCAAGATGGCGGCCAATTTTCGTAAAAAATGTAATCTTTGATAACTCATTTACCAGTGAACGGATTTGGTTCAAATTTTATATGATGATGCCTAGTTCACAATGGTATAAACTAACTTTGTGCCAAATTTCATGCTTCTATCACAAAGTGCACAAACATTTCAACATTTACACTAGCTATAATAAGCATAATATGTTTTGTTCGGTGAGATTTGCTACTCCGTGGAGTTGCTGTTTTTCTAGTTTAAATTTATGTTTATGTATAGGTCACACTAAGTAGGACGTTAAAGGCAGTGGTGGTACTAAGGGGTCTACTTATAGAGTCTGTGATTGTCAGGGGCTATGGGGAGGAAATGTACAAGGAAAATGGAAAGGTAAGTGTATGTACACTTGAGAATGTGGCTTCCTCTCCAATACAATTCAAAGGATGATTTTGGACCATAAATTCATTTATAATAATAGGATTTTATTAGTACTGATGCCCTTTTAGGTAAATATAGCAATAAAGTAAAAAAATAGGATTACATTCTTCAAATGACATATAAAATGTTACTTTGATATAAGAATCCTGTCTCTACCAATCATTAGACATGTTAGATACTTTATCATGTCAGCAGATTTTTTAAATATGATCCCCTCACTCGTCAATAGAAAAATTGTCTTTTGGTGGTCATTCATGTTTTTAAAATTACTACACAGGTTTTCAAGTTTTTCAATATGGGATTTTCTGATAAACTCCAATTTTTTACATTTGAATAAAAAGTGTGTTTTTATTTTATAGCTTATTGGGCCTAAAAATGGGCCTTGTCACAAACTTAAATGACAGAGACAACCTGGCTCTATAATCTCTAAAACATTAAATGCATTGATTAAACTGTTGACAATTTAGTCTTTGACAATGAATCAATCAATTAATATACAGGGAGTCCTCAAAGTCTCTTTATAATTGCAATTCAGTCTGTGTAGAGTGTAAAGAAACTTCATGGACACCCTGTGTGTCCATGAAACCAGATTATATGTTTGAACAAATTAAGTGAAAGAATAAAATTGTTTTTATCTTTATATGATTTTAGTTGGACATTTGGAGAAAATCTAAACATGCAGTTTTTAACAAGGTAAGTCTGTTGTTTCTTGACAACTTGGAGTTTTCTCAAGACTTTTAGCCTGACAAGCAGACATTTTTTGTTATTTGATTTTCTGCTTTAAAGCCTCAAAAATACCTTTGCATTTTACTTTCTTGATTTTAACAAGATCATTCTATGATTGATTTGGTTTTGGTCTTGGTTACCTCGTTAAAAATATTACATTCCTATTTCAGATCACGGAGAATGCCAGTGCTGCCATGCTGCACTTCTATGCCCCTCTAATGGCTGATATCGCAGTAAAATCATTCCTTGTAAGTAATTGCAGCTAGTTAACAAGATCATTTTTATGTCACCACCAAGAAGTCTGTTTTTTGTGGCGCCGGTTGGTGATTGGCGATCAGCGGGTGGCGGTTGGTGTCTGTAACAAATTCTTAAAACTTCCAATAACTTAACAAATACTGTTTAGACTGACTTCAGTTTTTTTCCAAATCATCTACAAGTTTTCAAAACCTCAAATCTGACTTTTCATTTAAGATTTGATCTTCAATGACATATTCAAGGTCAAAAAAGTTAAAAAAAAGGTCAAAAAGGTCTTTTTTCAACTTGCTTCAAATTGACCAAATATTTTTTCTCAAAAGTTCAAATCTGACGATTGATTTTACCTTCAACGACCTCAAGGTCATGAAGGTCTTTTTTCAACTTGCTTCAAATTGACTAATTATTTATCTACAAGTTCTCAGAAGTTCAAATCTGTCTTTAGATTTGAGATTTCACCTTCAATGACATTCTCAGGGTAAAAAATCTTACTTCAAATTAATGAATTTTTTTTCAAAATCATCTACAGAGTTTCAGAAGTTCAAATCAGACTTAAGATTGAACTAATAATATTGTGAGCAACTAGGTGGTGACATTTTGTCATGTTAATGCCTTGTTATTCTTATACAGTTTCCCCTTATGAGTTGTTATATTGTTATAATTGTAAAGTAATGAATGGTAATACTGGACTTTGATGTAAGTGTATGCATTTCTATGAAAAAATATCCCTTTTTACCTCTTACATAATTGATTATCCCTAAAACATCATGCTGGCTATTTCAAAGCCTTGGCTAGGTCAAAATAGCCATATTGCAATAATGTTACATTATAGGCCTTTTAGAGTAAAAAATAAAAGAACTAATTTTATGATTTCTATCCATTTTCAGACATGGCTTCATAGCTACAAGAAGTTATTCTCAACACTATGTGTAAAATGTAACAAATATTTAGTAGACAATCTACCTCCAACTTGGAGAGATTTGCGGAATTTAGATCCTTATCATGAGAGTTGCAGACCTTGAAACTGTATACATAACAGTAATAATTGACCAGTATGTACTGGAAAATACCATGGCTGGTGTGGTGACTGGTGAGAGACATTTGCAAGATTTGATACAAAGGGATAGTCAAATTAGGTTTACTTCATATTTGTTGCGGTTTGATAACAAGTAACCGTTGGACCGCAATGACAGCATGAAAGACTGCATTAAGTGTATTAATAAAAGATGAACTCAAAAGGTGGCTTTTTGTTGCCAATGTGAGGTTTGTTGTATGGGACGAGATTCTACCCTGAATTCTACCTTAGATTCTACCCGCTTTACCCACTGACCATGACAAATGATTTACCAGTAAAGGTTTTACTGTTCATAAGAGGATCTCAAATTAAATGTAAATTCCAATGTTAATAACTGGCAGCTACAAAATCAAAACTGAATTTGGATTCTCAATAAATAAATGTGGTTCTGTGCAATTATATGGTTGCCATCTTTATAATGAATGGAAGTCATTAACAGAGCGAGAAAGCATCATACTAATTCTCTACTATGTGATCATATGAACAACATGAATCTGCAATTGTGCTGTATGGCATAATCTGTATACTTTAATAAGAAAAATACAAAAACAAAGAATTAAAATATTATATTTTTGTTCCATTTATTGTAAACTATGTGTGTATAAATATAAATGTATAGTAGGTTATAGGAACATCAACAAAAACTAATCTAAAAACTAAAAAATAATCCCATACCACTGAATTAAAACACTACAAATCTTTCCCACATACCTACATCTTGCTCATGTGACTTGAATGTTAATTTCAATTAAATTTTAATTTCAAGAAAACACCTTGAAGGAAATTGTACATATCCAGAGACATATCTGGTGTAGTTGAGCAGATGTTAAAGTAAACCAAACAAAGGCACAAAACTATTCACCATCCTTAAGGTGGTCTACTGTCCTGGCATGTCTAGATGAAATACCGGTAACAAGGTGTGTTATGAATTATGGCCAGGTATAGGAATTTTATATTTTCAATAAACAATCCAAGACAATAAATACTTATTTCTTTGGTAAAATGGAAAGATGCAATTTTCTAAACCAGATAATAAACAGAGTGACAGTCCGACAGACCTATTCATTAAACTATATATACTAGTTTACCTTGGTTTCAATTTGTCTTTACCCAACTTTACTACCCATTGAAATTTATTTGGAAAAATATTAATTTCCTGTTTGTAAATTCTATTGTTTTCAACAGTTGAAGAAACAAAATCAGCCTACCCCTTCCTGACACATTTTCCACATGTGTACACTGCCTCAAAATAACAATGAGACACTAATCTCACCACCATCACACATCAAATACATGATTAAAAATCTATCTTAATCTTAATATCTAAAACATCAATTCTACTAGGCCTGTAGACCTATGCCTAGAATTATTCCATGATGTATTTTAAGTTATCCTTACATTATTTGGTCCAAGCTATTTAAAATAAAGAGAATTCTTAAAGTACATTTATGATGCATTCACTGACAATATTTAAAGAAATGATTCCAACACACCACTGGCACATTTTACAATGTATTTGGCCTCACTTTCTAATATGTGAGCCTTTCACTCAGGCTTTAATGTGGTAAGGTCATTGCATGATGGGGTTTGGATGGCACATCTCAATGGCCAACTTTTTCTGAGAATAATTCAGATAGGTAAGATGTTCTACATAGCAGTTTCTAACACCAACTATTATTTTCCCCTTGATTGTAGAACCTTTGGTGTTTAACATTTTGTAAAAATAGCATTCAATTAATGAGTACACATATGGTATACATAGATTCTACATATTAGTACTAATTCATCTAAGTCACATAGGCCAATCCTCCTATAGAGGTCAAGCCTAATAAATCAAGAAGCCTGCTTGGCCTGGCAAGCACCATTCTCCAACTGCAGGGCTGCAAGATCCAGATTATCTTCTTTATCATTCCCTATAAAGAAGGAGGAATGAGTTCTGCAGCCCTGGATTTGGAGAATGGGCCAGCACCTACCTATAAAATCACTATATCTGTAGTTTCTCTGCATTTACTATCTTAGCAATTAATTGTGTGATTGTGTGTGAAAGACCATCCTATATGGTGAAGTTCCTACATAACACCATTTATTTTACTTCCGAATCATATTCAATTTTGCATATAATTAGCAGCATATCCTTATTTTGGTAATCATCCTGTCTGCATTGTTGTCCATTTCTCATCTTTGAATGCAGTCACTTCTACTTGATGAGCAAGGACTCCATTAGCAAAGATGGTAATTAATACGACATTGCGTATCGTAATTTTGATCTTCAATTTTGTGCCACTACATCCACTCACACTGTGTTATTGAAGTCATCTGCTAACATATTCCATGTGATTTTGACCATATTATGATTCCTAGAAGAGCAATACCAACTTTTAGATGAACAATGATTTTATACCAAATCAATTACAACATACAAAAATGGAACCCTGATAAGCATGATGCCTCCTCCCATTCTACTTGATGCCCCCCCCCCCCCCCTAATGCTGTCAAGGCTCACTGGGCCTACACGGTCTCCCTGCCCTTTGTTTAATGAAGTCTGGTTGGTTTTTTGAATTGATCCCGTGAGTCTCCATCCAATATTTTATGTTAATGTTGTTTTTGAAGTCTCGTTGCAACAGCTGCTACAAATCCTGCACCTCGACCACTCCCATCTTCTGCTAATATTAGCTTGCACTGAAATATATCAAATTACACTGAAATATATCAATTTACACTGAAACATATGAACTTACAATGAACCATTAATGAATTCATTATTTTCAATGTAGACAATTAGCTTTCTTATTAGAGCAAACAATAATGAATGGAATCGATAAATATTTACATGAATAACAGGGGCGGATCTGGAAACCAACAAGGGTGGGGCCCAAATTTCAGGTTAGAGGAAAAAACTTCCCCGCTTGCGCGGAAAAAAGATTTCGGGCCCCTAAAACCCAAAAGTGGGCCCAAATTTTGAGGCCCATTTTCTTCAAAATTTGGCATGAAATTAGAAAATAAGGCCCAGTAATGACCAAAAAGTCCCACTTTTTGGAGCCTGAAGGCCTTTTTTGGCTCAAAAATTTTTTTGGGCCCCCAGCCCCCCCCTAATCCGCCAGTGAATAAAGTATAGTTGCTTAAATGCTATTTGAATTTTTAATGGTGTAAGTAGAATTTCTATTATTTACACTTACTTTTGTGGAGGGTGATAGTTTGGAAATGACCCCCATGAGGAGGTCATGTAGCTTAGGGTGGTATTTGTAGAGAGAGCCATCTATAGCAACTGTAACCTCTGGTTTAGAGATGTGGTTTAACAGAACTGCAGTAGCTACAATAAGAGATACACAAAAATTCACTAAATACTGAAATTGATTTTATTTAGGGGAAAACCTGAAAACACTCGCGCCCGCAATACCTGTGGCATTCTTAGTGATTTTTGCATGAACGTATTGTTTTCACTCTGTAGGTTGCAGGCAATAGACTCTTCACAGAGTATATTGCCCTTCATTGAATTGAGAAACATGTTGCCCTTCATTGAATAAAAAAACAGGCATGCCCTTCATTGAAAAGAGAAATATATATTGACCTTCATTGAATAGAGAAATGGGTATTGCCCTTCACTGAATAAAGAAACAGATGTTGTCATTCATTGGATGAAATGTGTGCTTAGTATGAAAATACAATCACAAGTGGCTAATACAATGCTATAGGCAAAGCCGCTACAAGTGTTCATGTTTTAGTCATGACGAAAAAGATTCCAAGGATAAAAATAAACAAATAATACATTAACATACCTGCACCAATTATCTGAGCTGCCCTGAGAGATACAACTGCACAGGTGTATTTTATTACATCTTTGTCACTCTCACTGACCATATTCTGCATGTCAAGCTCTTTCAGCACCCCATCAAGCTTTTCTGAGGTGCCCTTGAGATTGTCTCTGATAAACAGGTGAAAAAAACAAAGATTCATTGCTGTTTTAAATTATTTTATGATATGGGGCTGTGTAAGGAGGGATGGAGAGGGTGCTCAAATTTTTCACAATGAACCTTTGTCAGTGAGTTGGATGATTTTATCAAAATGCACCAGAAAAGGTTCACTTTCTTAAAAGTTTCAGCTCCCAAGACAACAAGAAACTTTAACATGTGTCTGAATAAACCTTTGATGTAGTCAAGGAATCAAAATTGTCAATAAAACAATTCTGCACTAGTCCCACCATTTTCTTAATTAGACCATGGGCTTTCTAGATTAAAAAGCTCAATCTCAATATGAGATTCGAATTATTTTTAACTAAAACTAAAACAAAATGACTTACTCTTCTATCACAGAAACGTGAGATGCTGTGAATATCCAACGATTGCTGAATTTATCAGACACACCCCCTTTAAATATCAAGCCATCTTTTTGTAAGTGCAACAAACAGAGTCGCACTATTTCACCGATATACATTCCTGAGAACAGCTTTTCAAATCTGAAATGAAAGAATCCTACGAATGTATGACAAAAACTAATAGAAACCATACAAATGATGAACAAGGTATTAACATAACAAAAGGTCACCACTTGGTAAATAATAGAAAGTTGTAAGAAATTGTTACAGACGCTGAATGCCGACCACCAAACACTGTCCACAAAAAAGTTGGAGACATTAACATTATGTCGCTACTTCTGGTGGTGACATAAAAAATGATAATAATTGATGTAAATGATCCCAATTATGTTTCTTCTTCAGTCAAGCTTCTATTAATCAGTGCCCTCGATCTGTTAATTTTGAGGAACTATTAAATTATCTCCCCGTTGTTGGTGTTTGTTGGTGTTGGCATGGCAAGGAATTTTGTGAGAGAAAAACACTGAAAAATTTTACTCTCAACACATCTCTAGTTTTTGTGGCTCCTTTGATCTGTAAGTAAATAAACTGAAAATAAGTGCACCAAGTTATGTGGATAAATACTCTCAATTGACCAAACACCCTACAGAGCACATGAACATATACTTACGTAAATGAATGTACATGGTTGGAATGTAGGTCAACCTCAATGTCATAGTCTGTTTTCAACCAATCAAGGCTACCATTGTCACCAAATGCTCCCCATTCTATATCTATGGCAACCTGCTGTTTGGGAGAATCTATTGGACCTTCCCATTTCTCCATGTGAGTTAAATATTCCATATAGGCAGCATTTGAACCAGTACCTATGGGTAAAAATAAACTTAAAAACCAATCAAGGCTGCCATTGTACCAGATGTCTACCATTCTATGGACATCTACATCAACAACCTGTCCAGTGTCCACATGAGTTCAAGGTTTGTCACCTAATGACCCCCCCCCTCACATTGCTACCCTATCTTACTACAACTACAACAGACAGGTCCAATAAGGACACATTTTTGAAAATCTGGATCATATTTTTCTTAGAAATATTGCCTTTAAATTATAACTTCTAAAAATTTTGCCTGTTATTTTCATGTTTTGCGTATGAAACCCCCGAGACATGACAATGATAACCTTATGTATTTAAATACCCACCTAATATCATTCCTATTTCACACTGGTGGTCGAGGTATGAACCAGCAGCTAAGGTTCCAGTAGTGTCATTCAACACAGCCACAATATCAACATTAATACCCTACAATAGTAGCACAAGTTGTACTTGTTCATGATCAACATTAATACCCTACAATAGTAGCACAAGTTGTACTTCTTTATGATCAACATTAATACCCTACAATAGTAGCACAAGTTGTACTTGTTTATGATCAACATTAATACCCTACAATAGTAGCACAAGTTGTACTTGTTCATGATCAACATTAATACCCTACAATAGTAGCACAAGTTGGACTTGTTTATGATCAACATTAATACCCTACAATAGTAGCACAAGTTGTACTTGTTTATGATCAACATTAATACCCTACAATAGTAGCACAAGTTGTACTTGTTCATGATCAACATTAATACCCTACAATAGTAGCACAAGTTGTACTTGTTCATGATCAACATTAATACCCTACAATAGTAGCACAAGTTGGACTTGTTTATGATCAACATTAATACCCTACAATAGTAGCACAAGTTGTACTTGTTTATGATCAAGGTAACATTTTCAGAAATTTCATAACCAGGCAAAGACGTCATAGACAAGTATTTGTGTTATGTTATGACATTTGGACCCCATCATAGTGTGATAGCTTTCTTCCAGGGTCATGGCTAATGTGAGGGGCTACACAAATATCAATCAATAATATATTAATCATTCTAAATTAAAATATACAATTTTATACTGTCTCAGAGATTAAATTGAATTAAATCATATCTACCACATGATGGGTCCAAAATACTGAATTGAAACTAACCCCTATTTTTGCAATAGCATCCTCTAGCATCTTCACAGCATCCTGGCCAACTCCATCAGGACATTTGAAGCTCTTGGTCCAGGTCACCAGAACACCACAGTTAAGTGCATTTTGGGTCATTGGGAATGAAAATGTGAATCCTAAAATGTGAAAGCACAACTCGGTACAATACGGTTAAGTGCATTCTGGGTCATAGGGAATGAAAATGTGAATCCTAAAATGTGAAAACAGAGCTTAATAGCCAAAGTTAAGCGTACTCAGGGTCATAAGAAATGAAAATGTGAATTCTGAAATGTGAAAATACAGCTCAGGGGTTATGGAAGACAACATGTGAAGGCAAAGGTTGAAAATACAACGTAGGTCTTAATATTTCACCACTTCTTAAAATACCTGTATTTTGAAATGCATACTTGAGTGAAGTCAAAACGCAAATTCTGAACATCTTCTTTCTGAAACAAAAGTAAATTAATACTCACCCAATGGTAATCTATTTGTTATGTTCTCCTCTTGTAGAAATTTCCCAATACTCCTTGCCAAATGATCAAACACCTAAAATGATAATTTTCAAACAACTATTGAACTCTATTAGAAAGAGAAATGGCACCATTCAATGGACTCACATACATGGTGATTCTTTATACGGTACTCATTTTCAAAAAATTAGTCCAAGTTGCAAGAGTAGGTCAAATTGCAATAGTAGGTCAAATTGCAAATTATCATTATCATAAGTATGCAATGATACAATAGAATAAGATTTATAAAATTAGCCCATCATGAAATTATTTTAAGAGTAACAAGTTCAAAAAGAGAATCAAACAGTCTTTTAAATAAACAGCATTGGCTTCTCAGTTCCAAATTCCCATTGGAAACATCCTAAGGGCATACCACACGCTAGAATTCAAATTTTCGTGTTCCAGGTAGTTAGTTCGGAAAAAATCATGAAAATATATGGTGGAGCAAGAATATGTGAGTACTGTACCCCTTCGCAAGGACCATGCAATTGTTCCTTGGTAAGATTGTAGTTCCGACTAATACTCTCAGCTTTTCCTTGGCGGAACTTCACTAGCAAAACTCTGAAGTTTGTACCCCCTAGGTCCAGTGCAAGATAGTCACCTTCCTCTGAAAATATGACAAAAACTGTAATAGACTATGACATAATAAATATAAGATTTGATCAACTCGTGTTTAATAAAGATTTTGCTGACATTGATAGATGCTATTTCATTATTCAATATTTCAAATATGAAAAACTAATGGAAACTAATACATCTAGTATTAAAGCAGCAAATATGGAACCCTGTTGATTATAAAATTACCTTGCACCCAGTCATCCCAGTTGAAAATCCATTAACACCCTAACCCAGTTGAAAATTTGAAAAATAGTTAAACTGGTTATTGATTAAATAATAAATTGATAAAATGAATTATGCCCTCCCTATATAAGAAAGAAATTGAGAAAGAAGTTCTAAAAATAACTCCACACACCTGTCCCATCAAGGAGTTGGGTCACATAAGTGTTTTCCATCTGGCATGAAGATGTTTTCCTTATACTTTCATCTTTACTCATCCCTTTCTTCATCTCTGATTCTAAAACACTCATCATCTTTTGAACTGCAGCATCATCCAATAGCATTGAATCTACCATTGATTTAACCTGAAATATCACCATATGTATACTGTACTAGTTAGTAATTTATTTGAATATCTGAACAATTTCTATATGAATTCATGTGTCAATTGTTCTCTTTGAAATATTAGAACATACAGCAAAATAGTTTATATTAATAATATTTGGAATAATTTCTGAAGTAAGCACTCGTTTTATGAATTTTTAAGTCTATTTTTCTCTTACTATGACATCATGACATGCAGAAGGTTATTTAAATGGTTCCAGAAAATCCCTCATAAGAATGATTACAGAAATGACACCCTTGTTAACATTTACATGGCTTCTCCTTAACTCAACTACAAGCATTTATAAGGTGTGCATTTCTGTTTACCTTTTCCATGTTCTCCCCAGTAGGTAACTGTGGAAGACTTTGAAAGTTTGTTCCAGTAGAATCAGACATACCTGAAACAAGGGAAATTCAAATGACAATGGAAACCCAAAACAGTTAATTGAATATTTAGACAACTTTGGCAGCCATATCCCTTTAAAATTGAGATTTTTGATGTATTAAAAAAAATATAGCTTCTCTCTTATTGCATTAATCTTAACAAAATTTTGACATAATATAGAAAATTATCTGAACTTTTTAGAAAAAAAATATAGAAAAAAAATATTTCGAATTAATTTATGCACAAATAGTGCTCCTTAGCATATTCAAGATGGATTAGTCTCGTAATTAACAATTTACAGTCATTTTAATATGCAGAGAATTTGAATTTTGAAAATTGTCCACTAAAAGATGCAGTTCACAGTGTGCAGAGTATCTCAATGAATAAAGTACCAATCACCCTAATATTTGGCCTACTGATCCATAAGAATACATGGAACAAGCCATGTGTGTTTGTTTTAATATTTTTGTGATATTTTTAACAACTGTATTTGGGTTGTCAGTTTCTCGTTGGCATAACTCACTAGATGCTTTCTTTGAGGAAGCCAGTGAAACAGCTTTAGTTGCAGGTTTTTGGCCCGATGGCATGTTCATGTTGGCAAGGAATCGATTTCCCTGCTCATGATTCTTTCCAATGGCAAACATGGAGACTGGGAATCTCCTGTTCACATCATATGGCCCAAAAGAAGGCTTTTGAGAGGTATGAAATGAACACATTTCCTCACAAGCATTACAGTAAATTCCAATTGTGGAAGCTAGTCCAACACGTGTCTCTGTGAATTGTATTTGCTCTGGATTGTTTCTGTTCCCGAATGAGGTGAGTTGCATGACGGGCAACTAAACTGGCGGAGGAACACAAGCAGTAGTTCTAAGTCCACAAAACGAAATCCAGTTAGTTCACTAGAGGGAGACTCAATTTCTTGATTGATATTCAGCTTTGCTGCTGATGCAGATTTAGGCTTCACTTCGATTTCAACTTTTGACTTTTTCACTTCAGGTTCAGCCTCAGATTTTTTTGTTCCGTGATATTTCCTCTTTTTAGGCCTACTAGCCCTAGAATACTTTTCTTTACCTTTAGCCATAGTATTAAGTACAATATCAACTTGATTAGAACTTATTTACTATGATTAAACTGGTATGATTCTCCTTCTTTATCCTTGAGACTGTAATGTTGTTGACTGAACACTTGATGCAGTTTATCACTTGATGCTATTGCATATGCAATCACTCGATGAACTAAAACATAAACATTAATGTTAAAATGTAACAGTTTCTTAAGTAATTAAGTCCAGCATGTCTTTAAGTTTCCATGCACTTTATATATACAGATTCTAATTTCAATTTATGTTTAGAATCTTTTAGAGTCCTTTTAAGAAGCTTCTAATATGGCCAACAATCTTGTTGTTGACTGAATGTTTTATGTCTGTATTTATCCCATTAATGTTTGTAGATCAATTTTCGGGTAATATCAATGGAATTAAAGTTTAAAAGTTCAGATTCCACTCCAGTCAGTTTAACTACCCGCATATCATTTACATGACCAGGATCACAATGTACATGGTCAGAATGACCCTAAACATGAAATAACTTTTTCAGCCCTCTGAAAATGTGACTGAAAAATAGGTAAAAGTAACCCTCAGGAAAGGTACTGAAGTACCTTTTGAGAAAATGTGCCCAATATATTGCTCTAACTGATACAATCCCAATCAAGCACAAAACAAGATTTTTTAAAGAAATGCGTTAGTTTTTGCGGTAGATTTTTTATAAAAACAGTAGTTTTTATGGTAGATTCTGTTTGTCAGGTAGATTTTGAAAATAAAAGGAGTTTTTATGGAAGATTTGAAATAAAACGGAAGTTTTTACGGATTATCTCCAGTTTTTCTTTTTAAAAAGCAACAGTTTTTGCGGTAATACTTGGTGAAAAATCTTGCTTGATTTAAAGTCTGATGCTCTAACACTACGCCATAAGGGCTAGCAAACATAGCTGAGCATGATCCCCGCCTGAAGGAAGACGCCCATTATCACCCAGGATATAGATTATGGCAAATCTAACTTCTGGCATCAATATAGCAACCTGAGAATGCCTCCGGGGAGCTGACATGTAATGAGCCAGATACAGGCACAGACATGAAAGGGAGTCTGCTGAACTCAATGCCCAGTGTGGGAATCCAGGCCTGTCAACTTGGGAACACTTAACATGAGTGACTTACAAATGTTGAACACCTACCTTCCTTCAAATTGTGGACACCTTGGTCCAAAACTGAACAGTGAACACCTTGTTCAAAATATCGGACACTCCATCAAAGTGGGGTTAGGTTACTCACGTCGAGAGCTACCATGTTAGATTTTGAAAGTATAAGCTATACTTTCAAAATCTAAGTAGCTCTCGACGGGAGTAAGGGTTAGGTACAAAAAAATTTGAAGCAAATGTGTGACATATACATAAATTTTGAACCAAATGTCAAATGTGCGACATATAAGGAATCCCTGTGAAATTTTCAAATGAAATGCGTTCATTTTTTCGGCGTTCGTTTTTTTATGATGGTCTCAGATAAAGACCTTGAATAAAATGTGTATTTGCAAGACATATTCTGTCATGCTAAAAAAGCTGGTGTGACTTCAATTTCTTCACCAAATGTGTGACAAATATGCAAATTGCTGGACAGTTGGATGGCCTGGGGAATCAAACACAGGACCTTATGGATCAAAAGCCTGATACTCTACCGCTTAGCAATAAGGGCTAGCGACCATAGCTGAGATGTAGTAGAAACTTGCTATTCATGGGCGTTAAATATTATCTAAAGAAATAAAATAAAAATAAAAAAGAGAAATCCAGTGAGCGATAATATGTTATTTTACGATAAAAGTAATAATATCACAAATACTCGTCCAATTAGGATTAAAAAATTACACATGAATTAAGTTAAATATAATATTAATATCCAGTTCTTCATGTATTTGTAAAGATATTCATTCTTACCCAATTTATAAAACAAACACTGGTTGCAAATGAACAAAAATAAAGGGGCCGGCCACGTAGCGTTAAATATGCGAACGTAGAAATTTGATGAGCCCAAATGAAACAAATTTCTAAATCTTGATTCAGATTCAAATGAAATGGGAAATTTTATCTTGAATAAGCACGACTGATAAAGTAAAATCTAATTTGCAATTTGCAATGATAATTGCCATTCATTTGACCTTGAGCTGGCTAGTTAAAATTAAAGAATGAAGCACAATGAAAAACAAAATCGTTCGTATTTAGGCCTACTCTGACCCATTTCAAAAAATTAAAAACGTAAAAGGCGCAAGATATGTGAGAATTCTGTATTGTATACAAAGTAGTAAGTTGTTAAAAGGTATGAATATATTTTATGATATCACTTTGTTCAACAATCTATACTATATTTTACTCAAACGCTTAAAATGTATGATTTTAGCCCAAGATATATTTGAAATTTCGATTTTCACTCTATTATCGCCCACTAATCTGGGAATACCATGTGTGATAGGGTCAAGATTGCAGTTAAAAATCCCATCGAGGACCATTATAACGTTTCATGTCGTATTATATTCATCTAGCTCAGCGAAACAGTGCCTAGTGTTCATTGGAGTCTTGGTTAGCTTGCCGTTATGATACGGTGACCACACCGTTTTTGAGATAACTGAGTCTGGAGAGAGCTACCACGGTAAAGCTACCTGTTTCAGAAAATTATTCTGCTCTACATAGTCTCGAAAATCACTCCGCCATCTCTAAAAATTCTGTTTTTAACCAAACTTGTAAATATTTGCTGATAGATTAGTACCTACCCTATCGAGAATACATGTAAACATTGATTCATTTATCAAACATTAGATGGCGCTGCGACTTGCCGGAAAAGGAGAGAAGGTATTTTTAAACAGGAAACCAAATAACCAACGGTAACCGCTAGTATCCCTACTCCGAACTATATTCATACTGATAATCTATTGTGAATACCAAATTAAAGGGGTATTCCTTGCCAGACCATCTCTCTCCTAATATGGTAGCTATAACCATATACATACTTTGCAAGTTTATCAAAAAACAGAAAAATGTTTTGAAATGGTCAATATTGATCACTTAAAAATGTAGTGCTCAATTCCAGTAAGCTGCCATCTTTTAAAATTTCACTCAGGAAGTGATGTCATCGACTCTCAACTTTGCATATAACATTAGGTAAGGAGCTATTAGAATTACTAAACCAGCTGAATATTTTTTTCAATTTGGTCTTTGATTAAAATCCTTTTGACGATCTCTTCTTTAGTTCTAAGTTGACAACTCCTGAAAATATTTTTACACATAAGATAAGGGCTTCTTGTTTAGAAGTGATTTTGTACTTCTTTCCTATACTGTAATAGACAAGGTTATAACAGGTGAGAGTCGATGACATCACTTCCTGAAAGAAATCTGAAAAGATGGCAGCTTACTGGGAATGAGTACTACATTTTTAAATGATCAATATTGACCATATGAAAACATTTTCCCGTGTTTTGCTAAATATGTAAAGTATATATATGATTGTATCTACCATATCAGGAGAGAAATAGTCTGGCAAGGAATGTTCCTTTAAGCAATTTGCAGATAAATCTGAATATTTTCATTTCCAGTTGTTCATAATTGGCACCTTACAATGTCCGGGTTCAATTTTGGAAACACAGCTGGAGGCACAGGTGGTGGATTTAGTTTCTCAACACCAGCTAAAACAACAGCATCCACCACAGGTTTTAGCTTTGGCACTCCCGCATCAACAGCGGCAGCCACAACGCCTGCAGCTGGAGGTTTTAGTTTTGGAGCTGCTCCAGTTGCAGCTACCACTACCACCAGTGCTGGAACAGGTTTCAGTTTTGGAGCAACTCCAACAGCAGGGACTGTTGCATCAACTGCAAGCACAACCGGAGGATTTGGTTTCAGTGCTACAGCTTCAAAACCTGATGGTAACAATGAAGATTTTATTATCAAATGATTTTTATTCTACTGTTATTTGTAAATCAACAGAACACATAACAATGTGCTTCATTATTATCCCAACGAACGAAGTTCGGTAGGGATATAGTGAAGCCCTCCGTCCGTCCGTCAGTCAGTCCGTCCGTCCGTTAATATAGTCCAGGGACCCAGTTATGTCTTATTTATTGAATCCATGCAGGGAAGGGGAGTGTTTCCATGGACTAAAACGTTAAACCCACCTATGCCCAGTCACAAGCCTGAGGAACCTGCTTTTATATCTAATGTGGATTTTTATCTTACCAATCATGACTTAAATATTAATATGGGTATTTCCTATAATTAATATATACTGGATTTTAACTTACCAAATATGACTTCAATATTAATATGGGTTTAAACCTATAATGTATTAAATACTGGATATGACAAGTAAATAAAATCAATTATAATCTACCTATATGATGTAGATATCCAAATGTTGGTCTGAATTTATCTTTGTGGAAAGATTGTATGCTTCAGTTGCTCTTTAACAAAACATGTGGGACAGTGTATCTATATATTACAAGACGTCCGTCTGTCCGGAAGATAACTCAAATACGAGTTGACGGATTTTCTTCATATTTAGTGGAAAGATGTATATTGGTGAATAGTTGTACGCAAAAACTTTTTTCAAGATGGCCGCCGCTTTAAAAATGACGGGACTTTTTCGCAACAATCATAAATTTTTCATTCTAAACCAAAGTAATTAATATTATTGTTTGAAATTTTGGTAGTATATTTGCAACATCTTTCTATTTCACATATATTCCGTGTTTTTCATCCTGACCCCCAGGGGCCGTGTATGGGGGGTCAGGAAAACAGTAATTTTCGCTAATTTTTAGATATTTCTGAAGTATAGCTTTATTATACTCAAATGAAAGGCAATTAAGAGTAGATTGCAAATATTGTATCTTTTTTCTGATTCGAGCCTCGTAAAATTCAAAATGGCCGTCTAATGTACGATTTCGCAATAATTTTTCGATTCCTTCAAAGTATGGCTATATTATACTCAAATTGAAGGAATTTTGGAGTAGATCACAATTATGGTATTATTCTTCAGATTTGTACCTCAGAAAATTCAAAATGGCTGCTTTGCAGGAATTCGCAATTCTAAAATCTAAATTTTTCAATTTTAACCAAACTAATGAGTATAATTGTTTGGAATTCGGTAATTGATATTTTGTTCGTTGGGATTTGCTACTCCGCGGAGTTGCCATTATATTAAATTATGAAAAAACCTCTTTAAACATAAAACACAGATTAAAAAAAAAACATGAAATTAGTTAGATATTTCAACATTGGTTCCACTTTTAGCCCCAAGTGGATTGAGCTTTGGATCAACACCTGCTGCAAAGCCGAATCAAAGTACTGGGTTTGGTGCCAGTGTACTGACTGCTCCTGCCCCTGCATCGACAGCACCTGCATCATCTGGTTTCTCTTTTGGTGAGTATGGAAATAGGAATTTAAAAGATCCTTCAGATTCATACCATCAGACACTGGTTATTTATTTTGAGAGCAAAAAAAGGGTAAGTAGAAATATGTGCTGTCAAGACCTTTTACGTATGGAACAATATATAATCTGATAATACACATGCCAGAATCTTGATCTTGGATAGATGATTGCCTTTAATTGGGACATGGGCTTTCAAGAGAGCCCATGATTGGGAGTAATTGGTTTCATTCCACCAAAAATTAATCTCAATTTAATTTCAAACTGTGCATATAATCAAATTGAAATGCTAATAATTCATTATTTATGTACATGTAGGAACTCCAGCAAGTCAGTCATCTGCTCCTGCCACTGGGTTCACTCTGTCGACGCCACAAAGTGCTGCAGCTGTGAAACCCACTCCCACTCTTCCTGCAACCACAGCTGCTCAGCTGTCATTTGGTAAGTTCCAGTACATCACGTACATAGAGATTATCCTATATGAGGTTCAGGATATTGGGATTATCCCGAGGCCAATATAATATATTTGCCTGAGGGCCGCAGGTCCCAAGGGAAAATATATTATATTGGCCAAGGGATAATCCCAATATCCTTAACCGACTATAGGATTATATGTTTATCCCATACCAATCTTGGTCATCTGGTTCTCATAGAATATTCATGTCCAGTTTTCTTGGCCGTGGGCGAATTTTCCTGTTCTCTCAAATATTCCCATATTTATTTTCTCGAATTTTTGATTGATTAAGTGGATGCTCCTTCCCTTTTTTAAACCATCAAACAGATCCCGGTTGTCTGTGTTTTCTCCATTGTCGTTTACAGTCATTACGCGAACGTTACAAATTATGAACAAATGTGCGAGCTGCGATTATGACGTAGCGGGCAGATATACTATATCTGCCCGCTCGGAGCGGGACGTAAAGCTATATCTGCCCGCTGATGAAAATATAAGTTTTTACAAACCGGTTTTATGTACCTGTAACACGTCCAAGTATTGGATAAATGCTGTTATTTCATGAAGTATGAACTTTTTAATATGGACACTATTTAATTTGTACTCCATAAGTAGATTTGAAAGTCTATATTCAGGCACATTAATCAGGTTTTTCCTCTTTTTGGCAAAAAATAGTCAAAACATCAACATTTTTAAATTGTCAAATATACTAAAATGGGTGCAGCATGAGTTGCTTCAATGTTGGGCAAATTTCTTCACATATTACATAAATTTATATTCTACTAAAGGTGGCTCTAAGATTGGGACAGCCACACCCCAGGTACCTGCCCCAACTGTTAGCGCAGCACCGTCACTAGGCTTAACCCTTGGAGCCCCAGCCGCAACAGCTACTACATTAAACCTTGGCACTGCAGCATCTCAAGCAAGCACAGCAGCTGGAGGGCTGAAATTAGGTAATACTAATCTTATTGCTTAAAGCAATATGAAATGGTATTTTTAAACTAAAGGAATCAATATAATTTTTGATAAATGTATTTGGACATGTTTTCTCATCAGAAGTGTGAAAATTATTTCACTCTAACGATCGTTATAGCTGCTTAACCTCTTGAATCCCAGGTTCTAAAATAGCTTGAAACCAGATGATTTTTCATTTTTGCCAGCTTTTGACATTTTACGACATACTACATATACAACAGCCGATGATCATTTCTCACTCTGGGTAGTCAAGAGGTTAATAAGCAATATTCGAATTGGTTGTGACGTTATTGGTCCCCACGTGATCTCTCACTGGTCCCCACGTGGCCCATTTTGGTCCATTAGATCATGACGTCATAATGCCAAAATGTTTTGTTATTTGTTTACACAACAATCCTATGGTTGCCGTGATGTTGTGATTACTAAGGAACCAATAAACAAAAGCTATATTTTGTATATGACGTTACTAATCATGTGGGGGCCAATTTGATCGATCAGTAGTTTTATTTCGTTATACTATGACCGTTAGCAGTTATCTAACATTTATTTTATAATGGCTATCGCAAGAACTCTACGTTGGGCTTACAATGGAGAAAACCGCATTTTTGTAGCTGCAAGTTGAGAAAAGCTATTTCAGTTGTCCTTTAAACAGTAAATTCTTAAATGACTTCATTGCAACATTGTTTTTGGCTCATTTATTGGGGTGGGGTTGTAATAGGCCTTTTCTTTGTTAAGTTTTTTGAAAAATATGAAATTATGTCATTTTACTCAAGACCTCCTACTCCTAGGTCCTAGCATATAGAATATTATTTTCTATAGGATTGGTAAAAGGCCTTCTCGTAACGTTTTTTTGAAAACATTTACTGTTTAAAGAGAGTATAATTTTGTAATTTTTACTAAGACTTCCTTGCATATAAAACATGAACCCTACTGTGTTTATTATAGGAACAGCAGTACCAGCCACAGGGGGTCTATCGCTAGGGGCCCAGAAGACAACAGCTTCTACAGGATTTGGAACTACAACCAATACAACCTCCAGTAGCCTCTCTACCACAACCACTACGTAAGTTATATTCTCTTGACTACAGTGACTAAATAAGTTCTATGACCACACAGGGTGCTTACTAGGAAAAGCACCTCAATCTTACCACTCAATACAGAATCAAAATTTCCATGGTTGACATACCATGTACTAACTACAATTACCATCTTACTGCCCCATATAGTGCACTATGTTGGTAGTTTCAGAGTGAGTATGAAACACTTTGGGGCAGGTTCTAAAGGCCCCCTCAAATGTCACATGGATTTTTTTCCATTTTAGAACTGCGGCTAATGCTGCAACACCCTCTATGAACTACAGGCAGTTAGAAGAGACTATCAACAAATGGAATCATGACTTAGAGGAACAGGAAAAGAACTTCTTACAACAAGCCACACATGTTAATGCATGGGATAGATTACTTATAGAGAATGGTGAAAAGGTATGTATGATTCATGCATTGCTTGATCTACGGGGACGTTTTTTGGTTCAGATCTGTCAAGTTTTATTATTTTGAAAATTGGTCTCGTTTTTTAATCTTAAACTAATCAAAATATTTGTAAAAACCAAAAGTAAAGAAATTTTAAGATAACCTCTTTACATTTTATTAAACACAGATGTTGAAAGAGTGACAGTCAGCCAGTTCAATCATTGAAGAAGGGCATTCATATCATTTCATTCACTTTTCCAGATAACTACATTAACACAGATGTTGAAAGAGTGACAGTCAGCCAGTTAAATCATTGAAGAAGGGCATTCATATCATTTAATTCACTTTTCCAGATAACTACATTAAACACAGATGTTGAAAGAGTGACAGTCAGCCAGTTCAATCATTGAAGAAGGGCATTCATATCATTTAATTCACTTTTTCAGATAACTACATTAAACACAGATGTTGAAAGAGTGACAGTCAGCCAGTTCAATCATTGAAGAAGGGCATTCATATCATTTAATTCACTTTTTCTAGATAACTATATTAAACACAGATGTTGAAAGAGTGACAGTCAGCCAGTTCAATCATTGAAGAAGGGCATTCATATCATTTAATTCACTTTTCCAGATAACTACATTAAACACAGATGTTGAAAGAGTGACAGTCAGCCAGTTCAATCATTGAAGAAGGGCATTCATATCATTTAATTCACTTTTTCAGATAACTACATTAAACACAGATGTTGAAAGAGTGACAGTCAGCCAGTTCAATCATTGAAGAAGGGCATTCATATCATTTAATTCACTTTTCCAGATAACTACATTAAACACAGATGTTGAAAGAGTGACAGTCAGCCAGTTCAATCATTGAAGAAGGGCATTCATATCATTTAATTCACTTTTCCAGATAACTATATTAAACACAGATGTTGAAAGAGTGACAGTCAGCCAGTTCAATCATTGAAGAAGGGCATTCATATCATTTAATTCACTTTTCCAGATAACTACATTAAACACAGATGTTGAAAGAGTGACAGTCAGCCAGTTAAATCATTGAAGAAGGGCATTCATATCATTTAATTCACTTTTCCAGATAACTATATTAAACACAGATGTTGAAAGAGTGACAGTCAGCCAGTTCAATCATTGAAGAAGGGCATTCATATCATTTAATTCACTTTTCCAGATAACTACATTAAACACAGATGTTGAAAGAGTGACAGTCAGCCAGTTCAATCATTGAAGAAGGGCATTCATATCATTTAATTCACTTTTTCAGATAACTACATTAAACACAGATGTTGAAAGAGTGACAGTCAGCCAGTTCAATCATTGAAGAAGGGCATTCATATCATTTAATTCACTTTTCCAGATAACTATATTAAACACAGATGTTGAAAGAGTGACAGTCAGCCAGTTCAATCATTGAAGAAGGGCATTCATATCATTTAATTCACTTTTCCAGATAACTACATTAAACACAGATGTTGAAAGAGTGACAGTCAGCCAGTTAAATCATTGAAGAAGGGCATTCATATCATTTAATTCACTTTTCCAGATAACTATATTAAACACAGATGTTGAAAGAGTGACAGTCAGCCAGTTCAATCATTGAAGAAGGGCATTCATATCATTTAATTCACTTTTCCAGATAACTACATTAAACACAGATGTTGAAAGAGTAAAGGTTGACCAACAGAGACTTGAACATGAGTTAGACTTCATCCTTGCCCAGCAGAAAGAACTAGAGGAGCTATTAGGACCTCTGGAAAAATCAACAGAACAACTCCCAGCCATTAGTTATCAGCAGCATGCTGACTTAGAGCGGGAACATACGTAAGGAAATCAATTTTTTTTTTTAAATAACTCCATTATTTCATAATTATTAATGTTAATTGTCTATTTTCTATGTCTTGTGAGAAAATAAAGTTTGTTCCATTATGGTTTAATCCACTGCACCATACAGCAAAAATTGAAAATGTTTCTTTGCCTTTCACTTAAGATTTTTTTTTAAATTAATATTTTTTCTCTTGTGAATTCGTTGTTTACTTCCTCCCTTGATAAAGTATTCTCAATTTTCCATTACTATTGGCATTTGGACACACTCCTAATCCTGGTATCTCTTTAGATGTTGAGCAATCCTCAAAATAATGTATTCAGTATAAACAACAGATAAAGTAATCTATCCGTACCTCAAGATCACGAAAAGTTGAAAACCCAGATAGTTTGCATGCCTGTATAGACAGCTCATTTAGTTCATTTATTGATCCCCATGACAGATCATATATGTGAACATATATAGTAGGTTGTCAATTGAGCATGCTAGAGTAACTTGATGTTACAGGGCTAGCAGTATTTAAGACTTTCCTGTCTAGTAGTATTAACATCAGACATACTATACATGTACAGGGTGTGCCAAAAAAAAACCACTTTTTTTTCAAGACACTACAACTTTTTTATTTTCCAACCTACATACCCCAAACGGGTTCTTAGTAATAATATAATGTAACAAGTCCTTCAACTTAGATTATATTTAATCTAAAAAGTGAGTTCGATTGGTGCGCCACCCTAATTGATGATATATTTTAGTTTTAGTCTCCTTGCTGACATAGCAGTATCAATGAAATGTTAGCTAAGTTTTTTCAACCTGTCTTAATTGCCAGCTTTAGTTGAGCAATTTTCTAGATTGGGTGCCTTCATACAATCTCCTGGAGACCTTCCCATACCCTATACTCACTGGGGTTTACACCAGGGCTATTAGCGTGGCGATCATCAGGCCGTATCAGTTCAGGAACATTTTGCAAATTATGCTTATTTCTCATGCTACACCACATGTTTAAGTGAGACACATCCATGGCTAGATAACAACCTCAAGTTTCATTTGGTATGCAAATTATGATTTTGTATCAAAAATTAAAAAAGTTATAGCATTTTGAAAAAAAAGTGGCATTTTTTTTGGCCCACCCTGTATATGGTTTAATATCAAGCATTTCATTTAAATCACGCAATTTGATTGGCTTAAATTTGTCACATATTTGGTTTTGCATTATATGTCACATCATCAAGAATTGTTCGCTATACAAAGGTCTTACTGTGCATGTATATCAGGCCGACCACCAAACTAACTCGTCTTTTGATTTTCCCAATGTTTCTTTTTTAAGGTATCAACTAGCAGAGAATGTAGATGGCCAGTTAAAACGTATGGTACAAGATCTGAAGGAAGTCATAGACCACCTTAATGCTAACAGTACGAACCAAGCCTCTACTGACCCGGTAAGTACAGTATAGACTAACATATGACATTCTAAAGACAAATAATATTGTGGTACATTCTGTAGAAGTGACCCTCTGCATACCTTCTATATGAACAGGTTGGTTTCCTTCATAGACCTCTGCCCAGTTTTCCTTCTGGTGATTTCTGTAGTAAATTATACATTTTAAAACTACCAAGGGAAAGATCTGCCTGGAGATCTGTGGTTTCCTTCTTGGGGGTTGAACTCTGTAGAGGAGGTGGGGGGTGGCTGTGAACATAGTTATATAGAAGGGCAGTTGAGTTGTCACACTTGTCAGGCATTTTTACCATTATCTTACAAAACCAGATGGCCTCATATACAGTTATAGCAGTTTTAAATGAACATTTTTCATTTATTTACTATAAAGGGAGATGCTCCGTTAAGTTATGGTCCCTTACGCAAGTTTTACAGTATCTGGATTTAGCTCATGCGATAATGAATAGATGGCATTGTTTAAGATTAATTTACTTTGAGCATAATGTTTATCGTATATGCATAGACATAAAATTCACATTGTTTTAATTCTAATGTGATAATAGGAAATAAAACAACTGAATTGGAACTACATAAATACAACTCCTGACTGAGCAATGACACTAGAATATGAATGCCTTTTCATGAAACTGTTATTTGGTTTTGAGCTGATCATATGAACGAGTTCACTAATACACATAGCATCTTGCCTTGTTATATCACTGAACAGACTCATGGTATTGTGAGGTCTGTTCAGTACAATTGTATATAGGATTATACCTTTACCAATGACCTCAAGTGTTATTCCAATGAGATCAGAAATCACCAGTCTAAGGCCATAAATAATACTCCAGGCCATAAATAATACTCCAGGCCATAAATAAAACTCCAGGCCATGAATTATTGAATCCTGTTCTTTATTACATTTATTTTTAAATATATCAACAATATCGTCTTATTATGTTATTAATATCAGAGCTCAATGCAATAAATATGTACATATCTGTCATAAGTGTTATTGATATTAAATAATAACAAAATTGTTCTTGCTCATCTGATCATTGTTAACTATAATAACAGTATGCTGTAATTTAATGTATACTTAGGTGACAATAATTTGTGTGTCATCAATGGAAATGACAAATGTACACTTGGTAAATAAATTGATCAATACAAGCCACCCCTCTCTCCCTCACAAAATGTTCCATGAATTATATAATGAAACAATATTTTTTGTTTTCTATTTGTAGATCAGCCAGATAGCCAAAATCTTGAATGCCCATATGGATTCCTTGCAATGGGTTGACCAGAATACAGGTGAGTTAACACATTATTCTCACCCTGTAGTCAATGGATGATGGATTAGGAATATGATGGGTTGGGGTTCTAGTTTTGGATTTATAGAAAATGGGTATGACTAGGAATGACATGATGTTTGTTACTGCACTGAGTAAAGGATGGTTTGCAATTATAACAGTTAGAACATTTCATTCTTTAAGGGGGGAGAATGTTGATTTTTATATCACCACAAGAAGTCGTGACATATTGCTTTTGTGTCCAATGTTTTTTGTGATGGTTGTTGGTATTTGGTGTTCCAGTCCATCCCTTAGACAAAAAAATATATGAAAGTTGCTCAATTTGTCTAATTCTAGCGAAGGTTGTATTACGTAGGTTTAGGTCTGATAGGTCAGGTCACTCAGTTAAACTGAAGGATTGAGGTCACCCTGACTCTCTATGACTTGAAACAATATTTTCATTTGTTATTGATAAATGAATATTCAATTATCAAGTGGCATTTCTTGCAAAAGGATAACAGACTGTAGACAGATTTTTAGTGCAACTAGTTGTCTTGAAATGTGAAAAGCACTCTGTCTCAAATATGACAAGTTGGGTCAAAATGTCAAATGTTGATTTCTTAAACCTCAGTCATATTTGCTCTGCAGCGTGCGTACAGCAGTAGTAGCCTCACAAAACCAATATAGAAAATCTCCATTGCATTGCTAATCCTTAATTTTATGCTGGATATTTATCTTAATTTTGTGAAGAGTACGCCCGGCGTATGGTTGCCGTAAATCAACTGTGACTGATTTTTAGGAAGATGGTAAATCTTGATTTCATTAGTAAAAGTAAGTGAAATTCGAAAAACAAATCAACATGTCAACATTTTATGATATGGGGTAGAGGGAGGGTTAAACCAGTAGAATTAACTTCATCTTTTCATTACTGTTGAAATTGGAAAATCATTCTTTATTAGATTGCAAACTTAAAACTACTATAGAAGGATGAATGAACTTGTTTTTCTGAAAAATCAGCTTCTTTTCACAATATTGTTTTTTAAGTGTACATCAACATTAAATTGAATTTGACTTCATAAATAAATGAACTGCAGCATAAGATAATTTTATCAGTAAGTGACATCTCATTAAACTAGCCATTTGGAGACATATGAATATTTATTTTTATGTCTCTTGGCCTATTAATTGACAGAAACTTTCAATTTATCTGACATTCGATACTGGGTAAATATTTGTACCTGGATCTGAACTCTATGCAATATAAACTTTAGTTGACTAATGATTGGCAATGAAAATACATGACTTTTGGATGTTATTTAAACTCTATAATTGAACAAGGAACTGGATTTCCTTCATGAATGAAACAAAGCGAAGGCCCATATTAATGTGCATCTTGTGGATAAGTATTAGCTGTAGAATTTTAACCCAATTTTCACAAGTGGTGACATATTGTCATGGTCCCCAACTTTTTTGTGGATGGTGTTTGGTAGTTGGTATTTGGCATCTAGCAGTTGGTGTTCAACAGTGGTTGGTGTCTGTAACAAATGTCAGGTGGTGACATTTTGCATGTTAGTGCCTTGTTTTTCCTAGTTATAGGAAAGTTAGGCTAGTTAGTTTAGTTTAGGGCATACAATATCAATTTTCATATCATCTTTGGTTCATTGATACCACATCTTTATTGGTTCATAGATACCACATCATCACTTGTTTGTTGATGCCAGATTACCATTGGTTCATTGATACCACATCATTTGTCCATTGATACCACATCTTTGGTTCATACATGTAGATACCTCATCATCATTGGTTTATTGATACTACATCATTGGTTCATTGACATCACATCTTTGGTTTATTGATACCACATTATCATTGATTCATTGATACCACATCATTGGTTCATTGATACCACATCATTGGTTCATTGATACCACATCATTGGTTCATTGATACCACATCTTTGGTTCATTGATACCACATCATCATTGGTTCATTGATACTGCATCATTGGTTCATACAAGTAGATACCTCATCATCATTGGTTCATTGACACCACATCTTTGGTTTATTGATACCACATTATCATTGGTTCATTGATACCACATCATTGGTTCATTGATAACACATCTTAAATTCATTGATACCACATCATCATTGTTTTTCATTTATTTGTTAACATTAATAATATTTTTATTCCTGAAAATTTGCACCGCATCATCATAGGTTTATCGATACCACATCATCGTTGGTTCAGCGATACTACCACATCATCATTAGTTCATAATGATACAACATTATCATTTGTTCATGAATACCACAGCATCATTGGTTCATTGATACCACATCATCATTGGTTCATCTTTACCACATCATCGTTGGTTCATCGATACCACATCATCATTGGTTCATCAATGCTACATCATTGGTTCATCATTCTTTGTTCATTAACATTGGCTCATTAACCCCATGTCAATATTGGTACAATGACATCTCATAAGCATTTGTTCATTGACACTGTCACAACAACTATGGTGTATTTATACAACCTTGAATGGTCATGTAGTATTCATAGAATACTAAGCTTGGCATCATCCCATATTTCACATTGTAGACCATGGAGATTAACCTGTCATCATTTCCATACAAAGCATACAAGTGAACTAACTGAATAAATAAAGATGTGTTTGGTTCATTTACCATTGTTGCTGCTATTGAACATCATCCTAACAAAATATGGACATATTTGTAATCCACCAGTGAGAAAAATACAATGGTTATCATGTTTTAAAATAGGGTAGAAAGAAAATTAGAATTGCAAGAAGAAAAGTAAACACTATGATCAATATTTTTTCTCATATTAGAATGTCAGAAGATGAGTCATGTCATTCAAATTATAGACTTAAATGGAATAAAGTAATAATAGCAGAGAGAACTTAAAAACATGACGCAGTTTATGGGTAAGAATTTAATAAAAAGAAAACCATTTATTTTAATGACAGTGTCTTAGAGAAGCACAATAGGATAAAACAATCAATCTTAGTTTTATGAGCAATTTATTTATCAAGTAAAAAAATTTTTTTATTTACATTGTAAAAAATCGCATAGATTAGGTTTTAAGGTCAGTGGTCTCTACAACATTAGAGCAAGCGAATGCCCACAAAGCCTGTTGAAAATGTGCCAAAAGGGCTGAGGTTACGAGATATTTTTTAATTAACTAGGTGAATAAATAAAAAGAAAATTCTATGTCATCCTGTTGAAACTACAGTGTATGTTAGACAAGATGAAAAACTAAGATATTTTGACCAAAATATTTAAAAAAGAAAATTGCATGTCATGATGATGTCACCCTGTTCAAAATCGGTATTTTTACAACAAATGTGGCATTTTGTTAACATAATCTGTCTCTTTAGAGTTCTTCATAATTGACAGGATGTATGTTGTCATGCACTAGCAACCCCACCAGCCACTGTTGTTCCCATATCAATCAAAGTCTAAGCACAATATACACCAACTGCATAAATTACTAACTGAATGCTTTTTGGTCTGCACATATCTAGAGAAACTTTTGGACAGATTGATTTGAATTTTCAGGGATATTGCTTGAAAATCTAGAACTGGTTGGCTTTTTGACATTATGGGTAAATTTTAAGGCAGCTAATTTTTTTTTTTTTTTTAGGTATATTGTTTACCACGTGTCTTGTTCAAAGAAAAAAGTAGAAAAAGTTTTGTCATTCACTATAATTTAGAACAATGTAGGAGACAAAGAGAGTGGGTGTTTTGTCTGGTATGATGTATGTCAAATAAAGCTGAGTCTTATTGGTCGGATATTGAACATATGTCTGGAAACAGATATTTATGTAAATGTTTGAAAATGATTTGTTTTACAAAAAAAGCTTTGTCATTGTATGTATAGGTTTGTTCATTCAATCTCTGTTGATCCCTGGACTTAAAGATATGTTTATAGCTGATTGTCTTTATTAACTTGTGTATCTTTTTCTATGGGGAAGTAACATCAGAAAATATTATTTCTTCATCTTAGATTTGCAGACACCATCAACATAGGATTATAAGTAAAACATTGTCATTTGTTTGACAGTTTTATTTTTACATTTTATAACCTCTTCTCTGCTGCCACTTTAAAGCACTTTAAACATTATGAAGTATGATATTTACAAAAGATTCTCAATGGGGAAATAAGATGTTTTAATTTTATGAATATCTAGGAATCCCTTTTTTGCTGGACTTCATAATGTCTTGCCACATGCGTCACTTTTACACATCGTTTGGTTTCATTTATCTACTCACATACATGGATGGAAATTGAATGCATATATTAAGATACACACATGTCATATGAAATTAATATTATCCTCTCTAACAAAGGCTTTAATAAATGTCTTCAAAGTACAATAGAAGATTAAAACAGGTCCCTAATCACTTAAGATCTGGAAGATTATTATTACAACTTTGAAATGTTCATTCAACTGTTGAGCTAACAAACAATTTCCCCCAGGAAAAAATGTCACAGCATTATATAACAAGAATTAGCAAGTAATACAGTAGACATTCATGTACAGTCAGCTCATTGAGTTGTATGGACATTAGGAAATGGAGGGAAATAAGGCAGTTAATCTAAATTTTTAAAAAACTGTACATGTACATGTAAATTGCAGTGAAACTGAAATGTTTCTTTTAGGTGCAATTCTCTGGTTCATGACATATAAGATTGATATTCTATTTTGATCATTTATAGAATCAGCATACATATTTTTGTCATAAGCAAGAATAACAGAAGATGATTTATTGATAATAGATAAGAAATAAAGAAATTGTTGTTTATTCTAAACATTCTCTCACTAGATCAATGATAATATCAACCATAGCTTGTAATATGCAAACGTAGCATTATACATATTAAAATGAGGACGTTTGAATTGCTGATTTTGTCAGCTGTTGTGATAGTAATTAAAACAAAGAAGAGTGACAACTCAGTTGAAAAGTCTGAAAAGTCATGTTCCAAAACTGAGTTGCCGCCAGCTATTAATACGTTTTCGTTGGAATTATATAAGAAACTTGCCGCAAAAGACAAGGGAAAAGATGTCTTTTTCAGTTCATTTAGTATTACGACAGCTTTGTCGATGCTCCTCCTAGGGGCCGATGAAAATACAAAGGAGGAAATGGAGGAAGTTCTTCATGTTGCTGGAATTCAGTCAGATGATCTACATTCAATGTTCAGCTGCCTCTATAGCTACCTTCAAGATGGTGGTATCCTGAAAATGGCAAATAGACTCTATCCAAATATCACTCTTGATGTAAAACAGGATTTTATCAACAATATCCAAAAATATTATGGTGTTACATTGGAGCCACTCAATTTCAGAAATGTTGAAGAAAGCCGCAGAGTTATTAATAATTGGGTTGAAAAGCAGACCAATGGACAGATAAAAGAGATGTTACAACATGGAGATGTTGATGCTCTTACCATCAATGTTCTTGTCAATGCTATATACTTCAAAGGTGAATGGAAAGAGAAATTTGATGTTGATAAAACAAAACTGTTTCCTTTTTCTGTTGATGACAAAACAGATATAGAAGTATTTATGATGGCTGCTTCTGGCAGATATAACTTTGAATACAGCCAAGAGCTTAGAGCACATTTCCTAGAAATACCCTACAACCAGAATGGATCTCCAAATTTGAGCATGGTGTTACTTGTTCCTTACGATAAATTTGGACTTGAAGAATTAGAAGCAAAACTAACCAATAAAAATCTGAAGCAGAACATTGATAAAATGTCCCCTGGAAATGCACGCTTATATCTCCCAAGGTTTAAGTTAAATTCGAGATATGATTTGTCAAATGCACTGGAGGATCTGGGATTAAATGACCTCTTTTCATCCCATGTTGATCTTTCACATATGACAGACGATTCTATGGTTGAGGTGTCCAAGATCATACATGAAGCTTCAGTTGTGGTCAATGAGGAAGGTGAATATCAGTTTCTTTATTACAAGACTAAATTTACAATTAGAAAACAATTAGAGACGACAACTCTTGACAGATACAGTTTATTTGCATTTTGTATACTTTATGAATTATTTTAAACCCCTTATAAATGAGTTAACTGGATGATCAAATTTATCTAATGACAATGATATGGCCTTAAGTTAATAAATATAATTCAAACATGACTGTATTGATCGTAGTAATGGCGGACCATTAAATGAATATTGGAAAAGAAAAATCTTGGTCAGTTTTCATGTTCGAATCGTAAAATAGACCACAGTGCAGATGTAATATTGACGAATACACTCATTAGGGCTAGGCACAACTTTCGAAACCCCTCACTCCCTTTGGTCATCCAGGGCTCAGAAAACTTTTGTCCCTAGCCTTACGGGGTATATGCATCGATATAACACCTGCTCTGAGGTCTATATTTCTGAAATAAAAGTACTTCCTGTATTGAATCACATATTCTTTCAGGTACAAAAGCTGTTGCTGCCACGGGTGTTTTAATGTCAAGAACAAGCCCACCTGCCATCATTTGTGACCATCCTTTCATATTTCTTATCCGTGATGTCATCTCAGAAACTATTGTGTTCATGGGAAGAGTGATTCGTCCCGAATCTGATCCAGTTACTTTACAACCACCACATTTAACTAAATCAAGGAAAAACCCATTTGGCAGACAGCCACAATTAGATGGTAAAATGCTTCATTCTAGTAAGTGTTTTTTATGTCACTACCAGAGGTGATGACATATTGTTATAGTCTCCTTCTTTTTGTGGATGGTGTTGGACATCTGTAACAAATGGCAGGTGGTGGCATTTTGCATTTTAAATGCTTTATTGATCATTGAAATGTCAGAAAAGCGAGAGCCTTATATGATTCCTGGAAGTTAAACATTTATGAAAAAACAATTACACATATATTTTTGACACCAAAAAGCAGAGAAAAATTCATATAAACATAGCCACATTTTTTTAAATTATGCTCAAAGTAAATTTATTTTATGTGTATAAAATTTCAAGCCTTTTAAGGATTTTTTTTGCTTTTTTCAGCCACAGATGAACATTGCAAAGGGATCTGTAAACCACAGTGTCGTATTAAATGTTTTAAGAATGTTCAAAAACAGATGAATATAAAGAACATGAGCAAAGCCAAGAATCAATTCAATAAAGAAAAACATTCAAGACATTTTGGATACATTGTGATTCCATACAGAAAGTGTAGAAGTGACTGTAAAACTTCCTGTGTGCAAAAGTGTAAGAAGAGATCCTAGATGATTTACTTTACTGTATACAAAGTTGTTGGAATTGTTAGTACATGAATAAATGGTATTTATTAAACCAATTGTATTTGATTTATCCATAATAAGACAACAATGAGAGTTGCATAAAATATATTTATAATACTTGAACTGTGTACATCAACCCTTGTTACTGTTCTTTTAAACATCTCACTTTTAGTTTATTTTTGAATTTCCTTTTCTACTTTATTTTTCTATACAGAGGAAGTGTTATTGTGTCACTAGAATTAATACACAAAAACATTTAATGACTCCTAAACTGTGCAAAATAGAGTCGACTTCCTTTCTTTGTAAACCATACCTTATTTTAATTTGCATGTTGGAAATTTTAACCTATTTAAAGGAATTGATAAAGTGATAAAAATGACTAAATATTGCTTCTGGAGCGACATCAAATGACCTTGACATATTGTTCACCCTACCTATTTTGTAGTTTTAACAATCAACACAAAGGATAGGTATCGATATGGAGAACTGAATTCAACAATGTTTTTCTCTTAAACCAATCATTGAAAACATTCTGTAAAAAACATGGTATTTTATGTAATGTTGACTGATTGACCACAATTTAATGCGAAAATTATTTAGAAATATTTTATATAACTGTTTTTGTCAACATTTTTTTTTTTTTTAGTGCAATTGTTTTTGCTCCTTTCTACCAATTCTTGAGAATGAAATAAAATGTCTTTCTGAACCTTGTTGGAACAAAATAGCATATACAACATGTTTTTAGACCTCTCAATATTAAAGTTATACAAAGGAATTTTTGGTTGATTTTAAAAAAAGTGTTAAAAAAATTAAAACAAAATCCCCCAAAATAGATAAAAATCAAGAAAAAACTTTTATTTCACTAACAAGATACTTTTTTAAAATCAACCAAAATTTCCTTTGTACAATTACAATATTGAGAGACCTAAACATATTGTGTTTATGTTGTTTTGTTCCAATGAGGTTCGGAAAGATGTTTCATTTCACTCTGGAAACATGATACCAAGAACAAAACAAGTGTTTGATGTGTTTTTTAAAACAATATAGATGACAGTATGTATATCTATTTCAAATTATATTGTTACCTTTCAAAAGATGGCCATTAAATTGACAATTTGTAAGATTTTCAGAAATTTTTGATGACTGGTTTAAGAGAAACATGTGTTCAAAAAGTTCGCCATATCGATACCCATTCTTTACACACAAAATTTAAGCAGATATAAGGCAAATTTATAACATATTTTTAGATAGACAAGACCATCAGTTATGAAAATAGGAAGTATGTTCTCTGACGTCAATGTGCTAGGATTTTATTTACAGATTTCAGATTTTGCCTTGGATCCAATTTTAAATGCTTCTAAATGTTTTTCATTTGATTACTATGATTTCTGTTTGACTTCCCCACGACATAAAAAGAGCATTATCACCAATTATTATTGGTATTAGCATTGTAGAAATAAAGCTGAGCTGAAAATTTGTGCATGGCATTCACAACTTCCAATCCTGAAAAACATGGCTTTTAAAGGTTCAACAGATCACTTTGAATGGGCCTTTCTGCATATTTCGAACATAGAATTTTCATAGATTACCATGCAACCATTAATTTTAAACCCTTTTATCTATATATATGCCTTTAGCCAAATAAAATTCATTCTTATTCAATTTCCTATTGAAATTTGTGAGACATGATATAATCAATAATCAATAGATGATACCAAAATATGATAACAAACAAACCATAACACCTCAATAGACATGAACACCTAAGTAACTCATTAAGATATGATTCCTCCATAAACAATGAGTCTCCAGCCACAGACTTAAGATCACTATGGAACCCATTATAGAATTTTAAACATTCCAGTTTTCTTAGTGGTGATGTTAACACAAAATTATTGAATTTTATTTCATTTCAAATTGATTGCATTAAAAACAATGGAACTAAAAGGAGAGGTTGAGATACAAGACAGGTGTTGTCAGAAGGATGTTTTTGTTTTTCAAACCAATTCTCTTTTATAGATATGTTGGATTTTGCATAGAACTAACAGACTCAAGATCACTGACAATTTCCCAAATAGTATTTTATATTTTAAAGATTTTGAATGATCTTCCCAAACTGCCCAAACTGAGGATGTGCATAAGGTTCTCATTTATCTTTTTTGTAATGTGGAAATTGAATGAAATTTTATAAATATTATATACTCATGTTATTGTTGCATGAAATTGATATTGATTGCTCACCAAGGCATGACAAAATTACCCTCAAAGTACATACTATTGACAGGTTTCCCAATCCCTTATATCTTTAGGATTATTACAACTTTCAAATTATTCTGGTAACAAAAATGCTCTATAGAATGATATGGAAATTAGGCGGTTTATTCAAATTTTATAGTGACGTGTGTAGGAAGGAATGACCACAATTATTGCTTCTTATCAGTCCAGCATTCTGGTTTATATCACTGCTATTGATCATTTATAGAATCAGCATACATATAATTGTTGAGGCAAGAATAGCGGAAAATTTTCTGTTTAACATTATAAGCAGGAAAAGAAATTAAGTTCTTGTTTAAAAATAAATTGAAAGAGATTGTGTGCAATGCAAACATATATGAAACATTAAAATGAGGACGTTTGAATTGTTAATTTGGTCAGCTGTAGCTGTAGTGATTAGGACAAAGAGCAGTGAGAACTCAGTTGAAGAGTCATGTACAGAAACCAAATTACCAACAGCTATTAATTCATTTTCATTGGATTTATATAAGAAACTTATTGCAAAAAGCAAAACTCAGGATGTCTTTTTCAGTCCGTTTAGTATCACAACAGCTTTGTCGATACTTCTTCTCGGGGCTGATGAAAATACAAAGAAAGAAATGGAGAAAGTTCTTCATTATACCAGTATGAATTCTGATGGTCTGCACTCAACATTCAGCTGCCTTGATAACTATCTTGAAGAAGGTGGTATCCTCAAAATGGCAAATAGACTATACCCAAATATCACACTTGAAGTAAAACAGGATTTTATGAACAATATCATGAAATATTATGGAGTTTCAATAGAGCAGCTCAATTTCAAAGATGTTGAGGAAAGCCGTAGAGTGATTAACAATTGGGTTGGCAAGCAAACCAATGGACAGATAAATGATATGTTGAAACATGGAGATATAAATGATTTAACCATGAATGTTCTTGTGAATGCTATATTCTTCAAAGGTGAATGGAAAGAGAAATTTGATGTTGAAGACACAAAGCAGATCCCATTTGTTGTTAACAGTAAAACTACAGTATTAGTAGATATGATGACAGCTGCTAGTGAATATAACTATCAGAAAAGCTCAGAGCTTCGGACAGATTTCATAGAATTACCATACAACCAGAAGGGATACCCAGATTTGAGCATGGTCCTACTTGTACCACACGACAATTTTGGTCTAGAAGAATTGGAAGCAAAATTGACCATTGAAAATCTGCAGCAAAACACTGAGAAAATGTCTCCTATGAAGGCACGCATATTTCTCCCGAAGTTGAAGTTAAATTCTAGATATGGGTTGTCAACCATATTGACGGACCTTGGAATGAATGACCTCTTTTCTCCTCAGGATGTGGATCTAACTCAGTTGACAGATGATCCTAGGATTGAGGTGTCCGAGATCATACATGAAGCTTCAGTTGTGGTCAATGAGGAAGGTAGTTATTAATTTTTTTATTTAAGTTAAAGGCAGAATCAGAGTTATAGGGGCTGATAAATGACAAGCAACCTGTATAATCAACCTGCTAATTTATTTCTTTACCCTCGCAATTATGTTACAATTATCCCAGAATATAATATATCAAATGGCGAAGTTATGTAAGATTCAAAGTGCAAAACTATGTAAATTCTCCCAAGTACTAAATAAATATGGATGGGTATCCACTTTTTTTAAGAAATGAATACTAATCTAAAAATTATTTGTTTTCCAAGAATAAAGGATAGATTTTCAGGATTTCCCCAAAAATTATATGACAAGTAATGATGTTAGGCAAAGATTAAAAAATGGAAAGGTCGCTTGCTAGATCTGATTCTGCTGATCACAATAAGTAAATCCTAAAAGAGCATTAGACAAACCCAAAACAATAAAATCCTTATGAAAGAATTTTTAAATGTATAAAGATTTTAGCTTTGTACATCTTATTTGTAATATGTCTATAAGTGTCTGGAATCTTCATTAGCTGACAGCTTAATACAAACTGAATGCATTCAATTCGATCGAGATCAATAAAGTATTGATTTTAGTTATTGTAGTGTCTGTAAGATGAAATATCAAATTATTTATATGTTTTTCATTTCTCTCTTATACCTCACAACATCAACTATGAATGTTAATGTTTTGGCTGATTTAATAAAAGTGTGTGCTTATTGATAAAGCTAAATAAAGTATTCTTTATAATATTTTAAGGTACAGAAGCAGTTGCTGCTACATCTGTTATTGGTATGAGACATGCAGGGCCACCTATAATCAGCTGCAACCATCCTTTCATATTTCTTATCCGTGATGTCCTCTCAGAAACTATTGTGTTCATGGGTAGAGTGGTGCATCCTGGGTCTACTTCAAGCAAATCGGAACCACAAACGGATCCATCTAAATCCAGGGAAAGTCCTGTTGTGTTGCCAGAGCATAAGCTAATGGAAGAAGAAGTGCAAGACCCTACTGATTCAGGTAGATGTGCTTTCAGGGCAAGAAATTGTACATTTATGGTTGGACACATATTTTTTTAGATTGACATGCAACAGCTCACCAATATCACTCTAAACTCAGCTTCCATTTGGGGATTAAGAGAATAGTTGGTTGGTATTAGGTTTTTGAAGATAGAGGATAAAAGAACTTCAGGATTTATTGTGCATTGATATTTCATTGTGATCCTGTTATTACAGACAGGAAATAAGAATAATGTAAAATGATTCAATGACATCAACAAACAAAGAATCAAAACATCGTCATTTGAAATATGGAGCCAAGTTGAGTGACACTTGACATTTTGTTAAATATTTGAGTTGCTGCTTTCGTCCATCCCTCATTCACTTCAAATTATAAATAATTGTCATTTTGAAGACCAGAAGTGTGTATTTACAAAAAAACAGATAACAATACAATATTCAAAAAATAATAATGAATAAAATTGCCATAGCCAAAAGATTGTTCATAGTTATATTGGCCATTGGAATCTTTTCATTTTGGCTGCATGTAATGAATATATTCTTCTTTTCAGTCTTAGTTCAAAATTGCAGAGAGAACTGTAAAGTGGTATGTCGTGCTGAGTGTTTCAAGGATGTGCAGAAACAGTTGAAAATAGGAAAGACAAGAAAAGCTAAAAATCACTTTAAGAAGAATAAGAAGAATTTTCTGAACATATTGATGCTATACAAAAAGTGTAAAGGTCTTTGCAGAACTCCCTGTGTACGCAAGTGTGGAAGGAGAGCCTTATAAAAAAGTCAATTTGTTGTATAATGTGCATATATCTTGGGGGATTATTGGTGCACTAATAAATGCTTATATGCTTATGAGATATATTGTCTTCTCTGTTAATTGATTTAATTGATTTATCAACCATAAGATAGCAATGATAATGCCAGAACTTGGTTTGCATAAAGTCACCATTAATTGCTATAAGATTGAGAAATAATCCTATTGACATATTGGCGTTAACCTTTTGAATTAAGTACATTTATTAAATTATAAATGTTCTTTTATATGTTTTTAACATGTTAAACACATTTTAACTTAAATGATGATCATTTTGGTCAATTGATGATGTCACTTGCACTTTTCATGAAGTTGGTCCAATAGACTAGATGCGAGTAGAAATAACCCTACTTTCATTGTTAAGTCAAAAAAGGGGACAGTATGATTGATTTTAAATTTGATATTATACACAAAAGTACATATTTAATTGTGTCTTTCTAAATTGTTTCTGATTTCTAGGTGAGTTAGATTTCCCATGTCATAAAATCATGAATGAATTTCCATTATTTCAAAAAGGTATTCCATTCTATCTGATCTGAGTTACTCGCCTAGTGATAAAATTGACCTACTGGCTGACTGGTACACAGTAGCCCAGACAGAGGGTCACTTTTTCTTTTATAACTTTTTTCATTTCAGTATTATGAAAACTAGAGTACGGTTCTAACATATAAACTATGGATGCTGTACCCATTCTAGGCTCTGACTGCTATAGCAATCTTAGATTCTGAATGTTGTATCATCTTGGACTCTGGATGCTGAATACATATTACACAATAGAGGCTGTATAATATTAGATTCTTGAGACTGCACTAATCTTATACACTGGAGACTGTACCATCTATATACTCTGGAGGCTGAACCAACTTAGGCTCTTCTGAACTATTTTATGGTCTCAGGTTCTACCATTGGATGATATGTTCTTGGTATTGAAGCACACATTATACAGGTTGAATCATATTCCATGTTATAAAATAAGTATTTTCAGAACATATGCACGGCACTATTAGTGTTTATTATGCTCTGTTTCTGTGGAAACCCCTTGAGCAATCATGTACAGACTCACCATATTATTAAAGAATACCATCAGTATCCATGAGCCCTATAAATATAACTATGACTGATTTTGTAAAAATAACTGTTTTAGGAAATTATCACTGAAAAGTGCAACGCCCACTTTTGCGTAGATAGAGAGGTAGTCACCTAATAGAATAGAGTCCAGAGTCAAGGATATCATATAATTCATCATATTTATCATGTTATCTTATTTAAACACTCCCAAATATGTTTTTAGGGTAACTTAATGTTCATTTTCAAATGATTTGAAGAGAAATGGCAACATCTGTTATTATAAGAAGCTTTGGATTTACCTGAAATATTAAAGATTTTGAACAATTAAATTGTGTTGCTATGGTAACCAATTGACCAATTAATGTCAAAATTGTTGTGACAACTCACTATATATAGGTTCATGATCCCTAAAGATTTTATAGTGATTGGAGTTATATAACAAAAATGATTAATGATTATCATAGTACCCCCTCATAAAATTACCCCAAGGGGTATAAATGGTGATTTTAAGGTTTTCCACTACAGTAAAACCTGTGTATAGTGAACATTTTTTTGCCGAAGAAAAATGTTCACTGTTAGTAGGTGTTCACTACAGCAAGGATTTGATTTCGCGGCATTTTGCCATATTATATAAAGAGACCAGATATTAAACAAGCCTAAATAGAGGAGAGAATAACTGATTTAATTTGTATTTTATACCTATGATAACCCATGACACTTGCAACAAATTTTTGTTTTTTTTGTTGTGTTATACAAACTTACTTATTTTAGACTGCCTGAATGGTTCATCCTTTTATTGTCAAATTTTAATCTCTTTATAATTCTTTAAATAGTGGAATTCTTAACACATTTGAGTCAGTTAAAGGACTTCATTGAAATAATTAAACTACATGATGGAGTCAGTTAAGAGTGATCTTATAATTTCAACCTTATCTGGTTTTTAAAATGATGGAGATGAGAAAAAGACTTAGTTGGGACTTGGCAGATAGAGATAGAGGTAATAATAATTAACCAGATTATCTCCAATTAAGCAATCAATGCTTCTAGACACTGCTAAACACAAATCCTGCCTAATAAAAACAAAGCTTACTAAGAATTATAATTAGTCACACCTGTTTTAATACAAGAGATCAAAATCTCAAATTGACCTTTTAATAATTATTTTTGACAGGTAATAAAAGCATAAACTGCTTAACTCTGATAAGGCAGTTGCAGAAAATCCGCAAGAAATCTTATGTATTAGATTCAATGTTCACTAGAGACAGGATAATTCAATTAAATTTGCCAAGATTAAATGTTCACTGTTCATAGTAGGTAGGTGTTCACTATAGGATTGTACTTTAACATGGGAGTCAATGGGAGAAAAAGGTTTTGCCGATAAAAAATGTTCACTGTTGATAGGTGTTCACTAGAGAGATATGTTCACTAACACAGGTTTTACTGTACTTCGATTTTTCTAGATTATTGATATGTTGTTTTACTTACCAGTGGCTATTGATTACACTAGGTTTACTCTGTATTGCAATTTTCTCATTTCTTTGTGAATATTTACAACGGTTTTACTGGAGTAATATATATTATCTACAATGAGTGTTGATGCTTTGTGATTCCAGTTCTGCTACAGAGGAAGGTGGAAGATGTTGCTAAGCAAGCAGAACTAAGAAGAAAGGAACAAGAGACAAGCTTCAGATTGGCGTATGACTGATATATGGACATTGTATATTGTAGCTACATGTACATATGACTGATGCCTGGACTGCAGATAAATGCATCATCCACTAGGATGCAGTCTAGCACATAGCCTAGGCAACTGAATCCTGTAATGAGATCAATGTGTGTGACATAATCATTACTGGAAATAACATAGCTACCCCCTTTCCAATTGCATTCAGAAAAAATCTGACCTATCATTTCTTGAACATTAAGATTTTATGAAACTGTTTAAAACATGGCATTAAATAATCTTTTCCAAAAGATTTATCAAAATTGGCATTTTCTAAAAAAATTAGCGAAATATGAAAAAATTGGGTCCATTGAAAGAAGCTGGTTACAGGTATGGCTAACATGCTAACAACGCTTGTCTGAAATACACACATGATTTAGTAATAAATGTATATAAAACTGAATAGAAAGGGCGTAGTAGATCCATACACCAAAGCCTGTTATTGAATGACAACAGATAATTGAGAAAGATTACTTTCACGCAATAGATAAATAGCTTAGTATGAGACAATGTTGTAAAATAATAAATTACTAATGAAAATATTTGTTATCTAGTTTGTAATAATTCTCAAACATGCATTTAAGGTTATCAGCTGGTCATATATTTTTTCAATGTCACCTGGAATACATTTGCAAACAAACTGCTTTTAAAAATGATAAATGTACAGAGTTGGGGTTAAGTTTCAATAACTTGTATACTCCATTCATAAATTACTTCTTATTTTAAATAAAATTGCAAAGAAAATCATAAACTGACCATCTTACTACATTAACTGCATCAAATATAGGCAGGTTTACCAGGCCAGGCCCATAGCCTGATGGGTTCAAGCAAACCCCCCACTTGCCAAAATATCTTTCAAAATCATGCAGTTTTTTACCATTCTGAGCACTTTTTAATTGATTTTGAAAATTTTTGGACCAAAATTGTCACAAGTGAATCCCCCCTGGAATTTTTCAAAAATTGAACCCCCCCTTGGCAAATCCTGGCTATGGGCCTGAGTACATCTTGTTTTGATTGACCTTGGGGAGAATATATTGGAGAAATTAATGAGGCATTTCATGATAATGTCAACTTTATTAGTATGAAGAAAATACATTGATGGACATCCTGGATTAAGATCATGAATATGGAAGAAAACAAAATACAAGATTGTTTAATTAATATTTTGATTTATAGTACCAAAGACAGAATTATGTGTAACAACCTTTTCATTTCCCAGACAAATATTTTCTTGTTCTAAATGTTATATCTTTCATTTGATATCAAAGTATGAAAACATTTTCTCAATATGTATGTTTCTGAGTCCATAAGCTTCAGCACAAGTACAGTGTGTATCCTCTATAGTGAATAAAGTAAACATGAATAATTTTGAATTCTAATCTTTTAAAATATTTTTAAATCATGTAATTGTAAATTCCTAAATAGATGCAAAATATCATGAATATATTTTATCTAGAAACAAACATTAGTTCTGTTTTTGTCCATGTAGACAAAAGTTAACATTAAACAGAGATAACCTTGGTTACAGGAACATGTAGCATATTTTTGGTGAATCACTACATTCGCTTAGATTGGAAGAAACATTCCTTTAGAAACTATCCACTTGGTTCAAAACATTTCTCAACTATTTTGTTTATGATATAATGACATAGCGACAAAAATGACAAAATATTGCTTCTGGGAGAAGATACATACCATATTTGAGCAGATATCGGACAAATTCATAAAATCCATAAAAACATCGTCCACGAAGAAGACGTATACAGATTTTAGTTATTTCAGTTTGCCCTGGCTTAACTTTAAATGCTTCTAATAAAATGATCTTCAAATGCTTACTTTGAATTCTAATAGTACTGTTGTGACTTCCCCGCTTCATAAAAAGAACATTATCACCATTTACTCGACTTGTGAACTTACTTCTGGTTTACCAAGAAAAATAAGAGTCCTTCGAACTTTTTCAATCCTCTGTCTAAAGGAGTGGTATTGATATGGAGAACTGAATTCAACAATGTTTTTCTCTTAAACCAGTCATTGAAAACGTTCTGTAAAAAAACACAGTATTTTATGTAATGTTGACTGATTGACAACAATTTAATGCGAAAATTATTTAGAAATATTTTATATAATTGTTTTTGTTAACATTTTTTGTTTTTTAGTGCAATTGTTTTTGATCCTTTCTACCAATTCTTGAGAATGAAATAAAACCTTGTTGGAACAAAATAGCATATAGAACATGTTTTTAGACCTCTCAAAATTATAGTTATACAAAGGAATTCAAAAAATTAAAACAAAATCCCCCCAAAATAGATAAAAATCAAGATAAACCTTTTATTTCATTAACAAGATACTTTTTTAAAATCAACAAAATTTCCTATACAATTACCATATTGAGAGACCTAAACATGTTTTGTTTATGTCGTTTTTGTTCCAATGAGGTTCGGAAAGATGTTTCATTTCATTCTGGAAGCATGATACCAAGAACAAAACAAGTGTTTCATGTGTTTTCTAAAACAATATAGATGAAAGTATATACAGAGTGGGCCCAAAAAAATGCCACTTTTTTCAAAATGCTATAACTTTTTTAATTTTTGATATTAAATCATAATTTGCATACCAAATGAAACTTGAGGTTGTTATCTAGCCATGGATCATAAATTATACACTTTTACTTGAATAAAATATGTCACCAGCGTCTCACTTAAACATGTGGTGTGCCATGAGAAATAAGCATAATTTGCAAAATGTTCCTGAACTCATACGGCCTGATGATCGCCAAGCTAATAGCCCTGATGCAAACCCCAGTGAGTATACAGTATGGGAAGGTCTCCAGGAGATTGTATGAAAGCACCCAATCTAGAAAATTGCTCAACTAAAGCTGGCAATTAAGACAGGTTGAAAAAAGAAAAAAAACTTAGCTAACATTTCATTGATACTGCAATGTCAGCAAGGCGACTAAAACTAAAATATATTATCAATTAGAGTGGCAGACCAATTGAACTCCCCTTTGAGATCAAATATGATCAAAGTTGAAGGACTTGTTACATTATATTATTACTAAGAACCCTTGGCACTGTATAACTGCAAAATGTTGGGTATATAGGTTGGAAAATAAAAAAGTTGTAGTGTCTTGAAAAAAAAGTGGCGTTTTTTTGGCACACCCTGTATATATTTTTCAATTTATATTGTTACCATTGAAAAGATGACCATTAAATTGACGTTGTGTTAAATTTTTAGATTTTTTTATGACTGGTTTAAGAGAAACGTGTGTTCAAAAAGTTTTCCATATCGATACCACTCCTTTGGATTTTTAAGGGTCAAACGTCAACTTTGAATGGATCTTCATGCATATTTTGAAAATAAGTTCACCAAAGAAGGTATTAGACCAGGAAACCATGTCTATAGCCAGAAGAGTGTTATTTTAAACCGTTTTATCCTCTATAAATCGCAATATCCCTTTAATTACTTCACTGCTAAGACCTTTTCTCCTATTGTCAATATAAAGTATAAGTGTCTTTGGTAATCTCATTTCAAAACTTAGCATTTATTTCCACTTTTTTATTTTCCGTATTGACATGAAATAATAAAAAAAATTCTTGTTATCTTCATTCCTTTACAATTTCACACATTTGCAATATAGCCTATTTTGAATTTTTTAACACGACAACTATTATTCACACATTCCAATCATAATTCATTTTTATATCAAATTCAAGTCAATTTATTCCATTTACAACCTTCTCGAAGATTATTGTTAGATAATTCTGTCAGTAAACTGTCAAGCAGATCATCTTATTGTATAAATTGGAATTCATTCAAGTTGAAGAGATATTTAGGTCTTGACCTTACAAATTAATATCTGTTTAACGGAATTTATTGAACTTAGTGTCTGTTAAGCGGAATTTATGGAACTTTATTAAATATTCAGGCCTTTACAAATTGATATCTGTTTAGTGGTGTATTTTTCATCATTTTGAAAACTATAGGTGTCTATCAGGAAAACATAGTATATGAGTATAATGAGATATGTTTTATGGGATCATATGTTACTTTCTTCATGTCTTTTTTACCAAAAACAACAAATTATAACATCATAATTTAATCTTAGACTTTTAGTAGCTTCTCATATAGACATATACTTACAAGACAGTAAAAATCCTAGACTCCCCCCCCCCTCTCACTCATATAATCTTTTCAACCCTTTGATGAATCAGTTGAATGCCAAATAGACCAGGATGCCAGTCTGTTGTTTTCCCCATTTATTACCTAGATGGCAATAGTTCCACCACCAGGGGTATATAGTTAGTCTCAATTTGAAGACAAATATACACAATTGTGATCAAACCTTTTTGTATGATAGATATACATGTATAATCTAAAATGTGTTGAGTAAATGAAAGATATTTCATTTTTTGTAGCAAGTCAGTTTCAAATATTCTGTTGAACGAGTGAGGAATTTCTTCAGATTGAATGGCCTATCATTGTTCCAATGCAAACACAAAAATGAAGAAAACATTGTTCAACTTGTTATCATTCTACAGTGGCCATTCCCAGACAGAATCTCAGATGTGACATCACAATACAATGCAGATTCACAGATGTGTGTAATGCCCAGACAATCATGTATGGAGAATTCAAACATGACCGTGCTCTAATTGAATTTCTCAACCAATCAGAATGCAGCATAGCCAATATAGAACGTTCTCTAATTCTCCATAGATGCACGACCGTGCTCTATCCAATCATCCGGGAATCTACGTATTGTATTTGCATTGTGACGTCACACCTGGGAATGGCGAAAATAACAGCGAGCTCGAGTTTAGTGTATCTCATGTAGCCCTAATCCCCAATTCTCTGAACAATGTTTTCATTTTTTATATGTTTGAATCGGAATAAATAATGATAGGCCATTCAATATGGTGAAATTCAGCACTCGTTAGACAGAATGTCAGTACAAATGCACTCACCTTCGGTTCGTGCTTTGTACGACATTCTGTCCAACTCGTGCTGAATTTCACCATATTGAATGGCCTATCATTATTTATTCCTTAATTAGAGAATGGCTATGCTGCATTCTGATTGGTCGAGAAACTCAATTAGAGAACAGTCTTGTTTGAGTAATTTATACTACTGTCATCTGGTCTATTGGTTTGCTTGAGAAATAAAGGAATGTACTAGTATATTACAGGTCACTGAACATGGTTAAATGTGATATATTAATTGAAACAGACTTTCATCAAAGTGAGACGACATTCAAACCTCAATTAGCCATGTTAAAAGTACATTTTTCACTTTCCATGAATATACAAAAAAACATTTTACCAAGATCAAGAATAGGAAAGCCATCACATTTTATGTTATTAACACAATTAAAAACACATCTCTCCACTTTATTCCCATTTATTTACACTTCCATCATTACATATTTACATTTTGTTTAATAAATAGATTCTGTTTAATGGTTGTAAAACAATACATTCATTGTATGGCAATAAAACTATTTACAATACCATTATTAATCTATTTACTTAGCTTTGCTACAAGGCTCTTCATATATTTTATTATTTCATCTAACTTGGCTTTAATTCATGAAGCAGGGAGAAGAGATTGCCACAGTATATTGAGAATAATCAATATAAAAAGTGACATGTCAGGCTATTTAGCCAAGTATCAGATAAAGATACAGCAAACCCTATAAAATCATTAAGGCAATGTTCGTTTTACCAATTGCGACCCCTTAGGTACTTCAATTGTGACATTGCACTTGACATTGACTACATCGTCGATGTTGATTTTCCCAATTTCTTTACATACCGGTAGCTTGTTTGGAAAATGCTTAGGTGATTACCCGCCATACTTTTCCACATCCGTATTAATGCCAATGCTTATGACCTTTGAACTTGGGACATATCAATGGAGAAAAATGAGGTCTGTCCAGTTGATTTTAGCTACGCCACTTGTCTTGAATGACATTTTCTTCTGACAGAGTATGTAAAAATACTCTGATTTGTCCATTTCAGATCCTTTATACTGTAAGACAATGGTGGTAATAGTAATACACTGTTCACATTTGAACATTAATTTCCCACACCAGAAAAATATGAAAATATATTTTGTTTTTTTCTGGGGTTTAAAGAGGCAATATGTCAAATTCGAAACAATACTTTCATGAATATACAAAACAATTTTATAATTCATCAGATGGCAAACCCTAATGACTGTGGTAAGATGCAATTCTGCGATGATTTCAATGAACAAACAAAACATTCATTTGACATATTACCCTTTTAAGACCATGGCTTGGAAAATGGAATAATTATCCAGTTCTTACACGCGAGATCAGAAAATATGCGATGAAAAATAGTCCGACTAGTCCTAGAATAATATAACACTGCATTTTCCTGTTGCCTTTTCCCGACTGTACCATGTGTGTGATGCGGCCAAAACTCCCAGAAAGTAGTCCGGTTGTACTGTTAAAGTCATCATCCTGGAAGAAGACAATGGAATCCAGTGAAATATTACAAAATAAATCAAATTATTTACAAGATGAAATCAGATTTATTTTTTGATGATAGATTATGTTTTGTCAAAGAAAACTTGGCCCATTTAAATTAAAAAAGAATGACCTCTTTATGAGCCAATGTGTTAAGACTGTATGAATGTGTCAGTATGTCAGGAAGTTGTTCTTAACTGCCCATTCAAGCTTCACTATATAGGTCAATACATTTACAGAAAACAATTGAAGTTTGAGAATGCATCTTGATTGTTTATTCGACAATATGTGTGGATTTTATACGTTTGCACACACTGACTACACATTTGACCATAGGGAGTCAAAATGAATGGAAAGGCCAATGTGATCACCTCAAAAGCATCATGTGCTGACATCTTTTAAATGACACAATCTTTTCAAGGTTTGTAGTAAAATAGTGAATTCAGTTTCACAAAGCATTTTCATATAACAATTATATGTCAAAAAAAATATAAAAATGTACTCCCTATCTTCAAATCATTCTACTAGTTGAAAAAAACTTTTTTAATTGGCATTGTGAGCTAAGCAAACCCTCCATGTTGTATTATACTTTTTTCTCAAATTAATACAACTTGAAATGCTACCAATTTCAGAAAAATTATGATAAAGATATACATACCACACCATCTATAAATCTGTTCTGATCTTTTGTTTCTGATTCCATATCAAATGCAATCTACAATTTAAAATTAAAACATTATCAATATATCACCCAAACAGGGTGGTGTAAGAGTATAAATGCAAACCTTTTCACTAATACAGAATCCATGTATCAATTGTTTCTGTGGCAGCCTGTGGTACATGACACATAATAATTACTAGCCCACAGTTTGTCATTATCCCATTTCTTTTCAATTTGTTAAGTTTTAAAATATATGTACATGAGATGTGGGAGACAACTTACATTATACAACATTTGATGATTTTGAGCATGACACATCAATAACTATCTAACATAACAGAAAAATCACTGCCCAAGTGGAGCACTTTTTGGATGGACCAAAGGCATTCCACTTACATAGACCTCTCCACTCTATATGTGAGGGAAGAAAAGATAAAGAATAATAACTTACCCCTTTTAGTCTATTAACCTTCTGGGCCAAATTTTCACTCATTCGCTGATTTTCATCCACCAAATGGTCCTCCATTGACCCTGGTAAGAAAAAATACTTGTTTAATTTTCAAATAGGGAATATATGATTTATGAATGATATTATGATTTTATCTACAAATGGATATCATATGATATCTGCATGAATAAAAAAGTGCAGATATCATGACCCATGAGTGGATAAAAATCATATCATGAGGAAATCATAGGATATTCTTCTTATTCCATAGTTAAAATGATTCAAATCTACCGGTAACTTTCCAAATGATCGTTTTTGACTCAAGTAGCATTTAACCATTAACAATTGGATAACTCAGTGAAAATCTGCAAAAATATAACATTTACAAAATGAATTTTTATTTCAGACATCTTATAAATTGATTATCATAGAAACTAAGGGATATAAAGGATACTTAGATGAAAATTAATTTAATGACCAGTCATGATTATCTGAAGATAATAGCAATCTATGATTCATCAAAAAGAAAACCCCTAATCTAACATGATGCTTAAATTTCCAAATGCAAGTTTACATTTAAAAGATTAGAGTACCTTTTTCTGAGATTGATGCCATTGTCTTCAGATAGACAGTAGACCAGGTTGATTGCTTGAGGTTGTTATATGTGATTGCTACTTTTTCCTATAGATACTACAAGGCTACAGATTGGATGGGTTAGTACTACTTCAGATACACATTAACCTGCAATTAAGTCAAATGTTATGTTTTAACTTGTAGAGCAGAAAGTATTTCTATGGAGTTGTATGATCAATTACTGCACATCCTCCTAAGCAGGTGTCCAGAATCCGTACCTCCCTCTTCCCCCTGCTATAACCAATTTGGACACGCCCGATTTAACTGAATCACGTGATCTAATTATGCGCAATGACTTATGCATGATTTCTGTCGCAGTGTTGCGACAGCCAATCAGATTGCGAGTTCCTAATCGGGGAAATGATAACTGCTTATCGCAGGGGGAAAAAAGAAAGAATATGTTCTGGATTTTGAAGCCCTGTGATCGGAGGATGTTACTGCAGTACTTCTACTTAATTTGGTGGCTGTTTTAATTTGGTGGATCCGGCAAATTGTAAATTGGTACGTTGTTATATTGCAAGTTCGCAAAATTAAGTACGGTAGCCACCATATGTTTAAAGTAGAAGTACAGTATTAGGTACAGGTGAACACAGTGTGCAGAAATAGAATTACTCGAGTCTCTACCCAATACTTGGCTAGAAGACATGGTATATGGACCACCGGCCGGGCAGTAATTCAAACATTTGTCCTGGTGTAAAATAAATTTGAATGTTATTTTAAAAATCGTACTAAGAGAATATTTCATCAATTAGAATTGAAACGAACACTGTCCTTTGTGAGTTATTGCATACTTTCGTCTAAAATTAAATCAACAGCTCCAAGAAAAATGGTGGATGTCCGGCAACAAGGACAAAAGCTGGATAAAAACGTTGTTAATGTCTGACATTTTAAAGGTGCAACAATTTGTGCAGGGGTCCATTCAACGATCATCAACCGGTAGGTCTTATTTTTTAATTCTGGTCAATTTATAAAAAGAATGGGCCCAATTTTTGATTTGAGGTGCCCAGAAATTTGTTTTTTCTGACTTGGAAGTGTGCCCCTCCCCCCTTCTTTTGAGAAAATATATATGATATCTTTATTCTTTTTCAGATAACCTGTCTCCTATGCCCCCCCCCCCAAACCTGTTAGCTTCTGGGTCAACAAGTCAAGTCAGTATAATTACATAATAGGCAAGGCATCCATTCCAATACAGGTCGACTAGAGAAACATAAAAACTTTTTATATGTTATTCTGCAGCTTATAAACTCATAGGTGCATTAATGCGACTCAGAAAAGTGTGATCGAGTCATTGTAAATAATTTTTGTTGACATAAAAAATCTGCTTCAGATTTAGTCTAGTGCGCCGGTATCAATACAGCATTGAATTCTAAACAAAGTTTATAATTTGATAACCCATATATCTTTCCGTATTCCGCCTAGCACCTTAAGTTATCTAAGCCATTGATACCCGATAAAACGCAATTTAATACCTCTTCCATTTCGCCAATTACTCGCCATTTTTTCGATGACGTGTTTTACTCCTCCAATTTAAAGAGTTAGTAAATATTCGACCAATCAAAAGGCTTGTAACATATGTCAACCAATGAAATTTCTTTTCACATTCAGTTGGTTTTTAAAAATTTTAAACTTGAAAAATATAATTTTCTCCACACTATTTGATGAATTATAGTGTAATCGCCCATCATATGTTCGATCAGATGATGTAAGTATATGCATATCGGTTTACTTTAGCTCTTAGACTATTCAATGAATTCTGAATTTTCGATATCAATTGAGAAATAGACTTTTATAATATATTTTATCTCGGACCCCGGATCGGGGGTTTGTAGAAAAAACCGGGTACCGGTTAGTAAATCCTCCATGCTGGGTTCAAACTTGGTACCCGGTCGAAAAAACCGGGTACCCAAAAAACGAAAAATACGAATATATAACATAAATATCATTAGAAAACGTGCAAGATTTGTTTTGAAATTACAAAAATGTATGTAAGCTTTTACCTTCTTCTAAGGCCACTGTATTGTGGCCTTCCAGTACAGATATATTCCTGCATGAACAAATGGTCATGTCGTAATCATAAAATTTGAAATCATATGTCCGCCATTTTTCCACATCACAATTTGAATTGCGAGTTTTAGTCTTATTACCTCACCTAAAATTCCAAAACACACATAAAGTGATCAGTGTATTAGTTCACATCTTCTGGATCGCTAACTTAGAATTTACAGCCAGTTACTAATGTCAGACGTTAACGACATTTCGTCCAGTTTTCGAACATCGCCATTTTTCTTGGAGCCATTTTGTTGGAGCCATTACATGAATGACATTTGTATATTTCAGATTTTTTAGTTTTTTGTGCAATAAGCCTGTGCCGTCTTGTAATTTGAAGAATTTCAGCCATGTTAATCTTATTGAAAATAACATGGCAGAGAAACATCCAAATATAAGAGGCCACACACTTTATAAGCCAAACTAGAAGCAATCCAAGATATACAAATGTCATTCATGTACATTATGAATATACTTTTCCATATATTATTGCACAATGGTCTCCCAATTTCTTATTTTTGCCGTTCTACTGACGAAATGAACCAGTGAAATGGACTCTAGACTATATCCTCCAGTCTGAAATTTTTTCATTTGGAATGAAAATATTTAGACTATAGCCCTTATATGTTAAAATTTGGGATTGGAAATTATTTGTTTACGTAGGAAGTGCCATTCAAAATGGCCGACTGGGTAAATTAATTTGCATATTTGTTACTTCTCCTAGCTTTATTTCCATTTGACAATATGCTGTGTTACTTTTTATAGCATTTAATTGTACCTTACTACTTAATTGAATTGTTATAATGCTTATTTTTGGGGAGTGAAGTTTCCTAAAATTGATAATTGTGTGCAGGAAATTTTCTGTTTTTTCCCACAGGAGGGACATAATGATCAATAGACTGAATTCTTAGGAAATTCAGTCTAATGTATATAGACTAAATTTACACTTCAGTGGACGTTTCGTCGAAAATTGGGATACTGTAACTTATATTATGATTAATAATCAAAATCTTATACGTTGCATCGTTTAAATTAACACACGTCACCTCTCTGCTAAAGTAACGATAGTTATTTACAGATTTAAATCATAAACAAAACAATCCACATACGAACTATTGAAAATAGAGTAAGATTGATTTGTCATGTTTTTCAAATCGTCTTACAATGTCATAGGCGTAGCCAGGAGGGGGTGCGATGGGGCGATCGCACCCCTCCCCCATAACCAATGAAAATATGACCATAATGATAGAGGAAGAAAAGAGCCTTAAAATGCTTTTTATTTAAAGCTTCTAGCTCAATTTTGAAGGAAGTTACATACGTTTTTGTAAATTCAAAACAAATCTTACACGTTTTCTAATGGTGTTATATATTGGTATTTTCGTTTTTGGGGTACCCGGTTTTTTCGACCGGGTACCGAGTACCAAGTTTTAACCCAGCATGGAGGATTTACTACCATGTACCTGTTTTTTTCTACAAACCCTCGGATCAGTTGGCCTGAGTGTCATTCAGTCTCTTACTCACTGACTCTACAGTGTCAATCACTGCTGTCTGTGTATGTGCATTTAAGCCTTAGTAAATATGTGAAATGTAATAGAAGAAGAAGGATAATGATGTCTTTTAACCCAAATTGTAATCTTGGCCTCAAATGAATAAATGTTCTACAGTGGGGAACATAAAGAATTACTAATAGCTATGAAAAATACATGCTGTCGCACATAATGATAATATTAGATTCTTACCTCAGTGTTTTCAACGCTCTATTTTCCACGTCCTAGTAAGTCCAAATATTGTGGAATTTTTGCCCATAATGACAAATAGGAACTCAAAAATTTGAAGTGGATATTCACATGTGATGCCGACTCTTCAAATGTTAAGGTGATTTTGGAGCTTGATTACGCCGCAAGGAGGATTGGCTCCCAGAATGCAACATGACACGTGCCAGCTTTCAAAATGCTGTTCCGCCGTTTTGAAACCTGTCACGAGTAAATAAGGTGAACTGATGTTGCATTTTGGGAGTCAACCCTCCTTGGATCACAAACATGGCGATTCATGAAAACATTCATTCGATTTGGTAGGAATTTATCCATCATTTGCAGGTATGAAGCTTTGGATTCATTTATTGTGCTACTTAAAGTGAATAAATTATTTTCTACCGCTTGGGAGAGTTTGAGACACGAAACTTAGAAGTTAGCTCATTGTGACAACTTTTGATGGGTCTCCCACTTTACCATCAAGATCAAAATCTTTCTGAGGGTGAATCACAAAAGCCTACCTAAAATAATTGTTGTATCTATGTGTTCCATGGATCGCTTACCTTTTTAGGTTTGACACTTGTTTAAAATAAGAAATTCATTTCCTGTCGTGTTTGATTTCAGATATCCATCTGTGTAAGATAAAAACATTGTAATTAGAACCAAATATACAACAAGGTGTTAATTTACCCCATTTGTAGAATATACCCCCAAGTTGATGTATTATACCTTGGTCTTTCAACAAAAAGTTTTTATGGAAACTTAACATGTACTTCCACTTAGCTTTTTTCATGACAACCTTGTGGAATCCAGAAGAATATTCTATTTCATTATGTTTGCTAATTTTGGTACTTTGGTTCACAAGTCTAAGCAGATGACAGTACATGTAGTTACATCTAATTAGTTATATTCCAATTAAACTGTATTTCAGTTTGAGCTGTATTTGCTCATTAATGACATCTATGTCCAGGCTTGAATGACTACATGTATATGTACAGTACATACCGGTATATATAATGTAATAGTAAATCATCTTGTACACTGTAAGTAAATATTGAATAATCATGATATTAAGATGATCATTTTCACATTAAAATAGAGATGACTGAAAGGGAAAAGAATCAGAACACAATATAATTATATCAAAGATCTTCTAAATAGTTCAAAGGTTTTATAACTTGTATCATGGGCTTCTGGTGAAAGCCCATGCTTATGCTCGTAGGCATAAGCATGGGTGATTTTTTTGCTGGTTGTTTTCAAAATCATTTTTTGTTATGTGAAATGTTGAGAGTGTTTTCATGTTTTTCTTATAATTTTCAATAGTTTGCCATGTTGGTAGAAATATAATGAAACTCTGGAGGTGTACATGATACATATGTCACCTTGTGACCTTAGACAATTGTATTTAATTTATTTCATCAATCAAATTTCATCATCTTTGAAGCGCTAATGTATTACTAACTACTATCAGAATTTGCTTTTTTATTTCAGATGAAAGATTAAGAATTGTAAAACAATTATAGCAGTGAATCTACAAATGAAACAATGGAGCCCCAAAGAAAGAGAAAACTCCCATCGAGTTCTTCAAGCAGTGGCGCTAGTGAGAGTGATTGCATGGCAGAAACTGCAAGCTCCAATGTTAAAGTTGTCATAAGAATCAGGCCTGAGAATGAGGCTGAGCAAAGTGGTATGTAGCTTTTTATTATAAGGAAATTTTGCTCTTATGAAAAATGTAATTTCAGCATGATTTTAACAAAATACTATGAACATAATTTTTAACAAAATATTTTGATTTCGAACTGTTTTCTGTCATAACAACAATATTCAGACAGATAATTTTGAAAAACATTAATGTTTATGTTGTTACACGAATAGAAATATTTATTTTAAGTTTTGAATAGACCTTTACACGATATTATATTATAGAAAAATACTCAACTGTTGTGAAAGTCATAGATGAGTCTTTACTCGTCTTTGACCCCAAAGAAGAATCTTCACCAGGTTATTTCCATGGTAAACGCAGAAGAGGTCGTGACATCACCAAGCGCAAAAACCGTGATATTAAATTTGCATTTGACTGTGTATTTGATGAACACTCTACAAGTAAACTTGTTTATGAGAATACAACAAAAGTGGTGCTAGATGGGGTCCTGGATGGATATAATTGCTCAGGTAAATTTTTTAAATATTATTATTGTAAATCTTCAAGGATGTATGATTATGTCATGGAATCAAATGAATTCGCTTCACTGACGTCAACTTCAATAACATACATATTTGATCAGATATCTAAAACCTTTTTCAGATACTGAATTTAGGTGCTTTGTGCTAATGGGCATGTGTCTCAACATTTGTCCTTAAGTCCACATCTCTATGTCTCTCTTGGTGGCAATTTTGAATTTTTAAAGACACTGCATGTCTTATGAGGATTCTACTTGATCCATTGTTGCTACTTGAAATATGAAAATTCCAGCAAACCAGTCTTACAGTAAGCCTTGAAATATATGCTATTATCACATACTATGTATAAATCTAGTGATTTGATTGGTTGCTTTCTATGACGTATTTCCCGTATCACATAAATTTCATATGATACGAGCACACATACCACACGTTGTCTATGGTAACGAAATGACGTCATACAACTTTATTCTATTCTTTCCTAATTCAAAATGACGTCACATATAGGCTGTGTTACTATTTCTTAGAAATGATGAATTCGTCATATGAGGAACTAGAACTTGTAGAAGTTAGAACGACAAAGAAAGCTACCAATCAAATCACTAAATTTCTACATAGTATGTGGTAAAATCGTCATCACACGTTTCAGCGTATGTGATACGGGAAATATTCCACTCAGTAAAAAAGTATCACCACTCAAGCTGCGCTTTCGTGGTTATACAATTTTTACTTACGTATCACATGGTGAAACGTGTAATAACTGATATTATCACAGTGATATTTGATTTTAAACAATAGGTTTATTTCATTGCAAGTTTTCCATTCCTACTACGTATTACATAAACATTTAGGCAAATTGCTTTTGCATTTCATGTCTGCTTTCAACAACAGTGATATTGGATGTTGTTAATTCTCATTCCTGTGTATTGCAGTATTTGCTTATGGAGCAACTGGAGCTGGTAAAACTCATACCATGCTAGGAAAGCCTAACCAGCCTGGAGTGATCTTCCTCACAATGATGGATTTATATGCAAGGATCGAAGCCATGAGGGACGAGAAGATCTGTGATGTTGCTGTCTCCTATCTAGAGGTAAACATACACTGTATTTATAGATGGCATTCAAATGCAACAGTTGTAGAATAATGAAGATCATTTTAATTAATAATTCAGGTTAACAACAAATCAATGTTATCAGATTTTATTTCATGATTTTGATTTTATTTTACCTTGTTGAGTGTTGAATATGTATTCTATCTATGTTTATGTTTAGGTGTACAATGAGGAGATCAAAGACTTGCTGCTCCCAGGTGGATATCTGCCAGTGAGGGAGGACCCACAGAAGGGAGTTGTTGTCCAAGGACTTTCATTGCATAAGGTAAACATGTGGAATGTTACAATACATCTGATTAACTCTTGCAATTACCTGTCATACCATGATGACAAATCCATTTACCAGAGTCAGACTGCAAATTATAATTTAAGTTACTGAAGGGAAAGATGATTTTAATCATTCTACTTGATCTTCCTTGACATTATACTATTGTGCATTATTTTAATATGATATAATGCACTTGTCAAGTAAATTGAAAGAAAGGTTTTTACAAATTAACAAAAATATAAACTGTTTTTCTGCAGCCAAGAGATGCTGAGGAATTAATGCATATGTTGGAATTCGGGAATCAAAACAGGACGCAGCATCCCACTGATGCAAATAAGGAATCATCGAGATCTCATGCTGTATTTCAGGTAACTTCCATAAGACAGGTGGAATCAAGATTTCTCATCTTAAGCTATGTCAAAAGTAGTTGAATTCCTAAGGAGTGAACTATGTAAATCAATTAGCCAAAATTACACAGAACTGCCTGACCAATATTGCTGTTAGACTTAAAGGGACATTCCTCGCCAGACCATTTCTCTCCTGATATGGTAGCTATAATCAATAAATATACTTTCCATATTTAGCAAAACATGGGAAATGTTTTAATATGGTCAATATTGATCATTTAAAAATGTAGTGCTCATTTCCAGTGAGCTGCCATCTTTCAAGATTTCTTGCAGGAAGTGATGTCATCAACTCTCAACTTATATAAGCTTGCCCATAACAGTGTAGGAAAGTAGCACAAAATTACTTCTAGACAAGTGATCCTTAATTTCTGTGCAAAAACATTTTCAGAGCTTGTCAACTTAGAATAAAAGAAGAGAATTTCAGAAGAATTAAATCAGATACAAAATTGAAAAAGAATATTCAGCTGTTTTTGTTATTCTTAATAGCTCCTTCCCTAATTCTATATGCAAAGTTGAGAGTCGATGACATCACTTCCTGAGTGGAATCTTAAAAGATGGCAGCCTAGTGGAATTGAGTACTACATTTCTAAGTGTTCAATTTTGACCATATCTAAACATTTTCACTGCTTTGCTATACATGGCAAGTATACATATGGTTATAGCTACTATATGAGGAGAGAGATGGTTTGGCAAGGAATATCCCTTTAAGGCCCTTCACAACTATAATGTGCAGTATTAATGTTTATATGATACAAGTAAAATGTTTAACCGAAACGTCAAAAAGTAAAAATCAAAACTATCTGAAATATCTAATCAGAAATGATCAAGGATTATTGATATATTACTTTGTATAATTTAAAAAAATGTCACTGGTTGATTTTAAGTTCTATATAAGTGAACTTCTTGTTTCATGAGAACATTTCTTCATATCCTATGTGTATTTTCATTCCTAGGTATTTGTGCGGCAGAAAGACCGAACAGCAGATGTGAAAGCTGATGTGAGAGTGGCAAAGATGTCTTTGATTGACCTTGCAGGATCAGAGCGTGCCACTGTCACTACAAATCGTGGAGCTAGGTTTAGAGAAGGGGCTAACATCAACAAATCTCTCCTTGCACTTGGTAATTGCATCAACGCTCTGGCAGATGCACGGGTAGGTTTCTTGTGCTTTGTGTCCAGGCCAATCTCCCCTACAAGGCAATGAGAAGTAGATCAAAACGATACTTTAAATAAATGAATTAATTTTGTACTAGTTATTTGAACTCATACACTTGGCCAAGTCACACTAATACGAGGAAATTAGTTCAAAGCAGCACATGTTCAGCAACATATATATATATATATATTTTAAAGTCGAGTGTGACTTTACTTATATGCTCTTGTTTTACAGTCATCAAAAAGCCAGCATGTTCCATACAGAAATAGCAAGCTGACCAGACTGCTGAAAGACTCTCTAGGGGGCAATTGTAGGACTGTTATGATAGCAGCAGTAAGGTATGGATATGTTACAGTTGGGGAATGGAGAGTGGGAATGGAGGGGGGATTGAGGGGGCAATTGTTGGACTGTTATGATAGCAGCAGTAAGGTATGGACATGTTACAGTTGGGGAATGGAGAGTGGGAATGGAGGGGGGATTGAGGGGGCAATTGTTGGACTGTTATGATAGCAGCAGTAAGGTATGGATATGTTACAGTTGGGGAATGGAGAGTGGGAATGGAGGGGGGATTGAGGGGGCAATTGTTGGACTGTTATGATAGCAGCAGTAAGGTATGGATATGTTACAGTTGGGAATGGAGAGTGGGAATGGAGGGGGGATTGAGGGGGCAATTGTTGGACTGTTATGATAGCAGCAGTAAGGTATGGACATGTTACAGTTGGGGAATGGAGAGTGGGAATGGAGGGGGGATTGAGGGGGCAATTGTTGGACTGTTATGATAGCAGCAGTAAGGTATGGATATGTTACAGTTGGGGAATGGAGAGTGGGAATGGAGGGGGGATTGAGGGGGCAATTGTTGGACTGTTATGATAGCAGCAGTAAGGTATGGATATGTTACAGTTGGGGAATGGAGAGTGGGAATGGAGGGGGGATTGAGGGGGCAATTGTTGGACTGTTATGATAGCAGCAGTAAGGTATGGACATGTTACAGTTGGGGAATGGAGAGTGGGAATGGAGGGGGGATTGAGGGGGCAATTGTTGGACTGTTATGATAGCAGCAGTAAGGTATGGATATGTTACAGTTGGGGAATGGAGAGTGGGAATGGAGGGGGGATTGAGGGGGCAATTGTTGGACTGTTATGATAGCAGCAGTAAGGTATGGATATGTTACAGTTGGGGAATGGAGAGTGGGAATGGAGGGGGGATTGAGGGGGCAATTGTTGGACTGTTATGATAGCAGCAGTAAGGTATGGATATGTTACAGTTGGGGAATGGAGAGTGGGAATGGAGGGGGGATTGAGGGGGCAATTGTTGGACTGTTATGATAGCAGCAGTAAGGTATGGATATGTTACAGTTGGGGAATGGAGAGTGGGAATGGAGGGGGGATTGAGGGGGCAATTGTTGGACTGTTATGATAGCAGCAGTAAGGTATGGACATGTTACAGTTGGGGAATGGAGAGTGGGAATGGAGGGGGGATTGAGGGGGCAATTGTTGGACTGTTATGATAGCAGCAGTAAGGTATGGATATGTTACAGTTGGGGAATGGAGAGTGGGAATGGAGGGGGGATTGAGGGGGCAATTGTTGGACTGTTATGATATCAGCAGTAAGGTATGGATATGTTACAGTTGGGGAATGGAGAGTGGGAATGGAGGGGGGATTGAGGGGGCAATTGTTGGACTGTTATGATAGCAGCAGTAAGGTATGGATATGTTACAGTTGGGGAATGGAGAGTGGGAATGGAGGGGGGATTGAGGGGGCAATTGTTGGACTGTTATGATAGCAGCAGTAAGGTATGGATATGTTACAGTTGGGGAACAGGGGGGTAGGAATTCAGGTTGTGACAATAGGGTGCATCTCCATACCCTACATTATGATTAAGGATATTGCAGGGAGTAACATGTGAACTGGAAATAAAGAAAATCACTTATTTTTAGAAAATAGTGCACTGTTTGGTCATAATGTCAATATGAATATCAAGCCTATATATAATGTATCAAAAAATATCCAGATGTCTCACTCCACTCTGCCTGCCTGATTAATTATCCAAATAACTTATTCTACACTGCCCTCATTAGTCAAATAAATCATGAGAATGACATTCCATGTGTTTTGTTTTCAGTCCATCAAGTATGAGCTATGAAGACACCTATAACACACTGAAATATGCCAATCGTGCCAAAAATATTAGGGCTCGTGTAAAGCGCAATGTCATGTCAGTGGACCTCCATATGCATAGATACGTTAAGATCATAGATGAACTACGAGTAGAGGTGAGTCATCGAATTGTAATCTTCCCTTCCCACTAAGATTTTCGACATCTAAAAAGTCACTCGACTTTTTTGTGATTTTGAATCACAGAAAGCATTCTGAAGTTTCAAATTGGCGCCACGTTTAATTTTTGGCATCCGCCTAATGTATACCACTTACCTTTAAATTATTCTTTCATAAGTTTCGTCATAAACTCAGTTTGACCAGAAGTATCTTTGTTGCCGGTCGATTTTTAAAAAAAAATGTCCCTTTTCTAATCACCTGGATGTGCGGTTCACTTGGACTCGCCCAAAACGAGGGGTGACAAACGCAAGATGGTAGAGATGCAGACATGTCGCCTCTCAGAGAATCTATTCCATAATTTCAACATTACTATGCGGTTTTACAAGGGAAAGGGATAAGGGCAGGTTGTATATAGGACTGGACAAGATGAAAGTAAATATTCTAAATAGATGACACCCCTTTCGAAATAAGATGAACTGAACCTATCACGTCACTGATTTCTTAGAAGAAATTACGTCAGAAAAACAAAAGCGATGTAGAGAATTTTCGCTTGAATCGTTGAAAAGCAAGCCCAGTTTTCTATGGGAATATACGGTAATTAATAGTTACGTGTACAATATTACAGAGTTCGACGGTGCATAAGTTAGGCGGTGGATCATTTTGTAAGTACGACAATGTGAATTCATGCAACTGTTACTTTTTGGAAGGTTTTTTGCAAAAAAGTCGAGTGACTTTTTAGATGTCGAAAATCTTAAGTGTATTTTACAAAAAATAATAGTGGATTTAAAAAAAACCTAGTTTTTATTATTTTTATTTGCAGAAATCTATAAGATGTGGCTTATGTATTTTATTGAACAGGGATACTAGAATTCTGCACTACAAAATGTCAAATGGTGCAAAAATATCATTTTGTCGCGGCATTTTTTCACTGCATTTTTTTTGAAAAGTGTGAAAATCAAAATAAAACTGCCATGTTTTTTAATATGTACATGTATTTGAACAACAGATATATTAGTAACAATATAGAGATGATATATTGGCCAGAAGCAATACAAAACGAGTATGTAGTCACATATTTCGTGACTCGCATTAGGTGTCCCTTACAAAGCACTTAGAACTATTGGAATTTTGCGCAGCTATTATATTTTGCAAATTTTCCAAAAACCTCCAAATATACGCGAAAATAACTGGAAGTATATGATTATAAAGCATTGATGTTTTTTCTCTTTTTTTAGGTGTCTGAACTGAAGCTGAAACTTCAAACCTATGAATCTGACGATGTCTTCCCAGAACGTAGACTTGCTGTTACGGACCCTAGCCTTCAACATCAGATAGATGCGTAAGAAATACAAATTTTACCATTTAAGGTCATTTTAATTATGAGTGCCATGCAAACAACCAGATTCAGTCAGCATAATGCATCAATGCCACACTGTTGATGTTTTTATGTCACCACTAAGAAGATTCTGTGACTGGCATTCGTGGTCAGTGTCAGCAGTTGGCATTTGGTATCTGTATCTATCCCTTTAACCCATTTATCTTAACTTACTACTAAGAAGTGACATTTTATCATGTTAATGGCATGTTCATAAATTGTTGACAAGTACTCAACAGCATGTTTATCACTTTGCAGAACTGAAAGTGCCATGCATGCAATATTTATGAAGCGTCTCAGTTTGCGTAAAGAGTTCATGGAACTGGAATGCAAAGATAGACATCTGATGGCACGGATCTACAAATTCCAGAGATATCAAGAAAGACTTGGAATAGTAACACTTGATGAAGATGCTACTGAAAGGGTAAGACACTACTCTTAATATGATCATCTTAGAAGCATTTTGTGTTTATGCCTGAGTCACATTTGCTCCGGTTGATGAATCTGAACAAATGTGACTCAGTCAATAGTCTTGTATCTTCCAAACACTTTCAAAGTTGATCTATCAACCTTTAGCATGCTGCCTTATTTCAACAAATACATCCCACGCGACTGGCTAATTTTTCAAAGAGTGCAAAAAATTATATGCCAGGACTAAATAATTAATATCTCAATAACTACTGAATGAATCTGGATAAAATTTTCACAAAAGGAAGATACACTGGCATGGCTCATGGAAAAAATGTTCTCATGAATTTTTTTCGTAAATAAACCACGACTGGGCATAAATATAACATGAATGCTCCTCCAGAATCCGCCGCTTCGCCCCTGGGAAGATTCAACGTCTGGTCAGAATCCAAAACTGAATTTGCAGTGATCGAATGTACAACTTTTCAGTTCAGAAAATATTCTAATTTCTACTTTCGATGACCATTATCGGCGACCAAGAGCCTTTGGAGCTCGAAATCACAATCCATTTCCTCCACATTTTTGTTGTGATCGTATTTTGCCGCCATTTTGTACGATTTGTTCACTAAAACACTGTTTAAATTGTTGAATAGGGAAATATTTTTCAAAAGATCGCCATTTCTAGGTCAACAGGAAGTCACGTAATGCACTGAATAAATCATGAAATCTGATTGGATCATAAAAATAGCGCGAAAAAGTAAAGTTTTTAAAAGTTTAAACTCAGGTGGATGGATCCGCCGGCAGTCACTCGGGATAGTAAAGCATGGGTGGATACACTCGCCGGCAGCATGCTAAGGTTAAAAGTATCTATCTTCATATCTAGATCTTGGTGAGTGATTAGATACCAATTAGATACAGTATCGCAAACAATTTAACCCACTAATTTCTTAATAACTTTTTTCAATTTTGTGCTTTTAATATATTTGGATTTTGTTTTGTCACCACCAGTGGTGACATGTTGTGGTCTCTGTTTTTGTTGTGATTGCGGTTGGCAATCTGCGATTGGCATCTGTAACAAATGTTGGTGACATTTTGAATGTTGGTTGCTTAAGGAATAAATAATGATAGGCCATTCAATATGGTGAAATTCAGCACAGTTGGACAGAATGTTGTACAAAGCATGTACCGAGTGTAGAATTTCACCATATATTGATTGGCCTATCAATATCTATTCTGATTCAAACATAAAAATGAAAACATTGTTCAGAGAATTGGGGATTGGGGTCCATGAAATAACCAATCTTGCTGTTATTTTTGCCGTGAGTAGGTGTGTTGTCACAATATATAGGTACCTGGATGATTGAATAGAGTACGGAGAAATACAGAATGTTCATTATTGGTTATGCTGCATTCTTATTATCCCATAGAACGAAGTTCGGAGGGATAGAGGGAACGCCTCCGTCCGTCCGTCCGTACATACGTCCGTCCGTCTGTTCGTCCGTCCGTCCGGGCAATAACTCAAATACCGGTGGACCGATTTTGTTCATATTTTGTACACATATACCCTATGGGGGTAGAAGTTCTGCTCAAAAGCCGATTTTCAAAATGGCCGCTCATTTCAAAATGGCGGCCATTTTAGTGACGATTTTACAGTAATTTAGGTGCTATATGTAAAACTGTAATAGCAATATGTTTTAAATGTAAAAAAAATTATAAAGGACATTAATAATGCTACAAATGTAGATATTAAAGAAGCACATGGCAGTCATCTTGAAAAATGGCGGCCTTTACTCGTCATTTTACGATTTTGGCTGTAACTCAAAAAATAGTGGAGCGATTTTGTTCATATATGGTATGTGAATACTATAAGCATTGCACACTGTCTAAAGACACTTTTGGTAGAAGGCAGCCATTTTTCAAAATGGCCGCCATTTTAACGCATTTTACTATAACTCGAAAAGTAGTGGAGCGATTTTGTTCATATTTGGTATGTGAATACTAAAGCATGGCACACTGTCCTATGACATTTTTGGTAGAAGGTGGCCATTTTGAAAAAAATTTTGAAAAATGTCCGCCATTTTAATATATTTTACTATAACTCGAAAAGTAGTGGAGCGATTTTGTTCATATTTGGTATGTGAATACTATAAGCATGGCACACTGTCCTGTGACACTTTTGGTAGAAGACGGCCATTTTGAAAACAATTTTGAAAAATGGCCGCCATTTTAACGTATTTTACTATAACTAGAAAAGTAGTGGAGCGATTTTGTTCATATTTGGTATGTGAATACTATAAGCATGGCACACTATTTCTAATGACTCTTTTGGTAGAAGGTGGCCATTTTGAAAAATGGCCCCCATTTTAACGTATTTTACTATAACTCGAAAAGTAGTGGAGCGATTTTGTTCATATTTGATATGTGAATACTTTAAGCATGGCACATTGTCTAATAAAACTTAAGGGAGTAGTTGGCCATTTGAAAAATGGCCACCATTTTTATGTGTGTTATTTTACAAGTACACGTACGTGTGCGATTTTTCAAAAATTTTAGAGGTGCCTACTTAAAAGCATATTATTTCTTCTGATGACAACTTGGCTAGTGAGCAACCATTTTGAAAATGGTGGCCTTTCTGGTGTGTTGTTGTATGATATTTGCGCTTCGTTTGTAAAAATGCCAGCCATTTCTGTTCGATGGGATTCGCTACGCTTTGGCGTTGCCGTTGTTCTGGTTGGTTAAGAAATCAATTAGAGCACTGTCATATTTGAATTGTCTTTATTATACAATTTGGGAAATAATGTCAGGACAAAAACCAAAATTTCCTTCTGAAATATCCATATGAAAACTGGTTTATTTTATGGTTTGCTTTTCAGGCTAAGGCCAAGATGAAGGCTAATATCGAAAAGATGTCGAAGAGAAAGGGAACAGTTCGTAAACGTTGCGATGATATTCAAGTAAGCTTGGATGATAACACAAAAGAGCTGGACTCTGTGTTGGGTGAAATGAAGGACAATCTGCCAGAGGTATTATACGTACCAGGTCGTTCAATAAGTACTCATAATTTTGCTCTCATTTTAAGAGTTTTTTATATTTTTCCATGAAAATTTTACAGACGATGCAGAATGTATCTGTGTAACAACCCTGCAAAAATTAAGTTTTAATTCTAATGGTCGTGAAAATGGCGGTTGTTATAGTAACATGAAAAATGGGTAGGCGGGGCAGATTATTTGACGTCATAGTGGCATATAATTCAGTTCAACATTGTGGAGAGTAACAAGTGTTTTAATGTCATGTAGTCCCATTTATCCCATGAAATAGTATGGGGTAAATGTTTCTATTCCTACTTTAAATGCTCAAAATAATGTCCATTGGATGCGACACACTTTCGATGACGTTCTACCCAATCCTGGAAGATTTTATGGAATCCATCAGGAAATCTAGCTCTGAGAGCATTTTGGACTGCATTCTGCAAATCTTCTGTCGATGCAAATCGAAAACCTCTCAGCTCATCTTTCATTCGGCCAAACACGCCAAAGTCGCATGGGGCTTCATCAGGTGAATATGTGCCTGTGGGAGAACTTCCATTCCGAGTTCTCCTATGGTGTTCAGTACAAGTTCTGCCCGGTGACACGGGGCATTATCCTGATGAAATATTCTTGTCGCCAACTCTAGGAGGGGGCGTTTCTTTGAGAAGGCCCGTTTGAGATGCCTCTTGAGAACCTGAAATAGTCAGTAGGATAGGATACTAATGCCTTTAACATTTGTACTTAACCATTTTTATAGTTCAAATCTGATTTTAAATTTGATTTGATTTAATGTTTTTACTCTTATATTGATTAATTTATTAATACTGTAGATTGGGTTAATTTGGCGCTACTTAATTTGGCGATTTTGCCATTTTTGGCATATTGGCGGCTATTTAATTTGGCGGCTATCTAAAAATAAGTTGAACTTACTCACTGTTTGCATGGCCATGTTTGGCTATGTTCATTTTTTCTTTTGAGGACCACTGGTGATATTCACCACGTTTGTACATTTTTGTGAGATCATCCTTTACATTTTGCACCACGATCGATGCTGCTACTATACCGCCCTTTCCTTCCTAGTTTTTCCCTGAGTATTAATGAGTGACTGACCAGTTCTGTGCCAATTCATGAGACATTTTTCATATTTTTTTAAAAAACTAGACCGGAAGTGACCTAAATACACTGGAAGAAATACCCTAGATAATTCCCGGGAATTCGTTCTAAATTTTGGCGAATATTAATATTGGTGAATTTTTCAATTTCGCCAAATTCGCCAAATTAAAGCGGGCGCCAAATTAACCCAATCTACAGTAATGAATAAGTTTACCATTGCATAATAGTCCTTGTTTATTCTCTGACCATCAGGAATTGCATGCGTAAGCAGCACCCCAGAGCTATCCAAAAACACAATGAACATCACCTTGCCGTCATTTTTGGTCAGTTTTGCCAGGGTTGAAATGGGAGTAGGTGAGTTCTTAGTTCTCCAACCACTTGATGCTCTCTTCCCAAGGGGCTCATAATAGCTGACGTACACCTCGTCGCATGTGATAATTCGTTGAAGAAAACTATCCCCTTCATCTTGGTATCGTCTTAGAAATTCTTGGGAAACCTCAACTCTGCGGGCTCTCTGGTCACTAGTTAACTCCTTTGGCACCCATTTAGCACACATGAGGTTCATTTTAAGCTTCTCTTTCAGAATGAAGTGTGTTCTACCTATACTAATGTTCACATTCTCACTAAGTTCCCGTACAGAGATGCGGCGATCATCATCTAGAACTGTCTTAACTCTTTCAACAGCCTTTGGGTTGGTGACTTTTACCGGTCTGCCAGTCCGTTTTTCATCCATCACAGATTTTCTTCCCTCTGAACCAAACCTTTGATACCATTGGTATATGGTAGGTGTGCTCATTAACTCCTTTCCATAAATATCTTGAACTGCTTTTATTGTTTCTCCTCTTGATTTCTTGGATAACACACAAAATCTTATCACACTACGGATTTGAATTTGAATTTCATCTTGACTTTTCACAAGACCACAGTCAGCTGCCATCTTGGGTCTCTCTATTGAAACCTTTTCTGTGATGTCATACCTTTTTATGTGATGTCACAGTAATAACTATACTCAGAAAAGTTGCATCTTTCACACTGATGTCAAAACCTGTTTCTATGGTTGCAAATCTTTCAGATAAAACATATGACATTTCAAGATGAAATCTAACTACATCCATGGATTTTACGATCAAATAAAGTTGCCCCGCCTACCGATTTTTGACGTTACTATAGCAACCGCCATTTCCACAACCATTAGAATTAATACATAATCTTTGCAGAGTTGTTACACAGATACATTCTGCATCGTCTGTGAAATTTTCATGGAAAAATATAAAAAACTCTTAAAATGAGAGCAAAATTATGAGAACTTATTGAACGACCTGGTATAATAAGTAATAATTACATAAGCTTTGTTATTTCATATTGTTGGTGACTGAATTTTTTTGTGTTTCGGTTCACTGAGAGGTTTGAGGTTGAAACAGATTGTTATGTCACCACCAAATGATGGTTGCAATAATTTTCAAGGTGGTGAAATTTTGTTGTGGTAATGCCTTATTGGATATGTGACTGAGGTTAAATCTGAGGTCCTTGAAGGAAGAAATGAACTTAAATCATATGCAAACGTCAATGGATAGATTATGAATGCCAAACCGTAAAGTACTCTACATCAGTAATTGGGCTGCAGTGTTTGATGTAATGATGATTATTTCTGGAAATGTTTTTGATGAAAGTCAGGCCATACCTTATAATCCATATATATTACATCATTAGTCCTTTCGTGTATGTTTTCAAATTGTAAATAACATGTATTCTGCCTGCTTTTATGGGGGTTTTCACCACTTATAGCATTGAAATAACTGAGTTTGATTCATGCTACAGGTGTTAGAGGCGAGACTAAAAAGCCACCATCTTGAAGTTGAACTCAAGGACACCAAGCGCCAAGTGAAGCTGCTGCGCTATATTATACGGCAACAGGACAGGGAGATATCAAACAATGGCAAGTAAGTGTCATGAGGGAGTTATCAATGTATATTGGGTCAAAACATTTAGGTATATCAGGTCAAAACATTTAGATATATCAGGTCAAAACATTTAGATACATCTGGTCAAAACATTTAGATATATCTGGTCATAACTTTGAGGTATATCTGGTCAAAACATTTAGATATATCTGGTCAAAACCTTTAGATACATCTGGTCAAAACATTGAGATATATCTGGTCAAAACATTTAGATATATCTGGTCAAAACATTTAGATATATCTGGTCAAACATTTAGATATATCAGGTCAAAACATTTAGATACATCTGGTCAAAACATTGAGATATATCTGGCCAAAACATTTAGATATATCTGGTTATAACATTTAAATATGTCTTGTCAAAACATTTGAAACACATTTGGTCATAAAATTTCAGATAAAACTGTAAATAAAAACCAATAAAAGATACAAAAACATACATTAGAATAAATAACTGTGGCTCTGGTTAAAATTTTCATTTTTCTGCAATTTCAGACTGATAAACACCCTTCTGGAGACAGTAAGGCAGCAGTTTTACATCTTAAAGGGTAATGGTTTGGCAACATCAGGAACAGAGAATGCCTTTAGGTCAATACAGTTAGCCACTGAGGATGATCAAGGCATATCCTGGGCAGACCAGAGTGTTTCTGAGAATTCTGGAGTTGCAACGGAGTCACATATTGATTCATTAGTGAATTTACCAATTTGCTGCATAAAAACTACACGTATGTTTTATTTTACTTTTTTCTTTTCTTTCTTAATGAATCTTCTTGTTTCAAGAATCTGGAGTCCCCCTCTTGAATCTTTCTGCTTCCCTAAAAATGTGGTGTGTGTATGATGAGGGGGAAGGGGTCACCAAAACAGGCTATCGGGCAGTATCCACATATCTCGAAATGATGTAACTTCATCAATATTGTACCAGAAAATTGAAGTAGAGATTTGGTGAATTCTAAATCACAATATTTTAGCATCTTGTGTCAGAAAAAACGGCAATAATCAGCTGACTTATCTTTTGAATTCTGACTGCCTGGAACACCTTGGTCCCAGCAAAAAGTCCCCGAGCAGGAAGAAAAAATGGGTAATTTAGGATTTCCTCTAATAAAGAGCTATGGTCAGGAGACTAGTGAACTTGTTTTTTTGTGCATGAATCAAACTAAAATTCTCACTAAGTTCACCTATTTTCTTCATTTATAGCCAGCACCCCAAATAGTCAACGGAAATCACGACATAGGCGTAGTTCAACCCCAAAATGTCGAAGCACTCCCAGTGCGATGTCAGTCACTCCTAGTGCGCAAACAACTTCCAGTGTGCAGTCCAATACACCAGTTAAAGGTAGTTTTTGAAACTCATGTTTTTCTATGATATATTCATTAGTTCTTTTTTTATATTGAGGACACATGAGAATGCTCTAGAAATTATTTTTTGGGGGATAAGATGTAACTTACTTTATTTCAGTCATCTTCAATAATTTATGATGTTGATGCATTTCCAGGTATATTGACTCTCTCCAGTAAGGATAACCTTTTAGAAGCAGGTGTTGCTAGGTTACCAAATACACCTACAACATCTCACCGTAGCAGCAGGCAGCAAAATTCCCATAATACCCCAGAGACACCAAAAGAGAATCAACATTCGATCAATTTCAATATAAAATCAGAAAATACATTTAGACAAAATACAGTAAATAATGATCAGTCATTAGACAATACATTTACCATAGGTGGAGCCACCAAGGAAAACATTAAAATAGACATTTTATCAGAAGTGACATCTGGCATCCAAAAATCAAAAGCAGATGATTTGTCAGTAGTGACATCTGGTGGCCAGAATCATGAAAGGAATGAATGTAAATCAACAATAACAAATCCATATGAACAGATATCCAAGGGCAAGATTTCTACAGTGCTCCACAGTCCAAAGTCTCAACAAAATATGAAATTGCCTCAAGCTGAATCAGTATTTACAAACACTCATAAAAGTAACTGTGATGTTCAAAGAAATGATAATAATCAATCCGCACAATTGACAATTCCAGAAATACCCAATATAAATGTGTGTATTCTGAGCACTAATAAATCACAAATGTTGACAAACAATCATGAACATACAAACTCAAGACCAAGTTCTGTCAACAGTGGGACCGTCACAAAGGAGGGGAAGTCTACTGCAGTGTCTCCACCTAATGTAGATGGAGTGAAAAAGCCAGTTGTCCGTGCTATGGATTTCACAAACTTCTCTTCAAGTCCTGTCCCAGGTATGTATAGTGTCTACATGTCAGTATCTCATACTTGAGTGGGATTGGGGTAGATACACCTGGGAATATATATCATATCTGAGGAGCGGGCAGGATATATTGTATATGTCCTGCTCCAGGCCAAATGCGGGCAGATATATAGGGGTTATGCACTGGGAGGTTTTGGATACAGGGAATATCCCGAGGGATATACAATATATCTTCCCGAGGGACCGAAGGGACCAAGGGAAGATATATTGTATATCCCAAGGGATATTTCCTGTATCCAAACCGACCGTGCATAACTGCTGTATTCCATACCTGATGAGGTTTGAAATAATAAGCATGTATCCCATATGCTCTGGTGTGTTTACTTGCAAAATATATACTTTCAAATTTTCTTCCAAATTTGTTTTTAACTTTTTTCAAAAATGAAAAGAAAATTTCCAAAGTTATTTTTCACATTTTTTCAAACTTTTTTTCACACTTTTTTCCATAATTTTTTTTTCAGAATTTTTTTCAAAATTTTCTTACATAATTTTTTTCCACAATTTTTTTTCAAATTTTCATTTTCAAATTTTTTTCCCTGATTTATTTTTCAAATTTTCATTTTCAAATTTTTTTTGGAGCGGGACATATGATTTATATGTCCCGGAGCTCCGTTGGAGCGGGACATACAAAAAATATTTGCCAGGATATGGAATATATTCCCGGTTGATATGTCCCTGAAACCTCAACAGGTATGGAATACAATGTATCTATCCCACTTCTGGGAATTTTTCAAGATATTTGTTCTTTTTTGTGTGCAGTGTAATGATGCATTGTGCAACTTCTTCAGACGAAAAATTAAAAATAAATCTGAAAAGTGAGATACACCAGTTATGTACGGTCTGTTTTGGATATAGGGTATATTCCTCGGGAAATATTCATATCTCCCCTTGGTCCCTTCGGTCCCTCTGGGAGATATAGATATATACCCTATATCCAAAACATCCCAATACATAACCCTTATATATAGACTGCCCCCCCCCAAAAAATAAATTTTTAATAACTTTCTTTCATAGTTGATCTCTTGACCTGAAACTTCCTGGCTTTTCTTAGAATTGAATTGTCAGTAGTTAATATGTCTTGAAACAACCCCTGTGTTCTTATAATGTGCATTTCTTCATTAATAATGGCTGAATATAGTTATAAGTAAGCTCAAAATACTGGGACCTAAATAATTTCCAATGATACCTAATACACCCTCATATAATAGTTTGTTTCCGAGATCATAGGGGGCAGATCTGCCTAAATGGTGGTGTTAAAGGGTTAATATAAAAAGAGATATAGCATGATTTATGGATGATGTGATTTTCATCCCAAGTTAATATTAATATCTTCTTTAATAAAGTGAATGATATCGCAAATAAATCATAGGATTATTTTTTTAATAATTTTATTTCAAATTCATATCATATACAAAGAATATCATATCGTAAAAATTCAACACGGTTAATCACTTTAACATTTGTGTTGAAAATAGGATTATTTATAACATAGTTTGTGTAAATTTTTTAAAATCACAATATAAAATTAAAAACTGAATAATAGTACATGTATAGGTATTATTTGGAATATATGACTGGAAAATATCTCTGATTTGTGTCATTACTGTTGCAGGAAAGAGCTACTCTGCTGCCTTGAAATCACCAGCACCAATCAGACCCATGAGTGCCCTTGCAAGTAATTTACCACAGACTCCAACTCATACTCCTCAGCATTCTCAATCAAGCCTCAGAGATAGGTATGTTTTTACTTGAATCTTAATGTTCTTAACTCTTCAATATTGTTTTCGAATTATAATTTGGCCATTTGTGATAAAACCTAAGGTTGCCTTTTCTCATGAAAGCTTTTTTGATATTTCAGGAGGGTAACATTTGTTATGTCTGACGAACCTGCCAAAGAGCCAGAAAGACCCCTTGGTAGCTGTAAAAATGATGCAACCAAACAAAATAATACGACTACACCATCTTCATCTAAAAATCCTGGTTCGAGCCTCAATCAATTACGTCAGAAAATTAACCAAAATCGTGGGCAGGAAAAACAGCGTCCTTTACGAGAGATGAATCAGGGGAACCAGGTGCAAATGGCAGGGCACCCAACAAGAGTCGCTGTGAAGACAGCCACACCAAAATATATGAGGCTTACGGCATCTGCTGCCTCCAAGCAGAGAAGGCACAGAAGGTTCGTTGAGTTGTATTATTTCTAGAGTGGTTTTAGGGATGAGTTGGATATTTCCAATCGTGTGTTGGAGTTAATGTCCATTACATTTTGTTGAGTACATTGTCTTAATTTGAATAAAATTGATCTAAACTACACATTTCAAATTTTGACTTTGTAGTAGAAGTAAGAACTAAAATCATTAACTTTAAGTTGCAAATTGCAGGACATACATCTACTGGACATCAGTAATACATCAGAGTGATCATTTTGTCATAGCCTAACTTAGTCTAAGGAAAATAAAAACTCTCTCCAATTATGAATCATCTGTAACTACTAATAGACATGTATTTAATTATTGCAGAGCATTTTTTCTAAGGAAAATATGTGATTTATCTTCTTTAGGTCAATTTCTGCTAACAACAGTAAAGAAAATACACCACCAGTTGGAATGAATATAGGGGGAGCTGGAGGCAACACTGGGGGAAAGTTAAGACACGCAGGCACATCCTCAAATCCTCCCCGCCAGTTGAATTCGTACAGAGCATTTGGCAGTACTTTCTCCAATGCAGTCAGCTCAAATAACACAAACAAAAGATTGTAAGTTTTTTCCAAACTACATCGCTCTTTTCTTACACCTCTTCATGTGGATTCTGACTTTCATGACTATCATGTTAAAACTTCTGCTAATATTAGTACTTGTAGCCAGTCCCATTTGTTTTAGACATGTTTCATGCCATACATTTTAATTTACTCAGGTATTAGAAATCATTATTTAAATTTATGTTAAACTTATGGCCAAGTGTATTGGATTGATTTTTTTGTTGCTAAAACTATATTTCAAAGGTGACACAGGTACTAACCATATTTCAAAGGTGACACAGGTACTAACCAGACTTCGAGCTCAATGGTGTTATAACTAAGGCATGGGGTTATTTGTATTTGGTAAACTCAGCAATATGATAAGCCAGATTTCATTAAATATTTGAATTAGCCTCTTGGCCATTATATATCAATCACCTAACGCACTTCTTAAAGCCTGTTATATTATTTGCTCAAAAGTATTTCAAATAATAGGCCTACATAATAATTAACAAACAGGCATCCTATTCCAATGAAATGATGGAAAAGACCTTTCCAATAAGCCCTGTCATCTTTTGGTAAATCAAAGAAGCTTTGATTTATCGACTAGATTAATGATGTCATTGGTTGTTTGCAATTTGTCCAATCAAAAATAGGATCATTGATTATCACTAATATTGAAGAAGTGCAACCTTTGACATCATCAATCAAGTCGATAAATCATTGCTTCCTTGATTTACCAAAAGGTGGGAGGTTTATTGGAAAGCTCTATTCCATCGTTTCTTTGCAATAGTTTTTTTTTGTTTCTTTCCAAAACAGTAGTTTTTTTTACCAAATTAATTCTACCTTTAAAGATTTAAAGGTTTGAAATTAGATAAATGCAATATATTACAGTTTTAAGATTTTCAGGAATTGTATTTATTTTTCAATCATGGAGTCTATGCAAAGGTGAAAAAATTTGAAATTCCAATAATTTTTGCCTGGAAATGTTGGGGAATTTCATTGTGTTAATGATTTTAAGGACCCTGATAAGGAAATGCAGTAACAATGGAATAATAATGAAAGTGCCATTTTATCTGGAGGATTCATTTGTTTACTTTAACAGTTAGTATATATTGCTTCTCCTGGGGGGCAATTTTCAGGTATAACTATGTTAACATTTGCAATGTTTCACTCCTCACTGGATAATTACATAAAGGGAACTCCTAAATAAGGAAAAAGAAAATACAATCAAACCAATTTGCGGATAAAAAGTGTCAGTGAGTTCTCTTTTAACACCTTGACGATGGATTGCTATGGTAACCTAAACTTTATTATGGATTTCAACTTAGTGAATTGTTTCTGTTAATATTGCTCGTTTGTTGTCAGCTTGCTTTTTCCATTCTACCCATGTGTATTTCAGTGAAATACTGTCTAAAATAGGTATACACCGTCTCTTTCTTTTAGTGTTTTCACGTAAATTACAGCATGGGTGTTTTAGTCAGTTTTATTTTTTTTTTTTTAATTTCTGTCTCTTCACGTCTCTCCGACTTTTAAAACAGGAAATTATTGGCATTTATTCATGGGATAGGTGTCATTGTCTTAAAATCCTAGTAATTAGTTTGTTTTGGGATGTATGGCATAATAAACATTCCCAAACATTGCATAATGTTTGTTGATGATCATAGAGTCCACTCAAAAGCTCTCATGGTGATATAGGAGGGATTTTCCTGGAAACCTGGAAAAGTACATTGTAGTAGCATTTGATTCAATCTGAGCTTTGATCCTACTATTAGATTCAAAATTTGATCCCTTATCTGATTTTGATCCCAGTATATTAGATCCAGGGTCGAATCCTTGAGTATGACCTACTCTAAATCTTAAGTTTGATTGTTTATGTAACATCTAATCATTGATCTTTGATCTGAAAAGATTAATTCTACAAGTCAATGTGAAGTTTGATTGTTAAAACTAATAGATTTTAATATTTCTTTGACCTTCCAGGCATAATTCCATTTCTGTTTCCATAGAAACAAGAAAGTATATCAGAGTATATCGCAAACCAGCTAAGCTGTCACGGTCTGAAACGATTACTTAAAAATGTAAATGATAAATAAGTTAATAAGTATAAGTTAATTAAAGTTGGTAAAATATTTATGAGTTTAAATTGTTTATTGTTTTACTTTCCATTGAACTCTATCAAATGGTGAAACAATAAGAAAATTGTACCAATGGAAATGAATACAGTATATGAAAATATAAGGTTGTCAAACATTAAAGTCAGTGTATGCTAAAGATGAATAATTTGCTACCCATAAAATGCACTGCACTAAAATGCATAAAATACCCAGATACATGGTCCTTTGGATCACAATTGAATTGTAAGTTAACCTCAACACGAATCAGTGATATTATTGAATACACATTTAAATATTATTGAATACGGAAAGATGACTTTGTATTAAATGAATTAGGAGCTAGAAATTGTAAATTATTTTAAAGCTATCTTTGAAAAGCATTTTATCCTTAAAATCTGAACTTAAGATTATGCAATCAGTAAAAATATAAATGACACAACACTAAAAGATTCTGAAATCCTAGCTCACTATATTCTGGGAATAAGAAAACTGAATTAAAATGCTAAACTTGGAAATTACATGTCTGTATTTAAGAAAGTACAACTAATGAAACATTAGTTATTTATAAGCTACTAATTCCTTAGGGTAAAAAATTAGTAGATAACTGAGTAAGATGACTAATCCAGTCTTGTGCAGAGCCACAAGAATATGAGGCCAATCTTACTATATGAGGGGTTCCTCAATGTGAGGCTATAAAAGGGTAAAGATTTGTATCATACAATTTGAACTCTTTCTACATGCATATTTGAAAATATTGCGCTGTGAACGCTTCAATTTCTGAACATGTTTGATTTGACAATGTGAACATTTTGATTATTAGATGAGTTGAAAGCTAAATGCATAAAACAATATTTTCATTTTTACAACATTATGGACATTCTTTATCTCAGTGTAAAGGCTCTATATGCATATGTTTTTGTCTTCTGTAATATATTAATTTTGTATTTTTTGTTTTCTGTTTTTCAGTAACCATGAAAGAAGTAAATCTGAGTTGAATCTTAACAGGATGGGATGGCAGTACTATAGCAATATCTCTTCTTCTAATGTTTAAAGCTGTTGCCATGACAACCATATATTAAAACATGAGAGACTGAGTAAAATACTAGAATGAAATTAAATTCTCCAAATTGTACAGAAATGCAAGAAAATCAGGCAATTAATTAATATTCTATGAATAAGAAATCACTGAGAAATGAAGCGAAATAAACAAAATTAGTTTTTAAGAGAGGGTAATTAAGAATTATCCTGCGAGTTATATGCATTGTGGGATTTTATGCTGTCAATAAAATACTGTCTCGAAGGAATACGACAATGCGATAAATGAGAGTGTCGGATCCTGATTTCTGTTAATGACGTTAAAGATGATTAAAAAACGATGATGTGGAAATAACATTAGGGGTTTATATAGTCTTCTATTGTACGTTTCGAGCAAAGTATCTTTGTCTTGATTTAATTGCTGTCTATAAAACTGTGACTTGTCGAAAGAAATGCTTTGTAAAATTGCTTATAAAAAAATTAATGGAGTCATTGAGTATTGTGATTATTACATAATTATTCATGACTTACTCATCAATCCAAAAATGTTCTCCCTTTTGTACAATAATTTGTAAATATAAACGCAAAACTGCATTAAGTTGAATAGAACACTTCACACTTAAATGAATTTGTATCATGAATTTGCCACTTTAGGGAGACTCCAAGATTTATTATGTGAAATCTGAATTTTCATTGTTGAGTGATATTTAGTATGATCTGTTACTTTCTGTCAATATTCTGCAGGAGTGAGCTTATCAAACTCATTCTGGTATTGGTTTAATGTAATATATGATTTGTCTCATGATTGTTTTCAAAATGTATATTTGCAAAAAAATTATACAGTAATGTATATTTAAAGAAAGCTATACCCAAATGTTCTTTGTTCAGGTAACCTTATACAACTTACTTTTAAGCCTATATGAATGAACTATTGTAATCGCACGCTTGTCTGTCCATCTGTCCAACATCAATGTTCAACTCAAACAGCTGACAGGTATATGAGAAAATACCAGATGTCATACTTATGAAAACATACGCATCTAGATATGTATCTGAAGACCCCAGACGTATTGATGTATTTTTTCTCCAGATCTGTTAGTGTTAAATAGGGTTTTTGTGACATCCATTTCGCAATCATGAATTCAAAATGGCACCCTTCAGTAGGCTTCTTTATATCTTGTGACTACATGTATTTAAAACCAGAAATATATATGGCAGTAAGTAAAATAACTAAATCAGTACTTTACTCTGGCAAGTTTTCACTAGAATTTCTCACACCAAGCTAAATAAATGAAGACAACAAGCAAAATTAATGGAAATCATGAATTTAACATGGAAATGTTGAAAATTCTCTAAAAAACAGATTGCCTGCTGCTAATGAACCCCTGTCTGGGTTGTTTAAACAACAGCTTTAGAGAATATATTTGGACATTATATTCCTTTAACTGATATCACCACTGGTGCCCAGGAGGATGACACTAACTGGAGTTAGTATCATCCAGGATGGTGGACAAGATTTGTTTGATATCCAATCAATAAACCTTGGATTTGAACTAAACCAAGTAAAACATGGATTCCAAATATTTTGCAATGCAGACTAATAGACGTAATCTCAAATGGATGATAACACTCATAATTATAATGTACTATTCACCATTGATGAAGTTAAATCAATACATTCTTCTCATACAAATAGTATCAACTGTCATTCACTGAGTCAGTATTATCACTGTCGAAAATGTAATTTGAGTAAGTATCATCCTAAGCTGTTCTTTGAAGTTGTTTACAATCATAACTTTATTAGTTTGCATAACAAATTATTTTGAATCCAGATTTTATTTCAATTAGTGACATCAAAGGTGTATCAATATCAAACAAATTTTGTCTACCATCTTGGATGATACGTAAACTCCAGTAAGCGTCATCCTGCTGTTGACCAGTGATCTGCATCCATATGGAATAGACTAGATGCGAGTAGAAATAATCTTGATTTACGTCATTAAATATTCAAAATTCAGTCAAAGTGATCTCATATTTGAAATCTGCATGTAAAAGTGCATCTAGAAATATGGTTTCGAAAATTGTCTATCAACTTTGAAAATTTAGTTTTTTTTGAAAATGTGACTTCTTGTTCGGGTTGATTCCCCATAGACCCCATGTTACAAAATCACAAAAAGTGAATTATCTTCTCTTATATTGGACAGATAACATTTTCTTTTACTGGACATATTTTAATTTGCATACCTATTAGATACATAAGGGTTATATGAAAACTGAACCACGCAAATAGATGTAATTTAAGTTAAAGGGAACTTTCTACTATACCCGCCATGCTATCTGACCCGAACGAGCCACCTGGTGGTGAATCTGGTAACTACCTACTCGCATCTGCGTTATTTCCATATGGCATTGAAAGTGATGTCAACTAAATCACACTCATATGTGGGGAATCACCAATAGCACTAATTATACTAATATCAATTGTATTGCCATATCATATGATAAAATAATATATTATACCAAGACTTGGTTTGTTATTTTTCCCAAAAGATATCAATTTGTAAAGTTTTAAAGCTAATGCACTATTAAGCTGATGCACTCCCTGAATAACTGCTGTTATTAGATCTTTATTAGATCATTTAGAAGGCATGGGAGTATGTGATATATAGTTGTTCCCTTGAATGAAGTATCAGAATATGGCATGTTTTACAAACCAAAATGTAATGAAGAGATACGATACAGTATTCAATAAATACACAAAATCATAATAATATGTATGTTGAATCTGGAAAGGCCAGGAGATCAACCACTTTGTAATGTCTAGGAAAGAAATGCTTTGAATTAGCTGGCTTAGAATGGTATTTTAAAATTGGGTTTAGAGTAGGTGATTTATGGAATTGTCAAAGGCTGATAACTTTCAGTAAATCTTAGACCCATTTCTTGTTCATTGGGAATATAGTGAACATAAGCTTTATTGTCTCTGTGACAATTGTATGCATGAAGTGGTATATCCTCTTTATGTAGCTTCCACGAGGTCGTTACTTATTGTTAAAACATCATTGAATCTTGTTAATGTCCAGTTTAATTTAATTGTGAACATTGCTTTCTATGGAGTCTTTAAGTGCATTCTGGGGTGCACATCTTATATTATTGTTAAAGCGTAATGCAGTCATACATGTATATTGGCGATTTAGACCCCTTCTAAGCATTATCATTTGTCCATAAGGAACCCATTATGTAACAGTTGAAAGTGAGCTTTGTTTGAAAAGTCTTCATGTAAACATCAGTGAAGCTTCACTACAGTTTCATCGGGGGGGGGGGGGTACATCAAACAGTGGTTAGTGTCAAAGAGAAACAGGTGAGAGTCCTTCAATGCATCATCAGCAGGCATCACAGTATTTATATATTTCACTCCTCCACCTGTATGCTTTGAAGCTCTTTGAGTGTAGTGGACAGTTATGGTTATTCTTAATCACAAAATTGAAGGACAATACTTGTCTCTCCTCTTGACCAGATCTAATTGGTTTGATGCATTGTGCCGTGTTGTTGTTTAAGAATATTATCTGTGGTAAATGTTAATGCTCTTAGTCCCCAATATGTTTCGTTCTTTTCATGTTATATAATTTAATGCTTTTAGCTCCAGACTTTTTATTCAAGATCGTATCAAGTGTTTTCAGACTTGGCACTGTTGTAGTTTCTTCGTCATTTTCATTCAGTTGGATTCCTTCAACAATATCTGCCATTTGAAAGGCATTTTCATTGTCAGTATTTTCTAAGGATTTAAAAACGAATGGCTAATTTCCTTTGTAATGTTCATCATTGGTATTAAAATGTTAGCTAATGCCAGGATCAAGCATATAACAAGACATATTAGCAGAAATTTCTTCACAAACTGTTTCATTTTTATCCAATATTGGTCCTCTGTCTGTATGATATAAGTTATTGGGTAATTAATTCCCAATATATCAATTCATTATTTTCTACAGCAATTATATACATTGTATTCCTATTGTTTCATTTGTATCCTTACTTTAGTGTACTGATTTCCTATTTATGGTTGTTATTTAATCAAAATTGTTTGCAAAAATCAAACTGAAAATAAAGTTATTTTGGTGATATGTTTAAAAATACCAGGAGGTGGGGACCTTCCTTAAGATTCTTGGGAGACCCATTTAGAGTTAAGGAATTCTTTCCTAGGGCCATGCATGTGGATAAGGACCATGTGGATAAGGAGAAAAAACATTTGGTGTCTAACACTCCTATCTGAATCTATGCCGAATGGATGGACTATTTTTACAAGATTCAATGATTGAAAATAATAAGTCCCCATGTGCAAAGTTATAATGACTGGTCCCTTATTTAATTCAAGATGATACATAAATAGGTATCTACCTGCACAGTACTACATAGCCACAAGAAAAGCAACAAGGAGGTAAATGTAACATGTAAATGAAAGTATATTTTTGGCTCTGTGCAGCATACTGTACTGTGGCTATATGGTTGACCTGGGATGTTTATTCAAATGTGTCTAAATGGTCGGCAATCCATGCAGAAAAGAACACCATGCACAAGATACTGTATCCTTTTCAAAAACAAAATATTGGAATGAAATAAAATCGAGTGTTTTTCATAATACACCTTCACAAAAATGAAAAAAATATGAATTAACCAAATTGAAATGAGAATTCCAGTGAAATTGCAGTACATGCTATTATGGCCATTAATGAACTCTCTATTTGTATAATAAGAAGTGCAGAAGACCAGTTAGGATTTTAGGTAAAGTTCATGCATATATAAAATTCTCATTTGAAATAATATGTAAGGGAATTGGACTTTTGCCTGATTGTTCAATGTTGTCCTGTGTGAAAACTATCCCTCTAGTCTTTTCAAATCACTTTAATTCAAGCCAGTAGTCTTGTTAGGCAGTTAAATAGGATAAAGTTTGAAGATGAAGTGAAAATGTGTCAATAATAGCATATCCTCAGTGCATGGTGTTTTGAAATTTTATAGATTTAGTGTAATGGTGTAACAGTAGTGCACACTCCTCTCAAAAACTTTGGCAATACCAGTGTGGGAAACAAGTTAAATTTCAAACATAAACAGACTACCCAATGGTGAGTGTTGCCAAACATTTGGAGGGGAGAACACAATTTAACACAGTTCTAAAATTAGGTGATTGACTCATGTGAAATGCACCATCTCAGTTTGAGACATTTTGGTGGTCTTTGTGTGACTGTTTTCTAGAATTTACCTGAACTAAACATGTTGACATTGTTGAGTCAACTTGTTCAACTTGAGTGAACTTACTTGTAAATCCTTTTGTTTTGAGTCAATTTGTTCAACTTGAGTGAACTTACTTGTAAATCCTTTTGTTTTGAGTCAACTTGTTCAACTTGAGTGAACTTACTTGTAAATCCTTTTGTTTTGAGTCAACTTGTTCAACTTGAGTGAATTTACTTGTAAATCCTTTTGTTTTGAGTCAACTTGTTCAACTTGAGTGAACTTACTTGTAAATCCTTTTGTTTTGAGTCAACTTGTTCAACTTGAGTGAACTTACTTGTAAATCCTTTTGTTTTGAGTCCACTTGTTCAACTTGAGTGAACTTACTTGTAAATCCTTTTGTTTTGAGTCAACTTGTTCAACTTGAGTGAACTTACTTGAAAATCCTTTTGTTTTGAGTCAACTTGTTCAACTTGAGTGAACATACTTGTAAATCATTTTGTTTTGAGTCAACTTGTTCACATTGAGTGAACTTACTTGTAAATCTGCTTTGAGGCAATTTGTTCACATTGAATCAACTTGCTTGTAAATCTATTTGTTTTGAGTCAACTTGTTTACATTGAGTGAACTTACTTGTAAATCCTTTTGTTTTGAGTCAACTTGTTCACATTGAGTGAACTTGGTAATTCTATTCACTTTGAGTAAACTTTTTCCTACTATGGTAACTAACTAATTTTGCACAGTTCCATTTTAAGATGAGCTAATTTGGCAGTTTTGTGGGGCTGTTCACCAGACTCCAATATTGTATACAGTTTAATGATCGTGAACATTGTCCTTTTGTTATTATGAAGTTATATCTATATATTTTTTGATTGCTCATATGAGTATTTGTACAACATGATATAATATGTATATGATTAAGAAACAAGATGTTTTACATTACTGTTTTATTTCTTGGAAATTCTTTAATATAATATATAATGTAAAGATCCCATTCTGATATTTTCAAATTAAAATCCCTCTATGATGACCTTTTCATATAAAGATCCTATTATGATATTTTCAATTTAAAATCCCTCTATGATGACCTTTTCATATAAAGATCCCATTCTGATATTTTCAATTTAAAATCCCTCTATGATGACTTTTTCATATAAAGATCCTATTATGATATTTTCAATTTAAAATCCCTCTATGATGACCTTTTCATATAAAGATCCCATTATGATATTTTCAATTTAAAATCCCTCTATGATGACCTTTTCATATAAAGATCCCATTATGATGTTTTCAATTTAAAATCCCTCTGTGATTACCTTTTCATATAAAGATCCTATTATGATATTTTCAATTTAAAATCCCTCTATGATGACCTTTTCATATAAAGATCCTATTATGATATTTTCAATTTAAAATCCCTCTATGATGACCTTTTCATATAAAGATCCCATTCTGATATTTTCAATTTAAAATCCCTCTATGATGACCTTTTCATATAAAGATCCTATTATGATATTTTCAATTTAAAATCCCTCTATGATGACCTTTTCATATAAAGATCCCATTCTGATATTTTCAATTTAAAATCCCTCTATGATGACTTTTTCATATAAAGATCCTATTATGATATTTTCAATTTAAAATCCCTCTATGATGACCTTTTCATATAAAGATCCCATTATGATATTTTCAATTTAAAATCCCTCTATGATGACCTTTTCATATAAAGATCCCATTATGATGTTTTCAATTTAAAATCCCTCTGTGATTACCTTTTCATATAAAGATCCTATTATGATATTTTCAATTTAAAATTCCTCTATGATGACCTTTTCATATAAAGATCCCATTATGATGTTTTCAATTTAAAATCCCTCTATGATGACCTTTTCATATAAAGATCCTATTTAGGCGATCAGCCTGGGGGGTTGGTCGGTACCAAATTAGGGGAATAATGGCCATGGTGATTTTTGGGCAGGTCTACACCCCTAGAGTAAGAAAATATGTGATAGCATTGCAGAAGTGGCAGCTAAATGGGTGTTATCACCCATTTTTCAAAATGGCCGCCGGTACGCTTGCTACCAAATGAAAGAAGTTATATCTAAGCATACTGAGAGGCAAAATCAGTAATTTTAGGGTCTAATTCTGGGTTTTAGGGGTCACTGATTCGGTTTATGCCTAAATCCAAGTCATCAAAACATTAATTCATATGAAAATCCAAGATGGCCGCCAAAGTTGGTTCAAAAACAAATATGTACCTAATGATACAAGCTAAAAATGTTTCAAAATGATTTTGAAGAGTTTTAGAAGAGGTTTTCAAGTCTAAGGATTTTATTCATGTCTAAATCTATGTCATCAAAGGATTACCTTATATGTAAATCCAAGATGGCCGCCAAAATAGGTGCCAAAAGGAATATGTAACTACATGTATTGATACATGCTCAAGGAACAGATAAAAAGCAATTTTATAGATCATGAAAGGGTTTTAAGGGGTTAATGATTTCACTTATGCTTCATTTTAGTCTAAGTAATCACTTTTCATAGAAAACCAAAATGGCCGCCAATATGGGTGCCAAAACGAACATGTAACTATTAATATAAGCTCGAAGAATAGCTAAAATGTAGTTTTGTAGATCATGAAAGGGTTTGGGGATCAATGATTTTATTGTCTTATTTTTCAAAGAATAACTTGATGTGGAAATCCAAGATGGCTGCCAAAATGAATAAGTTACCATTAATATAAGCTAAATGAACAGTTACAAAGTGATTTTGGAGACCATGTCTAGGTTTCAATGGTCGAGAATTTTAAGTCAATGGCTAGGTTTCAATGGTTGAGAACTTTAAGTCATCAAATAATTCTTTTATTTGGATATTCAGGATGGCAACCAAAATGGCTGCAGAAAAGGAATAATTAATTTTGGAACATACTCATTTGGATATCAAGCAAAGATAGCCCTGATGGGATGTACCATCTCAATTGTACTCTCTTCATCAAAACGATGAACTGCAGGTTTGTGAAAGCAGAAGAGTCCTAATATGGAGGTCTCAAAGGGAATGATAATACAAGACATCCTTCTTGTCGATCCTTTATGGACATTAATGTTATGACCAAGTCATTCCCTAGACCATAACGGATTTTAAGCTGCTTGGAGACATGGGAGAAGATGAGATGTATGTAGTGCAATCCCAGGAATCTTTTCAGCTGAGTGGTATACAAAAGAATACTCTGTACATTTCATTATAACAACAGGCCGTTGAAGAGGCTCTTCACCTCAAGCAACTCATTTAAACCTAAAGACATGAGAAAAAGAGGAATCTGATGCATGCTTCGAACTGCAATTGGTCCCTAGATCATATCTTAAGCACTTTGCAATGGCCTGGTGAATGGTGATATAATAAAGTGCTGCGGGTCACTTCAATTGGGTTGACACCAAATGGCAAGAGGTTAACATGTAAAGAGATTCCTTACAACCAGTTTTTATCCAGTTTCTGTGAAGAAAGAACAAATTCAATCCAAGTCTACAATTACACAGAAGATAATATCTCGGATGGACTGAAGAGTGCCGAGTATGAAGACCTCATTGACAAAGTAAGGTGTAAACAGTGTAAAGGGTGGAAGGTGAGACACTTTCCAGTGCATGTAGGCTTTAGAGGCTTCCAATGTCTTCTCGGAACATCATGTTGAGAGAACTAGGTCTGCAGCCTGTGAACTTCAAGATGGCAATAAAGGAAATAGGTTAGATGGTTGAGTCATGCTCCATGTGAATGTGGTAATGGCCAATCAAATCACATGTTATTCTTAACAATGGTATTGACCAATGAAATCAGGTATTATTCTTAACACCCAGAAACCTTATGAGGGTGACCTACTGATGATGGACAAACGACTATTTGAACGAACCTCGACCACTTGTCCTTGGAAGATACCATAATCACCAGCCAACATCCTTCATTAATGCTTAAAGATAGGGGTGTACATATGTATATATATTTATTTATTTATCACTTCAATTTACACATGAATGGAATCCTTAACCTCTAAAACCTTATACTCTAAAACTTTACCATGGTCTGCAAAAGCAGATTTTAACCGTTTTTTGAGTTTACAGAAATAGTTACGTATTCATTTTGACACCCATTTTGGTGGCCATTTTGGATTTCTATGTAAAGTAGTTCTTTGATTACTTAGATTTGGACACAAATAAAATCCCTAGCCTCTAAAACCTTTTCATGGTCTCCAAAGTCACTTTGTAACCGTTCTTTGAGCTTTTGAGCCTATATCAATAGTGACATATTTGTTTTGACATCCATTTTGGCGGCCATCTTGGATTTCCAATTCTTTGATGACTTAGATTTTGACTTAAATGAAATCCTTGACCCCTAAAACCCCGAAATAGACCTCAAAATCACTGTTTTTGTCTCAGTATGCTTAGATATAACTTCGTTTATTTGGCAGCAAGCGCACGGACGGCCATTTTGAAAAATGGGTGATTACACCCATTTAGCTGCCACTTCTGCAATGCTATCATATAATTTTTTACTCTAGAGATATTTAACTTGCCAAAAATCACAATGAGGCTTATTCCCCTAACTTGGTACCGATAACCTAAATTTTGGGGTGAAGCTGATGGCCTAATTATGATATTTTCAATTTAAAATCCCTCTATGATGACCTTTTCAAATAAAGATCCCATTATGATATTTTCAATTAAAAATCCCTCTATGATGATCTTTTCATATAAAGATCCCTCTATGATGTTTTCAATTTAAAATCCCTCTATGATCTTTTTTATGTCTGATGATGTATTTGTGAAAAAAATCCTGTAATAACTTTAATGTTAGTGGATACCTCTGAGGAATACTATGTAATGGTGCTGATGTCTAGATTAAACTTGTAATGACATACGTAGTGTTAAGGTGCCACTTTGTGATGACTTAATATTTAAAAATACCCCTCTGTGATGACATAGTGTACCGAACAATCTGTAGGTAGTGACGTATATATCTGAAGATTCCTCATTAATGGCGTCTACATCTGGAAACCACTCTGTGATAATGTTCATTTCTTAGATTCCATGCCCATTGTCCTCTTTAACAGGTAGTCATCCCAACTGGAAAATATCAAGCTAATCATTTGTATCATTGTACAATGTAATTATCTCTTGATTATGTCAACGTTATTGGAAGCAATGGAATTATAAATCTCAATTATCTAATGTTCACACATAGCTAGACATGATAAAATGTATATCGAATTCCAGTCAATAAAAATACACTATTTAAAATAATATGCATTCTATAATTGACAAAAGAGTGAATGGCTATATTTAGATTCATAGTAAAATGGATAACCTTCATCAATTTTATAATTTCAAGTCATCAGTGAAAAACAGTAAGGGAACATGGGGCAAAACGGCCCTGTGGGGCAAAATGGCCCATCGAAATATCTTTTGAACTGTAAAAAGTTGGTTCTTCAAAAGTCAAATAATCGAAATTTGAAATTTCCGCCACCTTCTCGACCGCCCTTTTTTAACCTAGCAGCGTCTCGTCTTACGTAAGAGGTAATTCTACTTTTCACTTTCTTTTTTGCAAATTACCCCTCCCACGAGAATCACCAAAAAATCCGGCTACAATAGAATATCGTTTTGAATTGACATTTTACATAGATTATGCATATTTATTCTTTATTTGTGAAAATTTCGAGCTTCAAATATTGGGTAAATTAAATGCCGTCTATTTGAAAATTCACATGTCTCTGGGATAAAACGGCCCACATAGGTTATGACATACAAAAATCTTATTGTACAAGAATAATTGATTGTCAAATGTAACGATTTTAACATTTGATTTGTACCTTATTTCCTTCCGACACATTTCGAATGATTAGAATTATGGAAGGGGGTAAAAATGCTTTATCTGTCAAAGGTTTAAACGTCTTAGATAAGATGTGTGCGGACGAGTCTTGTAATTGATTAATCTTGGTTTTAAAAGCCATGTAGCAGAGGGTGGGCCGTTTGCCCCACTCCTGACATTAATTTTGACCAGATAGTCTTAGGCAAGTATAAAAGACTCGAAAATATAAACCACAACCCATTAATAAAGTGGAACATCAAAAATAACTTTAATTTAAATTTAATTTTTAGGGCCGTTTTGCCCCATGTTCCCTAAATCAGGATATTTATGAAGGATGAGAATGTTCATTAAAACGAGGAGAATGAAACAGGTACACAGAAGACAGTACCTACAATATGGAGAATGAAAAGGGTACTTAAAACAGGTATTTAAATTTACAGAGGATGAAACGGGTACTTAAAACACAGAGGAAAAAACAGGTATCTAAAAACATGAGGGATAAAACGGGTTCTTTTAAGAACGCGGAGGATTAACAGGTGCTTCTGAGAACACGGATGATGGAAAAGGTACTTAAAACAAAGAGGATGAAACAGATACTTGCAAACACGGGGGTTGAAACGGGTACTAAAAACAAAGAGGATAAAACAGGAAATTAAAACAAAGAGGATAAAACAGTACCTACTTCGGAATGAAAAGGGTACCTAAACACATAGGATAAAACACCTAAATTATTTATAATTATCGTGGTTCGACATTTAATCTTAAGATTCAAACATTGACAGTCTTTGATATGCTATCCAATGTTCCCAAACTTATGGAGGGGTATTCATGTATACCTATGCCTTATGGAGGGGTATTCATGTATACCTATGGAGGGGTATTCATGTATACCTATGGAGGGGTATTCATGTATACCTATGGAGGGGTATTCATGTATACCTATGCCTTATGGAGGGGTATTCATGTACACCTATGCCTTATGGAGGGGTATTCATGTATACCTATGCCTTATGGAGGGGTATTCATGTATACCTATGCCTTATGGAGGGGTATTCATGTATACCTATGCCTTATGGAGGGGTATTCATGTATACCTATGCAGGTCCGTCTAGATTTTATTAGTTTTTGGTATCTTTTAGGATCAGATCAGGTTTGATATCACATAGGTTGAGTCATTTTGAATATATATATCTAGTACAAATACCTGAGTTCATCCAATGAATTGGCAGCAGATCTCTTGCCATATCCATAGCTTTGGTCAGTTGGGAAGGGGCAAAACTGGGGACACATTCCAGCGTTCCTGAAAAGTAAACGTCAATTAATTTCAATGAGCGAGATTTGATTCCTTTCTTCAATCTTTGGGACAGAGGCAGTAAAACCTCTATCAAACGATGAATTTACTAAGCAATTCATATTATTTTATGAGAAAGTTCTACATCAATGTAGCTTTGGCGGCCTTGCCTCCTCATTCGATAACTTCAGTCTTCGGCGAACCTTGGAATTCTTGAATTTTTCTCTCTCATGTTGCATTTTTTCAAAGAAATTAAAGTGCTTAGTAAACGGTTGTATCTGTAAAGAAAATCCTGCTTATCAGACAATTTACCTGTATGAGTATTCATTGATTTGTAAATTCTTGAAATTGAGATTCCAGAAGCCAGTAAGAAAATAAAGACCCGTTAATTTGCCACTGCTCAATTACTACGGAGACATGAAATATATTTTCACCCATGTGATTACTAGATCTCGGTCTAGTGTTATATTTGTTTTTTATATCACCACCAAGAATTGGCTAGCCACAGTTTATTTATGACGAACGTTCAGCGTCCGGCTTCTGTAACAAACTGTTTCATTGCTTTTGTTACCATATACGATAATCTTCCAAGTGATGACATGTTAAAAGTCATGTTGAACTTGATAAAATATTGCTGAAATATGTGAAAGTAAGAAAAGCGGGCAGCTAGATGGCTATATGGAGAGATGGGCGTTAGAGTGGGACCTACCTGCATAAGAGATTACATAGTTTAGTCTGAGCGTCAACACCGTCTTCATTAGAATAAAGCTGAGGCTGGCCCCATCGGTGATAAGCACTCACTCCTGGAGACTGTAGTTGAATCATCATTGAGACCCACACGTATGCTATTAAAAACCACATTCCGTTTCTCCTTAAGTTAGGGTAGTCGGAATATGTTGCTTGTTTGTCGTTTCTCGGTCCTGTTGTTTGTTGTTTGGTTGTATTTGCTTGATTGTTTAATTTTCTGTCCTCTGATCTCTTATATGCGCGCGTTCAAAGATTATCGGTGATAATCCACTTCAAAAATGTTTCTATTTTTAATGACTTTTAAATCCAATGTATTAATTTTGAACGTAATAGAGATGTAGTCTGATGTGCGACAGTCGACTCTACTGCTAAAATGGGAACGTTGAACGTCATTTCTTCTATATATACGGAATGCACAATTCTAGAGTCAATTTTCATTTTGCTTGTTCAGTCTATTGGCTTTGTGTTAGCCAAGTGTTCCGTGCTAAATAATTATATCAACTCTTTTAAAGGAACCCTTACAATTTTGCAAAAAAATACAATAACGGTTGTTTGGTTAACTAACATATTAGTACGCCATTTAAAAAAAATCTTTCGTATCTTGTGTTATTTAAATGGAAGGCCGAGGTTTCTTGACAGAGACGTTTGACTGAACTTCGACTTATAAATACACCCTTGGTATACGCAGCTAACGAAAATTGACCGGTACGGGTCAAAAGCTGGACCGGTACGGGTTAAGGGTTTTATTTGAATTTAAAATAGCCATAACTTGCTCAATATTGACTTCCTCGTGTCTAATTTGAAATATATGATGCCTCCCGATGCTTTTAAGTACCCCAATTTTTAACAGATTTTTAAACGGACCAAAACTCTCTAAATGCGCATTTATGCTCTTTTCTCTCGAGAACGACTGTCTCATTTTCACGATAACTTTTATTTAGTACTTCTAACATATAAGATCTATTTTTCCCCATCAAGGTATGATGTAAATGACATGCTATTTACATCTTGTGAGTTTCAATGACGCGCGTTTGATTTTATAAAAAATGCCAAACTTTGTGACAAAGAATTTCATCAGCTATTGCCCCGAACCGGTCCGTCTTCTCGCTGCAAGCAGATTGCCCCGAACCGGTCCGTCTTCTCGCTGCAAGCAGGATGCAAGTGCTTAATTTGAACAATTGTACCCAAATATTCTAAAAATAACTTGCTTTTCAAAAAACGCTGGATTAACAAGTTTATCAAGTGTATCAGGTACAAGAAACCGATATAGATAGTAAGTACGTGAACAACATTCGACATTGCTTCAATAAAACCAAACGTTCACATTGATACTTCAATTTTAAATCCAACTTAATCAATTTTATTCAAAAACTGAATTCAAAAACACAGACCAAGACTGGCTTATTATGTTTCTTTATTAAAACCTCTGATTGATCAGTTATACAAATAAACATTTAGTTTGAAGTTATAAAATTACATAAATAGATTGTTCTTGTCACATTTATAGTGTGACACAATTTGGTAAGACTCGCCCACTTCATCTCTAGATTGTGGATATTTCGATTAGTAGTATCCAGGTGTGGTGTGGTATGGTGTGGTGTGCTGTGGTATGGTGTGGTGCGGTATGGTATGGTATCACCACGGTGATGAACCATGCCTTCTTCGCAGAAACAGATCTCAAACAATACAACAATAGCAAATCCAACTAGTTTTTTAAGACAAGACTTATGGCATTTTCATTTTGATTAGTACAAAAGTTATTATAACTTCCATTTTACCAACTGTTACGATGCCTGATACAGGCAAGATACAACTATTTATACACGACCAGATTCCGCGTGCAAAGGGGTGAGGACATTTTCCAGTTTGGAAACGTTCTTATCGCACATGTGTACATTGTCATAAATGATCGAACTTATAAGTGAACTCCCATTTTTGATATGCCTTGTCCGTGCTACAGGCCAATGCTTGAGCTATCTGTGTTCCTTTATGATCTCCAAACATACTCTTTACTTGAGTCACGCAATATTTCAGCGTCTTGTCTCCATCTTTGAGTTTAACAACCAAAGTACCCCATGGGTATTGATGGGGCTCCATACTAAAAGTTGTCGTCCTGACAGCCTCGGTGCATGTGGTTAGGTGGAGTAGTTTATCGTATTTGTCTACTCGGATGCATTTGTCTTTGTGATGTAAATTCCCAGTTTTTGAAATGTAAAAATTATTTTCGGGTAAGATTCTATGAATGAAGCAAAAGTAAGTGATCCCGACAATATTTCCTGGCATGATGGTGAAGCATGCGGTACTCTTACTGTTGCGTACCTCCCCGTAAAAGATCGCATCACCGGGCGGGATTTCCATCTCTGGAACTATGTTTTTAATGTACCAATCAAAACTTTTGCAATTGAGTTTTGCCATTTCCCTTTTCCTTTTTTCAACACTTTTTAATTCATCCTTTGTGAAAGAAACTCGTCGAGCAGAAAACACTCGAGTTGAAGCGTAAAAATATTTTTTCAAATCCCCCATCCACACCTCCGCCACTCGCATACCGTTCTTTTGGATAACTCGAGCCTTTTCCAGCTTCCATCCTGGTTTCTGCTTACCGAAGGCATAGTTAATCTCCTTGAAAGTATGACCTACCCTCGAACAAGGCACGTTTAAGACTTGCCCCCCACACATCCAAGTTCTGAAACCAATCTCTACATTTTCACCGCCCCAAATATCCATGCCTTCGTCAAATGCACCGATATCGAAGAAGTATTTTTTCTGCACAGCAATAGCACAGCCCACCACGACGGGTGTTCTCCAGGGTTGGTATTCCGAACGCCTCCGCTGGTGTTCGTAAAACGGCATTGGCATCCAAACGAATCTATAATCAAATAAATTCACCAATACTAGTATTAACTATTACCGTCTGTCATTGAGGATGACGTAATCTACATTTTATTTAGCTGGGTGACAGAGAAGTGCTATACGTAAAACAAGCTAGATGCAATTCGTTTCTTTAACATTCAAATCAACATATACTTTTTAAAAATGGATCAACCAACGTTCAGAATTTTGTTCAGTGCAAATGATCCCTCCTAAAGGAAGAGGGGAATACATAGATGAAGCTATCTTGACATTACAACATAAGCCTCTGAAGGCAGTGAAGATGCATTGAATGAAGCACTTAGAAACTATGAAAACTGGTCTCCTAAGTATTTATCCTACCTGAGATCCCAGGAGAAACCAGCTCGGGGTACAAGTCCGGATTGCCCCGAGTATCCGATAGAATACTGGTGTATGCCGTCTATACTGGGTTGGAGAACTGTTCTAGGATTGTGGTATATCTCATTTAGTAGAGGTTCCAACCATCCAACATTACACTCAGTGTGGGCATCTAAGAATATAATGACCTCGCCATGTGCTTCTTTTGCTCCCCTGATTCGCGACCTAATCAATCCCTCCCGTTTCTCGTTCCTCAGTACCTTAACCTTAGGAAGCATCTTGACATATTCATCCAGTGGATCTTTAAGGTTGCCATTCTCACTGTAATCGTCCACTAAAATTACACCTGATAATAAGTTCGGAGGAGAACGATTCAATACACTATGGACACTTCTCAATAACATCGATAGGACTTCGTTATAGAAAGGTATCACAACTGTGGCTGTTGGAAATTTGTCCGTTGCGTAATTTCGTCGTTGGCATGCTCCGGGCCTCGAGTCAACAATTTCTCGGTCGAGTAGTGTTGCATCACTTTTGGTCGCATTCACATTATATGTTGCGTCATCGGGGCGGGGCAGAGCGAATATTTGCTCTTGTTTAGCGAAAAGCTTGTGTTGTAGAGCAGGGCTTATGTGCATTGAGTCAACCGTTCCCGTAATACGGTGCATAGCTTCAACTTTATTCACTTCTGGCGCAGGGTCAAAATCAATCGTATCCTCTTTACCTACATCTGAAATATCAACATAATTTTCAAAGCAGGTATAGAAACTTCCTTTCACCATTACAATGCGTCTAAAATCATTTGGCGCAGAGCTGATTTTCAAAGAAAATTAAAAAAATTGACGAGATGGAATTGATTAAACTCCTGCTGACACATTTTAAGATTATCGTTATAAAAGATTTAAAAATAATGCTGACTTAAGTTTGTGAAAAAACAGTTTTTCCTCGGAAAGGATCGTTGAACCGCTGACTTCAAAGTTCTGAAACCTTTAGAAAATACGAACATGAATTAACCAAGTTATCACGACGATATGCGATGTTTTATGACGTACCGTTGAAATCCCCGCCACGCTCCACCAAAGCTCTCCTATCGGTCTGTGTACCATCGTCGATATCCACATTTTGAGAGTCCCATATGGTCGTATACAACATGAATATGACACACGCGAGCAGGAGCCTGAACACCCATTTTTCCAAATTCCTATTTAGCATTACAACGAGTATCGAACTATCCAAGTTCTTTGCCACTGTTTTTCTTAGCTGGTATTTAAAGCGTTGCTTTTAACATTTGGTATCTCAAGTCATCTGAAATAAAAATGTTAAAGTTGATCCGCACGATGATAATGTTCATGATTTCAAATTACAATTAATAAAATATTGGTAATATCTTTTCACATTTCATATGGATATCTACATGTTATGGTATAGGACCTAGTAGTGTGTTCTTTGTTGTTCATGAAGGCATAATAGTAAAGCGGCCCTTCAATTAAAGGGGCAACAATTATTAGTGCATTCAACGATCATGGACCAATGTCAAAATATATTTAAGTTTGGATATTTCATCAATACTTACACCTATTTTTATTATCTACAAAGAAACCCCTAGATTAACATTATTTTAGCTGGTATTCCTCTTAAAACATTGTGGATCTTAAAAATATGAAAGTGGATTTCCCTTTTTTGAAGCTCTGAACTGAATTTACACTTCCTATGCTGAAATTGATAGTTTATCCATACATTTTAAGAAAATAGGTCAAAGAAGATGTAAAGCATATGTTGCCTTGATAGCTCAGAAAAAGTTTAAATGTTTCTATCTACAGGCCTTGTTGCCCCTTTAATATTAACATGACCTTTTGACAATTTGTGACATTCCTTTGTGACTTTTCAAAGGCTGGACGAGACATGAGATTAAGAAAATGTACATATTTGCGAACAAATAGTTCAGAAGACAACAGAATCGTCGATTTAATTCCTCACGTAAGTTACATAAACGGTATTTCGAAAAACAGTTAAGATCTGCACCTTTAACCCATACCGTGTATGTAACTTAAGTGAGGAATTAAATCGACGATTCTGTTGTCTTCTGAGCTATTTTTTCGTAAACGTGTACATGTTCTTAAACATAAGATACTGATACACGTATGTGAGAAAAAATGTCGTGGGGATTCTGCCTACAACGCGTGAAGTAACGAGAAAAAATCGTACCTTCGACGTTCCGACATTTTGTTACCGAAACGGTTCAACCAGCTTAATCGAGCGGATCACCAGTGCCACTGCACCTTAAGTCATTCCTTATATGATCTAAATTGTAAATGGTGATTTTGCACACAAGAATCTTTAATTTTCAGATATGCACTGACTTTACCTAATAAGGTCACTATGGCCTCAATAAGACTTAATATGCACGTGAACACTATGCCATAATTAACTCCTCACTAAATACCATATTAGTATATGTCATAATGGTTATGAATGAGCTAGGGGCATTTTTATATACTACTAAGTATGACGGATCCTTTTGATAACTTCCTGCTATATTGCACAAATATACCAAGATTATTAGTTTAGGGTTCATAAATATTCTATATCTATAAAAATGAGAAAATTAGTGACCTTTCGAAAATGCGAACTTTTACCTTTTTTCAGTCACAATATCAGAGGGCTGAAAATGCTACTTCAGCATGGAAAGGGTCATTTTGACCATGACCATTGTGATCCTGGTCATGTAAATAATATATGGGAGTAGTAAAACTGATTGAAGGTTGAAGCAGAACTCTGTTATCTTCGTTGAAAAAATTCTAAAATCCACATGGGTTTTTAATTTCCTGTTTGGTGTAAATTTCTGAGAGCTACCCCGAGACCTTAACACTATTACCTTTATTATTTCATAAGAATTTAACACATGTTCATACATTGGATTTATACCTTATTTATAGTGACAGTTATAGTGACAGTTATAGCGACAGATTCTTTCTGAACATACAGAAGAACCTTAAGGTACAGCTGGAAAGTAACATTTTGGTAAAAAATTGCTACACCTGCACATTTTATTTTCTGGTACAAAATAAAGTATGAAGGCATGTGTCAATTTCCTTGCTTTTTCAGGAAAGTATCATTACATTGTCTTCTTTTAGGATATCTGATAAGAGGCCAATTGGAACTCCAGGAAATTCTGATATTTCACACTTTCTACTTTTCCAAATTTTCTTTCGAAGTTTCCAGACAACACAGAAGCTAACATAACCAGTTCCCAGGTTTACTAAAAGTAGACAGTGTAATGATACTTTCCTGAAAAAAGAAAGGAAATACACACATGCCTTCATACTTAATTTTGTACCAGAAAATAACATGTGCAGGTACAGCAATTTTTACCAAAATGTTACTTTCCAGCTGGGCCTAATTTTAGGCCATGCATTAGTGAGTCAAAATACAACCTATCCAAATTATACTAAAAATTGGCTCTCTAGTATATAATTTTATATAATTTTCCATATACTATTGCACTGTTATCCCACAGTGGTCCAGAGACATATAAAACATGCGTCTCTGAGTGGTCCATTGCTTTACTTATCGCGAATACAATTCTACCTTTCAAAAATGATCATGCTTTGTACATACCTTCTTCGACTTCACTTCAGGAAACAACAATGTGGTAGGCCGTCAATACCAAATATAACAAATGTCATACACGTTTGCATACAAATAAGTCCTTGCTGTGTAATAAATATAGCATAATAGCCGAATTATCTGGTCACACTCGACTCAGCACAAACACACAGTTGGTGATTTAAGGTCGTTCATGATAATATGGGTGTAAATTTCATATTGGCAAGTACAGAATAATTCATAGTTATTTTTAGGTTAAATCGCTGCATGGTTTTCGGATTCAAATGAGTGAATTTGCTGGTGGATAAATTTTAAATCGATATAAAGATGGCATAATTGTACAATAGAAATACTGAATGATGTGATGTTGGATATGTATATATTCAGTATATATTTGCACATCTATTGCATGCCCATGGTATATAGGTGCCTTTCGGGCTGCGGGAAATATACTGAGGGAAAGATGAATAGAATGGAATATTTGGTACTTGTTTTAAGTCACATATGCGCTTGCCCAATAAGAGAACGAGTGTCATACCATGGACATAATAACATGAATATTGTCCATATGGAGGCTTGACAATATAACTGAACTGCACATATGTCTTGTCATGAAACAAAAGCACATTCCTTACAAGCAACATCTGAGCAGCATCCATTACTTAGCAACGACCTACCTAACGACCAAAACGGACCGGTGACATCAATCCCACATGGACCAAAACGGACCGGCGACATCAATCGCACATGGAGCAAAACGGACCAGTGACATCAACACACTACCCTACCACGTGACCACGTTTAAAATGGAAACCGGGTACAGCTAAGTTGCAAATTGAGGACGTGGGTTTAATTCCATATTTCTGAACGTAAAATACATTTTACATTTATTTCTAGTGTTCTGCCAGACATAGAATTGATTCATCTAGCAGTTTGTAGAATATTGTTGGCAAAAAAACACTATAGGCAAAGATAGATAATAGTGGGCGCAGTGAAGCAAAACTCGAATGCAATACACGATACATTTCAGTCAACGTACAGGGAGCATGTAAGTTTCCCTTCGAAAATGTTACATTGATATGTAACCAAAAAAACAGTTAACTATTATTTAAACTGCGTGTCATCGTGTTATAGGTGGATACGTTTTACAGTATGTTATTCAACTGTATTTTTGTGAATTTGAACAAAACATTTTAAATGATCGGTTTTTTGAGGACGGTAGTGAATTATACCATTCAAGGGGTTATATAGAAAGATTCTTCACATGTAGTTAAGGCAGTTTTAATTATTCTGAGTAGCGGATAGTCATTTATCATTAACGTCTTAATATTTAATTTCGTTATTTTATTTCAATTTGATACCCTAGTAACACGTATATTCTAGCGTTCTTGTTAATTTTATGACTAAAATGCATACGACCTGAAAGCCTGTGTCTAAATCTACAAAATAATCTTTACTTTATTTGGATTAAATAATAATTGATGACACCCCAAAGCATCAACAGGCGGCCTTTTTAGCATTACTTTCACTGTTTGCAACGTAAATGTACATGAGGTCGGGACATAGTATGTCTGTATAATCAGCTTACTTTCTCGCTCCCTGTACTATTGAACAATTTACATTCCTTGTACCCTGTATTGATCAACTTTTAAAACTGTGTACCGTGTACTATGACATATCAAATATTTTAAAATTTAAAACGATATTATTTTCATTCTTTCTATAACTATCATATAACTTGGAACATCGACTTCACTATTGCACCACTGAAGTGTAGCGAATAGCAATATTGACTCACTCCGAGCACCAAACGTATTAACCTTTTGAGTAAGCAGTCGATATACTCAAAAGCGACCTGATTGAAAGCCAAAAATTTCGCGCATGCGTGATCGAGGTAGGGTAGTGTGATCAATCGCAATTGGACCAAAACGGACCAGTGACATCAATCGCACATGGGGCAAAACGGACCAATGACATCAATCGCACATGGACCAAAACGGACCAGTGACATCAATCACACATGGAGCAAAACGGATCGGACCAGTGACATCAATCGCACATGGAGCAAAACGGACCAGTGACATCAATCGCACATGGAGCAAAACGGACCAGTGACATCGATCGCACATGGAGCAAAAGAGGACCAGTGACATCAATCCCACATGGACCAAAGAGGACCAGTGACATCAATCGCACATGGACCAAAGAGGACCAGTGACATCAATCGCACATGGAGAAAAACGGACCAGTGACATCATTGGCACATGGAGCAAAGAGAACCAGTGACATCAATCGCACATGGAACAAAACGGACCAGTGACATCAATCGCACATGGAGCAAAACGGACCAGTGATATCAATCGCACATGGAGCAAAAGAGGACCAATGACATCATTCGCACGTGGACGAAAAAGGACCAGTGACATCAATCGCACATGGAGCAAAACGGACCAGTGACATCAATCGCACATGGAGCAAAACGGACCAGTGACATCAATCGCACATGGAGCAAAACGGACCAGTGACATCAATCGCACATGGAGTAAAACGGACCAGTGACATCAATCGCACATGGAGCAAAAGAGGACCAGTGACATCAATCACACATGGACCAAAGAGGACCAGTGACATCAATCGCACATGGACCAAAGAGGACCAGTGACATCAATCGCACATGGAGAAAAACGGACCAGTGACATCATTTACACATGGAGCAAAACGGACCAGTGACATCAATCGCACATGGAGCAAAACGGACCAGTGACATCAATCACACATGGAGCAAAACGGATCGGACCATTGACATCAATCGCACATGGAGCAGAACGGACCAGTGACATCAATCGCACATGGAGCAAAACGGACCAGTGATATCAATCGCACATGGAGCAAAAGAGGACCAATGACATCAATCGCACATGGAACAAAGAGGACCAGTTACATAAATCGCACTTGGCCCAAAAAGGACCAGTGACATCAATCACACATTGAGCAAAAGAGGACCAGAGACATCAATCGCACATGGACCAAAGAGGGCCAGTGACATCAATTGCACATGGATCAAAGAGGATCAGTGGTATCAATCGCACATGGACCAACGAGGACCAGTGACATCAATCGCACAAGGACCAAAACGGACCGGTGACATCGATCGCACATGGACCAAAACGGACCAGGGACATCAATTGCACATAGAGCAAAAGAGGACCAGTGACATCAATCGCACATGGACCAAAGAGGACCAGTGACATCAATTGCACATGGACCAAAGAGGACCAGTGGCATCAATCGCACATGGACCAAAGAGGACCAGTGACATCAATCACACATGGATCAAAGAGGACCAATGGCATCAATCGCAATTGGACCAACGAGGACCAGTGACATCAATTGCACATGGACCAAAATGGACCAGTGATATCAATCGCACATGGACCAAAACGGACCAGTGACATCAATTGCACATGGACCAAGACGGACCAGTGACATCAATCGCACATGGAGCAAAAGAGGACCAGTGACATCAATCGCGCATGGACCAAAGAGGACCAGTGACTTCAATCGCACATGGACCAAAAAGGACAAGTGACATCAATTGCACATGTACCAAAACGGACCAGTGACATCAATCGCACATGGATCAAAGAGGACCAGTGGCATCAATCGCACATGGACCAACGAGGACCAGTGACATAAATCGCACATGGACCAAAACGGACTGGTGACATCAATCGCACATGGACCAAAACGGATTCGCTTAAATATTGCTCAGATTTCTTTGCCTTTAACTGTCTGTGTCAGAGCATGGTGATGATTCACCCGAGTTTAATAGGTGGTTAATAGGCTTAAATATGAATTCATACTCCAAATCTTTCAAAATTTCCTTATTTACAAATAGGAGGAGAATACCATTTTCGTGAGCGGGATTGGGAGGTAAATACGATTTTCGTGAGCTGGACCAGGCGAGACAATACGATTTTCTTTCCATATCAAAAATATCCCTGGGTGTTATTCACCGGGAAGTTGTAGTATCATGGGATAAATATAGGTTATTTACTGGTAGAGATTGAATATAGGTTTTATTCCGAGGGACAATATGATATTGACTGAAGGGTAATATAATATTGACCGAGGGAGCGCAGCGACCGAGTGTCAATATCATATTGCCCAAGGTCAATGTCATATTTTCCGATGAATAAAACGCATATTCAATCCCGACCAGAAATAACCTATTTATTCCATAATACATCCCTCTAAAATGTTACATCTGGATAATGTAAACATTATATTAACAAATGCACATTGTTTGAAAAATAAAATAAATAAAATAACCGGGAAACCAAAAATAGGTTAATATGCTCCAATACGATTATTTCCCGGGGACAATACGATTTTTTCATGTAATACGCTCCAATACGATTTTCCCCGGGGACAATACGATTTTTTCATGTAATACGATTCAATCCGATTTTTATTCCTTCAATTTCCCTGGGAAAACAGTAGTATTATGGAATAAAAATTCTTCCATCCCAGCCCAGTTCACTAATATAAATGAGCGTATTACTGAAATCTTGTTGGAAGTAGGAGAAAATACCCCATTTGGGCCTCTAATAATTGTTTGAACAGAGTTCGGCAATGCACATTTAAGTAATCCCTCTCTGCGTGTTTTTTTTTATTCAGAATCTCATTCAGAAAATATATATTTAAGCGATGACTTTGCATTTAAAGTCCGTCTTTTATTCCAAAAGTAAACATATTGTCCTCCTAAACGATGTGAGTAACATTTCTATTCAGATCGGCACGCTGTTTGACAAATGTTGCATCCACTTTTGTTTTATAAAACATGTAATACATTGTGTGCATCAGCTGTGGATCAATGTAATGAAAGGCAATTGGATGATCGCTGCAACAGTTCACTCCCTGGAAAATGAAATACCTTTGATTAAGGTGGCTTATAATTGCTGCTTATTTTTTCGTGAAGCCACTCAGTAAAATTACGATTTCTCTGCACCCTGATGTCCAATCAAGATCATATGAGTATCTATGTGTTCCTGACACGTTTGGGCATCCGGTAATGACAACGCACGCGAATTCATGACTGAAATCGGGAAGACAAAAATATGTGATATTCTTTCAGAATTGGTTATAATAACAATTTACAAAAATGTTCCCGAGACACAAATCCATCTAGGTATGGTTTGTTTTAAAGTCGAAAAGCCCCAATAAGACAATACAAACCCAGATAAAACACGGAAGACTGCAGATTCACGCCCGGTGATCGTACAAAAATGATGGAGGGGGGGATTAGGCGATTTCTGCAAGAAAACTCAACAAATTTGGAAAATTTATTTTTTCAAGAGAAAATTTACAACTGAATTGCCAAATGAATAGGCGCAGTGCATGGCAAAATATGTTAGGTCATCTCGTATTTTTTTGAACTGATACCCTTCTAAGATATGAGATCTATATATTGAAAAAGGTGCATCATCACCAACGTGCAAAAGTCAATGTTTTTGCTATAAATCGGGCAACAATGGTCTACACGACCTGTAATAAATAGGTATAAGGGACGTTATTATCACAATACTTATGACATTGCTCACTTTTTAAAGTTAGTTTCCATGTGTTATACAAAAAATAATCGAAATAAATTAATTTGGGATGGAGGGGGATTCATATATCTTTACGATGGAACAAATTCACAAGAACTCGTGTATTTAAAAAAACTAAACTCAGTACCCCAGTAAGAAACTGGATATTATATCTCTGGAGAATGGAAAATGGGAAAATTTGGAGTCATAAGAATAAATTCAAGTAACATGTCTTATCATGTCTTATTTACACGTGATCCCCCTCCATCCGATCCCCCCTCCATCCCAAATTAATTTATTTCGATTATTTTTTTGTATAATGCATGGAAACTAACTTTAAAAAGTGAGCAATGTCATTACTAGTATTGTGATAATAACGGACCTCATACCTATTTATTACAGGTCGTGTAGACCATTGTTGCCCGATTATAGCAAAAACATTGACTTTTGCACATTGGTGATGATGCGCCTTTTTTAATAGATCTCATATCTTAGAAGGGTATCAGTTCAAAAAATACTAGATGACCTAACATATTTTGCCATACACTGCGCATATTCATTTGGCAATTCAGTTGTAAATTTTCTCTTGAAAAAATAAATCTTCCAAATTTGTTGAGTTTTCTTGCAGAAATCGCCTAATCCCCCCCCCCCTCCATCATTTTTGTACGATCACGGGGCGTGAGATTATATGTAATGATTTACTTTCATGTAAACAAGTAAAGTACTTATAATCCCCATATAAAACACTGGCCTACGTGACATGTAATAACAAAACTGAAAGGACAACTGAAATAGCTTTTCTCAACTTGCAGCTACAAAAATGCGGTTTTCTCCATTGTAAGCCCATCGTAGAGTTCTTGCGATAGCCATTATAAAATAAATGTTAGATAACTGCTAACGGTCATAGATAACGAAATAAAACTAACTGATAAATCAAATTGGCCCCCACGTGATAAGTAACGTCATATACAAAATATAGCTATGGTTCATTGGTTCCATAGTAATCACAACGTCACGGCAACCATAGGATTGTTGTGTAAACAAATAACAAAACATTTTGGCATTATGACGTCATGATCTAATGGACCAAAATGGGCCACATGGGGACCAGTGAGAGATCACGTGGGGGCCAATAACGTCACAACCAATTCGAATATTGCTTATTAAGCAGCTATAACGATCGTTAGAGTGAAATAGTTTTCACACTACTGATGAGAAAACATGTCCAAATACATCTACCTAAAAATTATATTGATTCCTTTATGTTAAAAATACCATTTCATATCTGCTTGAAATATACGGGCTAATCTCAGATTTAAGCGTTAATATCTGCCTTATGTAAAAAGCTAAGTATGTGCATTAGATATCATTTTGAAGTATTTTTTATTCGCATTTCACTGAAATTATTTTTCCATGAAAAGTGTATTGTGATCTACCATAATTTTGAAGTTAAATGTACTCCGACATCGTCAAATACGCTGTAAGGCGTAACATTTCACGCTTACACGGTTCGTTGAAATTGGGATAACTTTTGAAATACTGATCAGAATTTTACTAAAATTTCACATTTTATTCATTGAAACATGTGCTATTATGACGTCACAAAAGCCTAGCGGCTACAGTTCAAATCGTCTTATATGAACGCTTTTAAGATTTTAAATTAATTTAATCTTCTAATTTAGGTCTGATTTCCAAAAAAATTTAACTACACAATATTGTCATGGCGAAATTTACAAAACAATAACCGATTTCTTTATTTATCAAATAATAAGAGAATAAGAGTTGCTTTTAGAGACTTGAAAAAATGTAACGCATCGATTTTTTACCACAAATCCCAAGGAGGATTGGCTCCCAGAGTGCACTACCGATATTCTGTCCCATATATGGGTATGTCGTAATACAAAATTCGAATTCAAACAGCCGCCATTTTGTTCACTTCAACATTTAAATCGTGAATTTTGGTCTTATTTCCAAACGAAAAATTCCAAAACTCACAAGAAACGATCGAGATATTGGTTCGAATCTTTTGAACTGTTTATTTTGAATTTATAGTCGGTTTTAATTTCAGAAAATAACGACATTTCGACGTTTTCATTGTTGGAAAATATCGAGTTTCGATCCTGGGAGCCAATCCTCCTTGACAAATCCCATACATACATATCAATTTTTACTAACGCCCCGAGTGGATTTCCTGACCGTTTTTTTTAAATCAAAAACATTTTAGAAATATTGTCCTCGAGATCTTGTTGCTCTGTGAATTTTATCAGGATTGAATAAGAATAAAGCATCTTATTTTTAGGTTGACTAAACTTGACAAAATGTAACGCTTGTCGTTTTTGACGTAATAATGCTGATTGCGCCCTATACTGCCCATTGTATTGTTTTGGTATTTTGACGCCATATGTTACTCTAATTGTCCCCAGTTTCGTGCGACGCGTAAGAATATTTTCAACATAGCATTTGCTTACGTGTTCTGTATGCCCCTCTACCTGCTTAATAAGGCAATGTATCTTCAAATAAAACCTTAGCCAAGTAGATTAGAGTCTCTGGAACACTTTTGTAAATAGTTTTCACAAGCAATTTTGTTTGTGAATCACAAATTTTGTCTTCCCGATTTCAGTCATGAATTGCGTCAATTTCCCGTGCAAACTTTGGGTTGACGTTGTTATTCCTGGACGCCCAAACATGTCAGGAACACATAGATACTTGAATGATCTTTATTGGACATCAGGTTGCAGAGAAATCGTAATTTTACTGAGTGGCTTCACGAAATAAATAAAAAGGCTGTACGGGTTAACGTTAACGGGTTATCATGACTTTGAATTTTTGTGTCAATAAACTTTCTTCAAGACTAGACTACATTTTTTAATTTATTTTTTTTCAATTTCAGTCTGAAATGGCGCTCATTACAACTTCATGGTATTTTGCCGCGTAAAAAGTTGAATAAATAGTACTTTCATAAATATGGGGTAGTTTTAATATTTCTGAAGTTCAAAATGTCCTAAAATGAGAATTAACTAATTCAAAAAGGTTACCTGATTTTTCCCTTTATCAGCATCCATGCCAATGTACCATTTTGGTAGCATACGCATTATGTAATTATGCGGAGGCCAAACAAGAAACCGCTCCCTCCCCAAGTGATCCGTGGAGTTAACAGGTCGAGACCCCGTCTTGTACAAGCAACTACACGTTTTTACATCCTCCACTAAAATAATGAAGTATAATATAGCAATTGGTACTGCCCTGGTTGCAATGACACAATCTCACAGAAACCATTTATAGAGATATAAAACGAGAAGGCATCGCCTGATTATATAGGTTTATACAGGCTATGGGGACACACAACTTATTTAAAATCTTTCCTCCGAGTGGGAAGACGAATAGATGGCATTTTAAAAACAAGAATATAGTCCAATTATTGTAATTATATTAGCATCACCAGTGGTTGGATTTTGGTAAGTACATGAATGAAAAAGTGTATGTATGGACCAACTCTAACACATGATTTGACGTAATTAAGGTGCATTTTCTTTAGAAAATTGACCTTTTTGACCTGCCTCCATCTGTCAAAATCAGAGTTACAATTTTTGACATTTTCTATAGATGGCGTATTCAACAGGTGAGATCTTTTGATTTTTGAAAACATGTCCACAAATCCTAGTTTTCTTTGAAAGACAAATCATTTACATGAGAATACGCATGTTATAGCATTTGGTTGTGTTAGGCCTATATGCATCCATTTGGCCACCGCCAGATCCGCCGCATAGGAAAACATATTACAGCAGGGAAATGTAATAAAAATGGGCCAGAACTCTCCTTGTAAATGACCAAAACGTCACGAGACCAATACAACAATTGCGATTTTCTCCAAAATTCTAAAAACGAAGACGTCAAAAAGCTACATGAGACTGATACTTTGTCTTTCCTTGGAATAGAATCAATGGTTTTAGTATTCCAAGGTCTTTTGTATCGTTTGCAAAGTATATATATATATATATCACGTATATAACATCATGAGACACGTGTTATGTCATGATCGCATCCGATTCTCTTTGGCGCCCGGCTGATGAGTATTTTGATCAAAATTGAATGCAATTCTTAACACAATATTCATCGGCCGGGCGCCGGTACTGAGAAACCATGACATAATTGATAAGTACATGTAGCATAAAGAGCATCTAAAGAGTTACTAATTATAAAAAGTGCGAGATAAATACTCTGAAACATTTTATTTAAAGAAAATACTAATTTCAAAGTTCCAGATCTAATATACAATATGCGCGGTTCAATTTTGTTAATTTACTGAAACTAGATATGTTACACTATTTTAAAATCTAGTTTTTGCAAATTAGATAGAAAGGTATCAAATTTAGAGCATTTTGTGATAACTTCCATGACTTGTTTTCTTGTCCCTCTGAGTATTAAAGAGGTTTTACTCTGCGTCACCCCTTAACTTTGTACTTTCAGGTATTATTGAAATATACGTCTCCGTTTCACGGTACATAAATCTATGTACCGTATTCGTCTGACTTAACGTTCTTCCTTTCCTGCTAAGCGAGGGAATTGTTTTGAAATTAGCCAAACAATTACTGAATGTAATTGCTTAGATAACCATATTTCGAAACCGAGACGCGCTACATACAGGCCAAACATTTAGTTGACATATGAAGGATAAAAGTGATGAATCGAGAAAATATCATGTCCTCGTTTCCAGATCATCCCCAGTGTAAAGGCTCGGTCACATTTGCATACGGCGACTGCATGTCAACCTAGCCGTCTCCGTAGGGGATATCCAGTTTTTTACAGGCCGTAGAGTCGCCATACAGATATTATAACTCGGAAATATGACTTTTTCATTTGTGCGGTCACCGTATATCACAATGCACCTTAATTTATTTTACATAATAAACAAAACTCATTGACTTACTACCCCCATCCGGAATGCATTTGTTATTTCCCGTAGCTTTCTTAATTCCAAGTATAACCAATCTCCTCAATGCTTCCTTGCTTACGACAATTCCGGGCCCACCGGCCATAAACATTCCATCTTTCGTTCTTCTTCCATAATAGTACATATGTCCAAAAAATTCTGCATTTTTCGGGTCGTAGTTTTGTAACATTTTTCTCAAATTTTCCACAACTATAAAGGTATCTGTGTCTGCTTTAACAAAATAATCAGCCGTGTTAAAATAATGGTCGTAGACATAAGTCCACGCTAATCTAGATTTCTCAGCTAAGTGCTCTCTTCCCTCGGTAACGTTAAATCCAATTGTTGGAAATGTCTTGTTATCTTTGGAACTCATATACAAATCTATGTCGCAGTGTTTTGCCCATGTGTCCCTCACGTATTTTGCCTTTTTCTCCAGAGCATCAGGACTTGTCAAGAACCAGCATAGAATTTTATAATGTTTCCGTTTTTGTGAGTCTTGGATGAGTACATTCGTCGTGCCGTTTGTAATCCATCTTTTTAGTTTAATTTCATTTTGACTATATAGGCTTGATAAAAAATACTGGCATATATACAATGAAACCAGAAAAATCCATATTAGAAACAGCTTAACTCTAAAATTGACCATTATACTTATCAAAACAGAATAATTTTGTCGAACAACTTCAACAACGCAAAAATTTGAATTGACTGCGCAGAAAAACATTGAATGAATAGCATAGAGGTGACAGATGTTTAACCACGTGAGGAAATAAATATATAAGTTAACATGGGATATATTTTGAAAGTACACTCTTCTCCGTAAGTTTGGTAACCCTAACTCCCCCATTGGACTTTGTGTTAAAGCCTATTTATGTATAATTTTTTAGTTCCATAATCTGCAAAGAAAATACTTTTCCCAAATTTTCCTCAATTATACAATAGGTCGAAAATTGATGACAAAGTTGTTGAATTTTTGAAAGTCGTCATTCCAGTATAAACTCATGTCAATGGTGGTTCGAGGCAAATCCGATTTCAGTTCACCAAAATATATTTCAATATAGAAAATTGAATTAATATAACTTTTTGTATGACAATTGCCAAGTGCTTCGTTTACTTTATGAACACTAAGGTTACAGAGTTTCAAAGTCATTTTTGAAAATCATTTTTCGCTTCCAGTGTTATTTCAATAGGAGGGGTTTCTCAGTCATTTTTGAAAATCGTTTTTCGCCTCCTGTATTATTTTAATGGGAGGGGTTTCTGAGAAAATATTTTTTGTAAATTTGTACTCCTATAACTTTTTAAACCTGAATTTTTTGTTAAATAAAGAGAGTTTGGAGAGTTTGGATGGATTGATATTCCCTCATATGACTTGCATCACACCATTAGTTGGTATAGGAATGTCGTTTTTCAAAAATTTATCAGATTTGTCATCAATTTCCGACCCGTTGTAAATATTGAAAATGATGAAATTAGGAAATTATTGGAGGTCTCGAAAATGATATCATTTTATATGTCCAGTCCTAAAAGAAGTTTTTTCTTTACAGATTATGCAGAATTCATAAAAAAAACATCACGAGGCTTTAACACATTATCCAAGAGGGGAGTTGGGATTGCCACAAACTCATGGAGGGGAGTGTATGTCTGTATAAAAAAAAACATAAAGTGGATCAAAATGTGGTTGGTGTTTTCCTACAAAATAAATAAATGAATTTATATTATTGCGTTCAAAAAAGTTCAGTATTGACCTAGTTTGCGTGTCTATGGATAAATCACACAATACTCTATTGATAATATATGTTCACAAGGTTTACATTGAATTTACTCCAATGGAGTATTTCTAGAAAGAAAAGAAGTATGAATAGCCTTTGAAACAGTTTGCGAGTCTATGTTTTTAATATAAATCGAACAGAAAACTTATCATTGTAAAGACCTAAACAAGGCATTAACATGACAAAATGTCACCACCTAGTTGCTCACAATATCATGAGTTCAAACTTAAGTCAGATTTGAATTTCTGAGAACTTGTAAAGTCAAATTTGAACTTCTGAAAAGATGTAGATGATTTTGAAAAAAAAAATTGGTCAATTTGAAGCAAGTTGAAAACAGACCTTTTTGACCTTTTTTGACCTTGAGAAGGTCATTTAAGGTCAAATGTCAAATCTAAAGTCAGATTTGAATTTCTGAGAACATGTAGATGATTTTGAAAAAAAAAAATTAGTCAATTTGAAGCAAGTTGAAAAAAGACCTTTTTGACCTTTTTTGACCTTGAGAAGGTCATTGAAGGTCAAATGTCAAATCTAAAGTCAAATCTAAAGTCATATTTGAATTTTTGAGAACATGTAGATGATTTTGAAAAAAAATTTAGTCAATTTGAAGCAAGATGAAAAAATACTTTTTTGACCTTTTTTGACATTGAGAAGGTCATTGAAGGTCAAATGTCAAATCTAAAGTCAGATTTGAATTTCTGAGAACATGCAGATGATTTTGAAAAAAAAATTTAGTCAATTTGAAGCAAGTTGAAAAAAGATCTTTTTGACCTTTTTTGACATTGAGAAGGTCATTGAAGGTCAAATGTCAAATCTAAAGTCAAATCTAAAGTCAGATTTGAATTTCTGAGAACACGTAGATGATTTTGAAAATTTTTTTTAGTCAATTTGAAGCAAGTTGAAAACAGACCTTTTTTACCTTTTTTGACATTGAGAAGGTCATTTAAGGTCAAATGTCAAATCTAAAGTCAGATTTGAATTTCTGAGAACATGTAGCTGATTTTGAAAAAAGAAATTAGTCAATTTGAAGCAAGTTGAAAAAAGACCTTTTTTTACCTTGAGAAGGTCATTGAAGGTCAAATGTCAAATCTAAAGTCATATTTGAATTTCTGAGAACATGGAGATGATTTTGAAAAAAATTTAGTCAATTTGAAGCAAGTTGAAAAAAGACCTTTTTGACCTTTTTTGACATTGAGAAGGTCATTGAAGGTCAAATGTCAAATCTTAAGTCAGATTTGAATTTCTGAGAACATGCAGATGATTTTGAAAAAAAATTTTTGTCAATTTGAAGCAAGTTGAAAAAAGACCTTTTTGACCTTTTTTGACTTTGAGAAGGTCATTGAAGGTCAAATGTCAAATCTTAAGTCAAATCTAAAGTCAGATTTGAATTTCTGAGAACACGTAGATGATTTTGAAAAATTTTTTTAGTCAATTTGAAGCAAGTTGAAAACAGACCTTTTTGACCTTTTTTGACCTTGAGAAGGTCATTGAAGGTCAAATGTCAAATCTTAAGTCAAATCTTAAGTCAGATTTGAATTTCTGAGAACACGTAGATGATTTTGAAAAAAAAATTTAGTCAATTTGAAGCAAGTTGAAAACAGACCTTTTTGACCTTTTTTGACCTTGAGAAGGTCATTGAAGGTCAAATGTCAAATCTAAAGTCAGATTTGAATTTCTGAGAACATGTAGGTGATTTTGAAAAAAAAATTTAGTCAATTTGAAGCAAGTTGAAAAAAGACCTTTTTGACCTTTTTTGACTTTGAGAAGGTCATTGAAGGTCAAATGTCAAATCTTAAGTCAAATCTAAAGTCAGATTTGAATTTCTGAGAACACGTAGATGATTTTGAAAATTTTTTTTAGTCAATTTGAAGCAAGTTTAAAACAGACCTTTTTGACCTTTTTTGACCTTGAGAAGGTCATCGAAGGTCAAATGTCAAATCTTAAGTCAGATTTGAATTTCTGAGAACATGTAGATGATTTTGAAAAAAAAATTTAGTCAATTTGATGCAAGTTGAAAACAGACCTTTTTGACCTTTTTTGACCTTGAGAAGGTCATTGAAGGTCAAATGTCAAATCTAAAGTCAGATTTGAAGGTCAAATGTCAAATCTAAAGTCAGATTTGAATTTCTGAGAACATGTAGATGATTTTGAAAAAAAATTTAGTCAATGTGAAGCAAGTTGAAAAAAGACCTTTTTGACCTTGAGAAGGTCATTGAAGGTCAAATGTCAAATCTAAAGTCAGATTTGAACTTCTGAGAACATGTAGATGATTTAGAAAAAAATTGAAGTCAGTCTAAACAGTATTTGTTAAGTTATAGGAAGTTGTAAGAAATTGTTACAGACGCCAACCGCCAGACGCCAACCGCCGGACGCCAACCACCAACCGCCGGACGCCAACCGCCGTCGCAAAAAAAACGGAGACCATAACAATATGTCACCACTTTTGGTGGTGACATAAAAAAGTGTATTATACAAAATCCAAGTGTGAAGGTAGAGATTAAAAGGTGGATTGGATCGAGTGGATATGATTCATGTAAAAGGTGGATTGGATCGGGAATCTTCAAAATGTGGAATTTTTTATATAAAAAATTCTGTTGATCTCCCTCTTAACAATTTCCCTCTATAGTATTACAGGTCCCTTTTGAGAAATCAGAACAAAGCAATGACAAATACATACTCCAATTAGTTCATGGACACTCTTAAGTATTTAACCGCTTTCCCCTGTAAATCAACTTTTGTAAGACATAGATCTTTAGAAAAAGAAAACCTGTCATTCAAATTAATTTGTGAATGTTCACAAAACATTTCTGGTATGTTCAGTTTGGATTGAAAACAGATGTTATGGATCTTCAAACCAGTCTGCCTTATGATTTATGAAATGTTTCAAATTACACTTGGAATGAATAAGATCGTGTATCAGAAAGCGGGTACCAGGTCACCCTTCTAGCCCACCCAAGCAAAATAATATTACATCTATAATTTGACATTGTGCAAGTGAAGAGAGCATCAATCTTCCTAAAGGGAGATCAATAGATTTTTTTATAGGAAAATCCATATTTTGAAGATAGCCAATCCAATCCACCTTTTACATGAATCCAATCCACTCGATCCAATCCACCTTTTAATCTTTACCAGTGTGAAACCTAATTCAAATACGATATTTCCAACGTTGTGTCATGATAGACTGTTCTATATAAGTATGATAACATGATCTCGTGTTAGAGAAGAAGAGCTCGAAACTATGGAACGCGTACGTTCAATAGGGAAGTTTCCAGAGGCAGAGGATTAGTTCCCAAAAGTGCAAAACAGGGGAACCAATGAAATGATCAGTTATATATTGTATTTTAAATGAGATATACTGAACAACTTGAACCTCCTCCAAAAGGGATAATAAATGTTGGTTCCCATAAAGAACTTTAAATCTTCCTTCCTGGGATTAGAAAAGACAAAACAAAATGAAGAACCAAGCTTTTGAATGTATTTATTAATAATGTTATTGTTATTGATTTCCTTAATTCCAAATAATACAAATACAATCACAACAGTGGAAGACACCCTAAGGGGCAAGTAACCCATTTTATATTAAACAAAAAATATTTACAAGTAGCAAAAACTCTATAAGTTATCAGTGCTCATTAGAATTAGACACTTAATATTTCACATTTCACATCCTCCTCTACCCACGCAATAAAATATGAAAAGTGAATTTTAACGCCAGAAATTTGTCTCTAGAATAGTTAGACTTTGATTAAATAATGATGTTAATTTTTGAAGGTAGAAAGAGTATTAGGGTGAGCGATTTTATGAGGTAAAGTATTTTACAGGTCTGACCCTGTCTTAGGTATTTTCCCATGTTTGTTCTAAATGTTCTAGATCTTAAATTGTATATCTATCTGGTTTGATGAGCATGTATATCAG